CACATCTATGTAGCGTTTATTTATTACAGGTGTTTTTATTGCTCAAAAATACAATAATTCTCTCTCTGAATAGGGTTGCATCACCACAGATCTGACCTGTAATGTTGCCTATGGTTGTTTCGCTTGAGATAGATAGTTTAATCTCTACTGTAGAACTTTCTAGACAAAGCAATAACACGAAGACAAGCAGGTGATGTGACGTACCCTGCAACAGAAAAGCTGCGCAATGCACCTTTTAATGGCAGGCGAGGACAAGAGACTGCATTTGGCACTCTGCAGACATTTAGACATTCAGTAACAAACAAACTGTCAACTCATTACAACATTAGAGTTAAAAAAAAAAATTAAAAACTTCAGTGATTATAACAGTCCTATTTCTTTTGAGCCAGTGTTTCAGATTCATTAAGAATGGTGTGATAGACTCTTTTCTAGAAGTATTATCTTATTTAAAAGTTACACAAGTAAATCATGACTACCCACTTGCGCTGAGATTTCGCAGTGTAATGTTTGCGCTTTAGTGTCGTGTGGATGGCTCTGCTCCTCTCCGCTCGTCTCTGTAGTATTTGAAGCCCGTCGTGAGGGACATGATAAATTTAGAATCAGTTGAACTTCTTTTGTTTCTGTGACGTTGCTCTGTGTCGACATCAGATGACACAGCGCTTTACTGTACAATGGAGCTTTTCAAGTACATTTTTACTGTTATTTTGAACCCACTTGTGATGCTGAGAGGGTTTTGTGTGTGCTTTTTCAATGCTTTTAGACCAGATACTGTACAAACTGATATCTCTTTGTATTTAATTTTTATACAGATTGATATCTGTCTGGTCCCCACGCCCTCTGTAGATATGAGACGATATTGAAATTCAGTGTCACAGTTATCATGGCCAAAAATACTTGAGATCAAAGGTGGATTGTGTAACTTTTCTAGTGGAAGGTTCAGTTAAAAGCTTTTCTCCATGGAGATGTTATTACTTTGCCTGTAATATTTCACAGTACGGTATTAAATTCTTCTATCTTCATGGAGCCCACACCAGACCAAGTTACAGGTCAGGTCTACGGAGAGGCAACCCCGAATGCTTGTTTCTTCTAGGTATTTTTGAGATATAAAACAGCATTGAGTGAATAAATGTAAGGCAGAGCTGTTTAATGTCATACCGTGGAACATTCCAGGCAGAGCAATGACATATCCATAGAAACAGCAAGTGATGGACCCGCTACCAGAAAAGTTACACAGTGCCATCTTGTGCCTCCGCTCAATTTAATTTCTCTCCAGCGACTAGGTCAGGAGTAGAGGTGAGATCGGGCCTAAAAAATCCAGCCCGACCCGACCCGGCCCGCGGGTATTAAAACCCGACCCGGCCCGAGCCCGACCAATTAACTTGATTTGCAGGCCCGAGCCCGAAGCAAACCCGAAATGTCATATTTTATTTGTGAGGACTCGGGAGGAGGAGCAGTGCTCAGCGTCGAGGTGCCAGTCTTTTTGCTCTCGTATGAAAGCAAAGCGCCACATTGACGACATTCAGTGAAGCCAACGCAAGTTTCTGTAGCATTTTCAACAATCAATTTGAAGCTTTTCCACACCTCACTCTTACCGGTGCGTGTTTGTCTTTTCAGTTCTCCTGCCTTTAGTTTAACTTCTTGCTCCTCCATATTGGGGATACCAGGTCAAAATAGATGCAGACTTGCGGAGGGGAAGATTATTAAATTAAGAGGGGGCGTTCACGTGCGCAGAGCTCTGGCTCTGCAGCTCCTGTTTAGTAGTTAAATAGCAATTACATTACATTACTTCTCTGTTTTATCCATATTATTTATTTTATAACAAGTATTCCTTAGTTTAGTATCCACACATCGTTTTAGCATACATTTTATAAACATATATTTATTTGAAGCCCGACCCGACCCGAAGTAATGATTGACATTTTAGACCCGACCCGACCCGAATTTCGGGTCGGGTCGGGTCGGGCTTGGGCTCGGTCTTTAGATCTTACCTCTAGTCAGGAGTCAAAATGCAATAGACGGTTTGCAAGAATCCCAGAAGTGCGAGTCTGGGCACAAGCCAATCAGCAAAGAGCCATACATTCTGTGTTGGCAATGATTCCCGAGATCAAGGATTTAAAGCCGGAACAAAGAGAATGTTTGGTGAATTTTATCAAGGGGAAAGACGTTATTGCCCTTCTTCCTACTGGATTTGGGAAAAGCTTAATATACCAGTTAGCCCCATTAGTTCCGCATTGCATATGTCACGACCAAATAGCAGCGATTAGTTAAATAAAAAAAGTACCTACTGTCGAGAGAACAAATCTTAATGCTGCGAGGTCAGATGGTGAAACCGGCTAATGAATCAGGCTAGTACTTCTGCACATTCTGGTGATAAAATAGTTGGCGATTATCACTAGGGATGTAACAATAACCGAAATATCGTTATATCGTATTGTCAAAAGCCTCATAATAATATCGTGGGCCATCACAATACATCGAATTACAAGTCTTTTCACTTAAATTCATTTTTATGGTGCAGCAATAGCTAAAAAACAGAGAGAGCTACATGTACCATGATCGTTTGATCTGTTTCAGTCCAATCTTCATGATGAATTAAGCATGCTTAAATTATTAATTCTAACATTAATTATTTGTACTATGACAGAAATTTTGTATATTCACAATATCATGAAAATATCGTACAGAGAAATGTGGGTATCATCCCTCTTAATTATCAAAAATATATAAAACGTCCCACAAACAATTAAACAATAAATTAACAATAAATTATATTATCCTTTATTGTCCCATCCCCTAGCCCTCAGTCGAGTCTCAAGCCCAGTCAAACATGATCATGCAGTCAGATGAAGAACTTCTATATAAGTAGCAATAAAAAAGAGCAAGAGACTGGTGTCAAATATAACATAGTAAGTAAAAAACAAAAAAACAAATATAGTAATATAAATACAGTATATCCCAGTTATATACAAGAGGTCATAAGGAAAACAGTGCAAAGATGATATGACGATTAACAAAAACACAGGCTTATCTCTTTGGTCTCATTGGTCACATATCATTTATAAATAAAATCACATTGATCTCAGCTCAGATTAACAGACTTTAGCGCTTTGCTCACTGGTTCTGCTGAAATCTGCACCTATAAAAGCATGTTCTGAAATGTGATTATAGTTTTAGCAGGGATGAGACGAGACACAGTTTCTAAAGGATCGAGACAAGACCAGATTTTGATGTCACTTTCAATTAATAAGTTGTGCCATTCATTGGCTTTATTTAATTCATTAGTTTTGCTGTCATTGTAGCTCTGCTTTTTGGTATTACAGCTTCTCAAGAGGAGCTATTCTGTAAAGTCAACCTTTTTTTATCCATGGCAAATGTAGAATTATGAGGGGAAAAACACATGTGCAGAATCATGGGTCAATTTTGTCTTGCAAGATCTTGTGGCACGAGATCTTGTCCCATTCTTAAGTGTTAGTTTAGTTCTTGTAGACATGTTTAAAATGTGAAGAGTATCCATTTATTCAAACATAAACTGCAAGTCTGATTGGAATTGCAATGCTTGTCAGAAAACGCATAATTAGATATGTAAATTAGATGGACATCACACAAAGTCCTTCAGTATTGAGCCACCCTGTTCTTCATCTCTCTGTAGTAAGAAATCTGTCATCCGAGCTCATTGCAGAGAAATATTCCTGGAAAAACGGGCTTTACTGTGATGATTCAGTGGTGCCCGGTTTGGTCCAGACTGCACAGAAGACACAGTGTTTATTCTAAAGTCTCTACGGCGCCTCCTGCTGTCCCCGCACCTCCAGCTCTGGCTCCGGTCCACACCGGGGCATCTGTCCATTACACACATCCAGAAATACAAGAGGCCACTGCAAAATGAGCATGCTCCCAGCTTTTAAAGGTCCTATATTACACAAAATGGATTCTTGGGAACTTTAAGACATGTAAGAATGCTGTTACGTCTTCTAAAAATGTACCTGGGTTGTGTTTTGTTTCATTCACATATGTTTGAGTAATCTATTATTATTAATCTGTCTACATCTCAAAATGCTCAAAATGTCATATAATGTTAGTTTTCAAGTTAACAGCTACTTTTTACATTTTGTTCAGTAGAGATTGGCAATCCTAGCTCTGAAATTATTCCAAATGATTTTTGATGAAGGTTTATGGAGCTTAAAAACACAGTGAAGCTCTTCCTGTACACAACAAACACAATTCCAGTTATATTTTTTAATACATACTGTACATACATCTATAAAGATCAGAAAATAGCATACTATGGGTAATAGAGGGTCTGCTACCTGCTTTTCTCCATTGAGATGTTAATGCGTTGACTGAAATGTTCCACAGTATGGCTTTAAAGTTACCCCTCTAGTGTTTATTTCACTATAAGGTGTTTTAGTCCTCAAATATACTGCATGCACTCTTACTGTGAGCTGGATCGTTTCTTTGCAGATCTGACTTGTAACATGTACTGATTTTCTTGGCATTTTTTTGTATGTAGTATTTATTTATTTAATGTGTTTTTATTGTTAAGGATGTGAGAATGTGTTTATAATTGTGCATTTTTACTGCTCAAGTGTTGCTCTATCGAAGTTTTATTGTATTTTGTGCAATGACAATAAATCTAATCTCATCTAAAGCATTAACATCTCCATGGAGACAAGATGAGTTACACTGTACCTTTAAAAGAAAGTATTTTAAAGGTGTTCTATATAATTCTTCTCCTCCAGCTCTCACAGCCACGAAAAGTCTTGAAACTGCCGCAGACGACGCCGGCCAAATATCGACCAAGAAAGAGTTTATCAATCATGATTTCAGCTGAAGCTTTTAACAGTCTATGCTCTATTGATCTCGCTGAATTATTCATGGGTTTTTGTCAAATTCACACAGACTTTTTTAGAGCTGAATCACAGAAGTGGCTGGCTACACTTTGATTAATCATCTTTTGAATTGTCTCTTTTTTTGACTGTTCTTTCTGTATTGTCTTTTTGCAGCCGGTGCATTTGGCTCAGAGCAGTTTTCAACTCACAGCGTTTGGACAAACCTTCACTTTGGACCTGGAGTTAAACCAGTAAGACTTCTTTTGATATGTGATTGTCTATAACTGTTTTAGGGTTGGCAAAAGTATCAAAAATCAGATACTAATCGATGCTAAAACTAGTATTGAAACTAGATTCTCATTTGAGCAGGTATCTATACTAAAAAAGCCACGTTCACTGACAGAAATGACTCTTTAGAATGATCTTGAGGTGTATCAGAATAAGTAAGAGCACATAGACTAGTATACGCCCACGGACCACTATGGAACCTACCTGAGCGACTGAGGGATTACACAGATATAACACTACATGGTAATATAAAAGAAAGTATTGTTATTTAATGTTTAATATCATAAGCTATTTCTAAAGAAGGAGTTTTTCAAATTATCATTGTGGTATTGAAATCAGTAACAAGTCTACTCCTTAGTATTGACATTTTAGTATTATGATAGTACTAAACTGTGTATTATAAAATGGATTCTATTTAGTATTTTGAGGATAAGTCAATTTAATACCCGACTATTATGAGTAGCTATAAGTAAATCAAACTATTATCTAGATCTAATGCTACCACTACTATAACTCTTTGGCTTCTTTATAACTATATATCTATAACTGCTATTACATCACTTCATTATGGTCAGATAACCTTAGTCTACAGTTTAAACAGTTTATATTAATTACTTATCCTATTCTTAACAAATTTACTCTTTACTCTTTACTCCAAACCCATAGCTGCTCTGATATCTCTTATAGTTAGGTCCTTACATTTTGGTCTGTATACAGATTTCAGTCCCTGCAGTGTAAGACATACTCGCCCACGCTTATCCATTGTACACCAGCATTCATAGACACTTGGAGGATGAAGTGTTGCCCAAGGACACAACTTCAGTGTAGCCAGAGCTGGGTTTGAACCACCCACCTTTGGGTTAGTGCTCTTGCCACAAAAATCACAGAATTTCTTTCACATATCCATATACCAACTCCAAACTTTATATTTTGAAATGTAGAATTTATTATCCATGAACAGGGGAGGTAGATATAGCAAAGTATGAATATCACACTTTTATGGGAGCCAGATTACGATTTTGAGTTTATCACGATTCATATACATCTTGTATTGTTTTATTCATTGCTTTCAGAATTATGAAAAATGTAACCTTTTGCTGTAGTTTTAGGACTGTTGAACTGGTCAAACTGCTGCTTAAAAACACACAAAGTTTATTTTATCACTTTAATATGAAGTGACTTCTGCACAAAATGTGACTCAACTGCTTTCTTAAAGGTTTTTGTTTAAAAAAAAAAAGGGCTGAGGGTTAGTTTTTGGTCAATTTAAATTATATATATATATGGGGAAAATATATATTAGCCCAAAAATATTGGCAGAGCTGATTGGCCATCGGTTGCTCTGGATTTTAAACAGTTGATGTCGGCAGCGGCCATGAAACAAAAAACATCGGTCAATCTCTAGTACTGTTCACTCGGCTGTCACTCATCCATAAATCTACCATATGAACCATAAAACTTTATAAATGTGAATATATTACAGGTATGACTTATCTCTCCCTCTCTCCCTGTAGCCACCTCCTGTCTTCTGAATATGTGGAGCGGGACTTTAAGCAGGATGGCAGACCTTCTCAATTGGCGGTAAGGCTGTGTGTGTATATCTGTGTGTGTGAGTGTGGGCGACGCCGCTCTGCTCTCAAATACTCAATGTCAGAAGTGCAAACAGCATATTAATGAGATGACCGAGGTGTGAAGACATTTGGACATTTGGTGGAGAGTTAACAAGCGACAAGTCAAAATCAGTTTTACTTTTCTACTTTGCTGTTTCAGTTCTGTTTTTGTTGAGAAAGAGATAATTTAATCGTTATAGACCTGGTTTAGTTCACTCATTTGTTGGTTGTTTTTGGTTTTGACATACATACATATTTAGTATTGCAAATTTCTTAGTCTTATTGCTTATTCTTCTTAGTTCTATCTGTCATATTCTTTAGAACTAGATCCACTTTGGAGAAATAGACCAGTAAGAGCTTTAATCATATCCATTTTTCTTATTGCATGTTTGAGTAATATTGATACTTTGCAGCTGATGTCATCAACATTCTCTGAGGGCATGATGCTAACTGTAGGCACTGCTCTGTCTGATTCTTGTTAGACTTTAATCAGAGCTTCATTTGAAAATCTGACCACAACAAATTTAACTTAGACTTAACTGGAACTATGTAACGGGTAGACTGATTTGTGCTCTTAAACAAGTCCCTCTCAAATAACATTACAGCTAGCATTTGCCAACAGTTTTTCAGTTAGTCACTCGCACATTTTTTGTTGAAAATCAAACACCTAAACAGAACCGTGAATACTTGTATTGATCACAGGCTTTTCAGACAATCTTAATACTTAAAAAATTGCAGTGTTTTCTTATTGGTGCATTGTATCACCATGGTAACTGCTGAACATTCCACCATAGAGATACACATGGAACACTTGATGTCACTGCAAAGTATACATTTGAGACGCCAGATGCTCTGCACTTCCTTCAATCCTCACATGTTTCGGCAAAGCAGCTCTGTTGGAATGACGTTTATGGTTTTGTACTATAAAGAGGCAGTTTTGAACAGGTTGTCAGTGGTCCTGTTTTGAAGTTCTTTTAAATAAACACTGTGATTTAACATGAACCAATTCTAAAAATACCGATACGAAAGCATAATATGTCCTCTTTTAATACACAGATAGATATATACTGTATTGACCTTGAAGGAAATTCAATAAATAATATGAGTATGACCCAATTGTTTCATGCTTTAATTCATCTTAAATACACATTTAGAAAAGCTATTTATCTACTCTAATTAATCCTGATTTAGACCTGATTTATTTCTGTATTCAGAAATAAATCGAAATTAAATCATGTCTATTTTTGTGGTCGCATTGTCAAGGTATATTATTTTAGTTCTTATTTTTTTGTTTAGTTAAGTTGTTGTTAAATCCATTAAACACTGGATTTAATTGAAAATGCAAAACCACCCCCGCTATTTTAATGTTATGTTTAATTATGTGTGCGTCTCATCTTTTTTTCTGTTGTCTATTTTTGGAAAGTGCGTTGTGTGCTCTTTGTGGTAAAACTAGGCTGCAGTTTCTATGTAGCTTCTCTGTTCTGTGCCTTAGTTACTCGCATGAAATGGAAAAGCAAAAGGGCAGTGGAAGCCTATGGCAAAAAGAAGTGAGAGAGTGAATCAATGAGATGGAGTATTGGACAATAGTATGCGCTTATTGTTTGTTTATAGTCAGGGATGCACTATTAATGCATTTTTAATTGAATTGAGATCCAGTTGCTTTAATAGTCAATGAGCAACATGGGGCTTTTTAATCGTGAGGTCTGTAGCCAATACTCTGTCAGTAAAAGAATGCGCTTTGGAGCAGATTTCAGACTTTGGAGAAAAAATTTTGAATACTGTGACTAAAATGCCAATGATTAAATGCCTTGTCTTGTTTCTGCTAATTACGTCAATATTCCAAGAAAGATCGGTCACAATACGTTGCAAAATATATAAATAAAGATAACAAATCGTGACAATTTTAAAAGTGCACTGTGTAACTTTTTGGTTGGGGGTCCGTCACCTGCTTGTTGCTATGGATATGTCATTGCTCTGCCTGTAATGTTTCACAGTATAACATTAAACAATTGTACCTTTCATTTATTCAATTACAGGTGGTTTTATTGCTCAAACTGCTTAGAAAATCAGGCATTCTGACTGTGAGCGGGTTTGCCTCTCCACAGATCTGACTTGTAACTTTGTCTGGCTTGCTCTCCATGGTGATAGAAAGGTTTAATGCCATACTGTGAAACATTCCAGAAAAAGCAATAACATCTACAGAGAGAAAAGCATATGCTGGACCCTCCACTGGAAAAGTTACAAAATGTACCTTTTAAATTTTTTTTATTTTTTATTTTAATCTTGCTGTTTATAGCACATGAAATTTACATTGTTATTCAAATTTTATATTTCATAGAGCTGGTTGCATACAAGAGGAATGGGAACATTGATCATCATGTCAATAATCAGGAATAATTATAAAACGGTAGCAGCAATTACTGGCCTGTCACGATAATTACTATATTGACTTAACGTTCAATACATGAAAGATGGAACAATCATTTTTGAAAGTCAATATTTATCATGGGGATTTTTTCTTTGAACCAGTGGGAACATTTTTGTTATTTTTTGGTACTACGATAAGATTTGAGTTATATAGATGTTTGAATTATAAACTTTTATGACTCATTATAGATACAAACTAATTACTTAAGTGTTGCATTCTGTTATTTGTTTGTTGCAGCTCATATTTTTTTTTACAATATTGTACATTTTGAATCATTTTTGTGGATAATTATGCTTTATATTTTGCTTTCAATATTATCGATTATCGTCTATATTTACTTCAGCAATGTATTGCACTTGAAAATTTGTTACGTTGACATGCCTAGTAACACTAAAAATGGACTTTGTATATTATAGTAGCCATCCAGCAGTCTGTGGAAAAACTGTATTCTAAGTATATATTTATTGTGATTCAAGTCTGGAGCGTAGTACAGTTAGTGTGTGTTGATGTCCAGTGGGGATGATGATGTTGGTGATGGGCAAAGAACACAAATATGCCACTCATGTGTCTGCAGCCGCCCACCACCGGCACTCCACTGTCTCCTCCCACAACTGCCATCCCCGAACAAACTATCCTTCTGAGCTTTCGGCCAATCACATGGCTGTTTCCATAGCAACCGGTGAGCTCGCCGATGTCATTAAGTTCTTGGCTTCTATGGAAAAAAAAAAAAAAAAAACGCAGAGGAAAGATCTGGGAATGACTAGGATAGTGAAATAATAGAACCCACATAGAAGTTATTTTAATATCACTTTATGCAATTTAATGAGTTTATAAGAGCAGTGGCAGAGCAGGTTTTAGAAAATGCCCACCAATGGAAGGGTGACTGGTTTGAACCCTACCCAAGCACAATATTGTTTTAAAAAGTTATATCAGTTCAGTTAAAGATGTGCTATGTAACTTTTCCAATAGAGGGTACATCACCTGCTTTTCTCCACGGAGATGTTATTGCCTTGCTAGAAACTGAAGTTATCTATGAAACATTTGTTGAATATTGCTGGTGTTTTATTTCCAAGTTTAATGCCATACTGTTGAACATTCCAAGAAAAGCAATAACATCTCCACTGAGACAAGAGTGTAGCAAACCTCTGCCAAAAAAGTTACATCGTGCACCTTTAAAAATTGAGAATTTATATAAACTGTGCAAAAAAGCAACCAGGATTTACTGATTTTTATGACCTTTTAATATTTTATTATTTCTATTTTGTGTTTAGAAAAAGAATAGATTTGTTTTGAAAGTGTCTTTAGTGTTCTAATGGACGGTTATTTTGAAACGGCCCACAGCAGTGGCCCACGGAGAGGGCAGATTGTAGCTCTGTTGGGGAGAGTCCTCACCTGAAGAGCAGTGTTAACTATATCTCTCCTCCTTGCTCCCTCTTTCCTCTCATTTCTCCTCTCTCCTTCATCACCCTCTCTTCTCCCCTCCTCTCTCCATATGCCTTGTACCTCCCTTTTTCACCCCTCTCTCTTCTTCTGCACCTTCTCCCTCCTCTCTTCAAGTTTTGTCCAACATTCCTCCTCTCTCCTCATCTGTCCTACCTTCCTCTCCCCCCTTCCTTCTCTCATTCATCTTTCCTCCCTCCTACACCACCATTCTTCATCTTCTCTTTCTCCTTCCTCTCCTCCACACTCATCTTCCTTATGCTTCTCTCCTTGTTCCCCTTGTTTCTCCTCCTCCTTTTATCCATGTCACCTCTCATCCTCACTACCCAACTCTCCTTCATGGTGTCTCTCCAACAGTACTCTCCTCCTGTCCTCCCTCCCTCTCTCCTTCCTTCCTCTTCTCTTCCCATCATCTCCCACTAGTCCTGTCACGAACAAATTTTGAATCATGATATATTGGTATACATAAACATTGCGATAAACAATAATACTGAAACTTCTTTATGCCTCTGATTAAATATTAAGATATAGTATCACTGACCAGTAATTAGCCATGGAAATGTCTTATTCAACCCTCTACATCTCAAATCTTATCACATTACAACTAAAATCGCAAAAATCTCCCCACTTTTGCAAAGAAAAGGTACCCACAATAAAAACTGAACCTAAAAAACAGGTCTACTCCCAACCTTTCTCCTCATCTCTCTCTTCCTCTTCTCCCTCTCTCTCCTCCTCCTCCTCCTCTCCATGGGACCAGCCCTGTGGATCTAGGCCAGTGCGTCATGGCTGATCTCACCCTCACATTTCCATTCAGAGCTCTGAGGTGCTCTGTGTCTGGGTGCAAGGTCGACCCCACTTTCTCACAGGTCCCCCTCTGTGTTTTATCACCTCACCTCCAGGTCATCTCCCTCCTCTGTGACCTTGAGGAGAGGTGTGTGAACCCTGTCTGAGGTAGCAGCACACAGAGGAGAAGGGAGGATAGGAGGAAACATTGTTATGATTTAGAATTAAACGGCCTATATTGCGGTATTTTCTTATCGAGGTTATAATGTTGTTTCTTCATCACAAACATACCTTGTGTTTTGTTTCATTCACACATGTTTAACACACAAATCCCTCATATTTAGGCTAAGTTCTTCTCACAAATAGAAAACACTCTGTCCCACCTTGACCCCTTGACAAAACACAACAACTCCAGGTATGTTTTTGAGGAGATAACAACATTATAACATGACTTAAAGCTCACAAGAGTCAATTTTGTGTAATATAGGACCTTTAATAAAAAAATTAAAGCTATATTTCGATCATTGTTGTTTTCAATTTAGTGTGATTGAACTTGCGTGTACTGTATAATTCATGCTTTAAATGTCATGCATAAAGGAGACATTTACATAGCAGAAGGTCAGTGGGCAGGTCTCTGGGAGGCTAAGGGCACAGGGTCATTTACAGCCATATTTTATCCTGTTTAGACAAGATAAATGAACAAAGAATAATATGACCTGATTCATATTTTAATGGTTATGGTTAAGGTGCACTTTTATTGTCCTTGTAGGATCATTTGTCCTCTGCATTTGACCCGTCCTTCAATGTCACTCATGTGGAGATTCTAGCAGTATTAGTGTTGTGCATGTGTTTTGCCATACAGTCAGTGGTGTCAACAACGGCAAACTTTAAATGTTTATAATATACAAATTGTTCTGTTTGGAAAGCATAATTTATTCAAGAGCTCATTACTTACCACCATGTCCCAAATAGAACGCGAGCATGGAGGCTCTTCTGGCTCCATTGACAAATCTGTCACCCCTCTCTGTAACTGCTGGAGGGAGTCTCATTTTGGTCTTAAAATGTTTATATTAACCCACTCTAGATTATATTGGTGTTTTAATTTTGCTATTTTGTTCCTAATATGGACATAGCTTCAAATGTGCTCCTGTAACTGCCTGCCTCTATGAGCTTCATTTGACTGGAGCGGAACGCTGTGGTTGACGTTCTCCCTCAGTCCACTTCTTTATTCAGTCTATGCTCAGTCTTTATATTGTGAAAAGATGAACACACTGATTTTTGAGACTGAGTTCTTTGCTGTTAAAAGTCAGCAGTGTGGTATTCATTTGGTGTTGTTAAATAAATGTTTTCTTTGTCTAATAAGTTATATGGCCTTGGCTCAGTTGATAGAGACAGTAGGGGAGCCTATTAAACCAAATGTTGGCACAGCTTTTGAGGAAGGCATTTGATCTACCATACTAAGCCAAAGTAGAAAAATAATCCATATCTCAATCAATCAACAAGAGTAGCTGAGGAAGAGTAAATGAGTAACTAACTGAAAAAAAGATGATTTATGATTTATTATTGTGATTTCAGGGAGGGGAGCACTGTTATTACCAGGGCAGGATACGAGACTTACCGGGGTCCTGGGCAGCGCTCTCCACCTGTCATGGCCTTTGGTAAGACAAAATGTTAAGTTAAATTAAAAAAAATACAAATCAAAATTGTTAATATATTTTCTCAAATGTTCTTCAGTGGCATGTTTTCCGATGGCTTCTTTTCTTATGGGATCGAACCTGTGCAGAATGGAAGTGTCAAGGTAAATTATTTGTGTTCAATTTGGATGTATCATTTTAGGTTTATTCTTTTTTTTTTTTTTTTTTTTCTTTTTTACAGTTATTTTTTATGTGTTTTTCTTGTAGGAAGATGGTGCTCACTTAATTCGCCGAATGCCTGATATCAGACTTACTCCACATTGTACAGGTATACACACATTTATCCAACTTATGGAATCCTTTTAATGCACTGCTTTTTGGTTGTTTGTTTGTTTGTTTTTTGAAGCTATATTTAGAATGTTGAGAATGTTATATAATTGTACTTACTGCATGTTAAATTATCAGGTAGAATTTGTTCTGATTAAAAAATTAAGAGATGAAACCAGCTTTGTAGCACCATAATTAGTCAAATTACTTATCAAGGCACTTCCATTGCCTACTTGATCTATACGGCTTAGTAGTAGTAGTAGTAGTAGTAGTAGTAGTAGTAGTAGTAGTAGTAGTAGTAGTAGTAGTAGTAGATTTAACTATAGTAGTAATTAATGTTAATATTATTTGTAGGATTTTATTGACTTTAGATGATTTATTAATGAAATAAAACTCCAGAATGTTCCATGTAAAATTGTATTTATGGGCTATACTTGATACTTTGATGTGCGACAGTTAAAAGCAAGTAAAAAGTTTATGACCGTGACTCTATTTAAATCCCCAGCGCTATATTTTCTTCTCTGTAAACTTGTTGCTGTGTTCAGACTGTGTGAAGGACAGTGGGCGGTGGAGCAGAGGAGGTGATGGAGCCTGGGAGCAGCCGGAGCCAGAGAAGGCCTCACACGCTCTGAGGAGGACCAAGCGCTACATCCGAAGACCCTCTGTCCAGACCGAGACCAAATATATCGAGCTCATGGTGGTCAACGACAATGAGATGGTGAGAAAAACAGGGGCATTTTACTGTGAATTTGACAGAAGTCTTGTGGTTTTAATCTTGTAGTTTACATCTTAATCTCAGATAAGGAACACTGGCCAATTTACATGTACTATATTAACCTGCTTGTCTCCATGGTGATATCTTAATGCCATGCTATGTAACATTTCTGGTAGGGCAACGCAATATAGCGTATTCATATTGAAATTGCAGTTTGAGTCTATCAAATCACAAAGGCTGCACTCATTCCTGTAGACTGAAGCACTGTAACACCTTATTGTAATGCATTTTATATATGTGTCTGTTGTGTATAGTGTGAATGAATGAAATGTGAAACATGGGACCAGTCTCTCAAATCTGCAAAACAAATTTACCTACAGGTACATAGCAACCAAACTTACCCTATTATAATTTAGAGATACATTTCTGAGAAGTGTTGTTGTACCTGTAGGTTAGACATCTACAAACGTGTTTTGAAATTCATAGAAGTCTTGTATTAGTTTATCAGTTCATATTTCAGTCTCTTCTCAAATGTTAATGCTCCTGGAGTTATATTTACGATGTTTAAATTGAACAGAATCCTACTTTTTACAAATCTAAACTCAATACTTGTCAGAAAAACAGTTCACAGTTCAAGTTTTTCCCAAATTTTTACAGCACTATTTTCTGGCAAAGCAAAAACATGTCCATGGAGACAAGCAGGTGGCAGACGCTGTTTCATAAAATTTAAATTGAGCACAGTTATAAACTATTTATAAACATTCAAATCTCTCTTCAGTGATAGTACTTGGTTTGACTGAGCGGGTGTGTGGTCCTCCACTGTTTTCCCATATAGATTTTGTGGTATTAAAATGTAGTGCAGCAGACAGGAGGGTCTATTGCTAATTTATATTAGAGGGGGCTCCCCAAATTTCTGCCAACGGGCCTGTTAAAATATAATAGTTCTATGTTTTTTCAAGAAAGGAAAGTTTAGTTGACTTTTTCTAAATTAGTCCTAGCCCCTACATATATTGGACCATATTTTTAACATGTAAGGGTGTACTTGAAATTTACACCAACACGGAGAGAATATACAAACTCCACACAATCTCAAACCTGTTAAGTAATCCTTGTTATTTTTCTCACCTATAAATATTTTTTTCTAGTTTGTGAAGTTGAAAAACAGCCAAACAAAGAATTTTGCCAAAGCAGTTGTCAACATGGCCGATGCAGTAAGTGTCAATCATCATATATCATAACCTTATAAAGATTATTTTTCATACCTTATTTTTGTCTTCACTGCTGCTTAAACAGCCTTACACTAATTGGCTTGCTGATCTTGGTTTGGTCCACAGATCTTTAAGGAGCAGTTGAACACTCGGATTGTGCTGGTTGCCATGGAGACGTGGACCTCTAAAGACCTGGTGCCTGTGATGGAGGACCCTCTAGTCACTCTACAAAACTTCATGAAGTACAGAAAAGACAACATCAGAGAACAGTGCGATGCTGTACACCTTTTATCGTAAGTGGATTTATTATGTTAAAACTACTACTATTATGTGTAACAAGGCATTGATCAACACTCAAAAAAACAAATCTTGTTTATATGTTATTTTGTCAACTATTATGGGTTGAACCAGAATAAATTAAGCAAGGATTTAACCCAAAAATAGACAATTTTTTATTTTATTTTTTGGTTATAGTAGTCCCCAATTTGGCATAAAACATATCTATCCCAATAGATAATATTTTGCCTGTATGTATTAGACATATGATATTTAATTATAGACATTTTATTGAGAAAAAAAACCCAAAACAAAACTGTAGAACATTCCAGGTATTCTCAATGGAGACAAGCAAGTACATAGCCAGGCTGGCACCACATGGTGCCTTCGCTCAATTTAATTTCTCTCGAGCGACTAGGTCAGGAATCAAAATACACTAGACCATTCGCAAAAACACCAGAAGTGTGAGTTCGGGCACCAACCAATCAGCAAAGAGCCATATATTCTGTGTTGGCAACAATTCCCCAGATCGAGGATTTAAAGCCGGAACAAAGAGAATGTTTGGTGAATTTTATCAAGGGGAAAGACATTATTGCCCTTCCTATCGGATTTGGGAAAAGCTTAATATACCAGTTAGCCCCATTAGTGGTGCATTATATATGTCACAACCAAATAGCAGTGATTGGTTAAATTAAAAAAGTACCTGCCTACCGTCGAGCGAACGAATTCTAATGCTGCAAGATCAGACGGTTTCTACGAAGTGAAACCAGGTGATGAATCAGGCTAGCGAGTATACCCTCTCCACCTGAAAAGTAGTACACCTATACTTTTTCAGTGTTTTTCCTGCTACTTGCCAATATATTGAAGCCGTTTCAAACCAAATATTAAAATTCTCTCTCTCTATGTGCAGAGGTCGGACCTTTCACAGTAGTAGAAGTGGGACGGCCTACACAGGAGGGGTGTGTTCTTTGACGAAAGGTGGAGGCGTTAATGAGGTGAGGACACAGTAAAGTAAGAAAAATTTATTCAAACTAAGTAATAAAATATTTATTAAGTTTATGTTTTTGTTACAGTTTGGGAGTGTAGGAGCCATGGCCATCACACTGTGCCAAAGTCTGGGGCAGAACATCGGGATGAGGTGGAACAATTTGCGCAACTCTGCAGGTAAAATCAATAGGGAATATTTGTATGTTTGTAATTATACATTTTGTGAATTGTTTATTGAATAGATAAAACTTAGTGTCCCAACAAATAAGAGGATCAGGAATTTAATCAAGGAGTATGATACATTGATAAGTTACATTGATGTTGGTGAGGATGATGGTTTTGCTGCTTCAGTGGAGATGGGTTGGTTGCAGCCCAGTGTTGTAATTGTGAAAGAAGCGATTCCAGACCAGGCAGAAAGAAGCCCTTTATCTGATACCAGAATAGTGAAGGTAGAGACACTAGGTGCATGCACGTCTTACAAAAAAGCTTCCTTGTGGAGAAGTGGAGAAAATTCTAACTGTAGAAGTCTGGACATATGTGGATTTAAACAAATTTTGCATAATTGTCATACAAGGTCGTAAATTACCTTTGACGGAAATGCAAAATAGTCACAGAAAAACTGCTTGTATAAGCAGAAAAGATTGTTTACAGGGGTCTCTTGTCACCAAGTACATAAATAATTGCAGTCTGTAACTGAAGGAGCTGGTCCAGTGGGAACATTTTGAAACAAGTACATTTATTAATTTACTCTGGAAACAATTTCATCCCAGTTTTTGTAATACACAGTAATTAACATAAGTTTAAATAGCGAAGATAATAAATTATAACACAATTCATGCTTTCAAATGTTCATATACAAGGGTAACAGAGAAAAGAGTATATACTGTATTTAGATGGGACTAAACCCAAAACTAAACCTGCTTTAAACTAAGTTTAAACCAGTACTAACTCAGGACCAAAACAAGTCTTCATCAGGATTTCACTGGGATCAGCATCATTTTTGAAACTATGTAATGAATAGGGTTGAGTTAATATAAGTTTTCTTTCCAAACCTTTTCGAGAAATGTTCTTTTCTGTTGTCTCGAAATAAAAACAAATCAGTCAATCAATCAGTCAAACCCGGGTCTCTTAACTAGATATGACAAGACACATTTCTAATGAGACACGGGATTAAGTCTATGAGACAAAACGTGATTTTGACCAAGCTCTAAATGAATTGTGCAGAAATATAAAGCTTTTGCTACTAGTAAATGTAACTGAGTAAATATAACTGCTAGTATTACCCACCTCTGTTAATTGTCAAATGGGAAAACATGCCTACATATTTGACTATGTCTTTGTAAGAATTATGATTGTTATGATTTCCTCACTTGAAGGTGCAGTATGTAACTTTGTGGTTGGAGGTCTATCACCTGCTTGGTTCTATGAATATGACATTGCTTTTTCTGGAATGTTCCACAGTATGACATTAAACACCTCTACCTTACATTTATTAAATTGCCAGTGGTTTTATGGCTCAAAAATACCTAGAAAAATAGACATTCTGAGTGTGAGCTGGGTTGCTTCTCCACAGATCTGACTTGTAACTCTGTCTGGTTTGGTCTATGTGCAGATAGAACAGTTTAATGCCATACTGTGAAACATTCCAGACAAAGCAATAACATCTCCATGGAGAAAAGCATTTGACAGACCAGAAATTTTACAAAATGCACCTTTAAATAATATGTTGAAATTTCAAAACAATCTTGGGAGAAGCTTTGAAATTGTTTGAATTACATGCTTATTTATTACTCTTGCATGAGATAGCATGGTATTATAATAGAGGACATAAGTCATAGAGCGTACTGTAGCAGAGATAGTGATGGTAAAAGCAGGATTGATAGTGGGGCGTGAGGGGGATGTGAGTGGCCCCTCTCAGTGTAGATGCTCCGTCCTGTTGAGCTCTTCCGTAATTAGACTTATATACATTAGTCACCTGGATCTGGGAGGGAGGGGCTGGTGGTTAGAGTGGGGCTGCCATTGAACAATAGACCAGTGATGGATGCTAGGGGGGATTCAGAACCATATTTCACAGATGGGACAGGAGCTCAGCGCAATCTCCAATGGCTCTGTGTGTAAAGGACTCCCATAAAGAAGTCTAGATGGCTATAAATCTTTGAGCTGGTGAAAACTGTGTTCGTCGTATACTTACTGTCAGGACCGTCGATAGAAATCTGGGGGCCCGGGACAAGAAGCCTCATATGGACCCCTCTCTTATATGACTTAATAGGAAATGGGTCCAGTTTTGGGTCCCTAATCCCTTTAATCTCCTTTGTAATGTATTTGCATGTATGAGTGTTATTTCTGTATAACTTTACTGTCTTTGCCCTTAGGTGACTGCAGATGCCCTGATGCTTGGTTGGGCTGCATCATGGAGGACACAGGGTAGGCCAGTTACTAATTATGTAAAGAACACAAACAAAGCAAATATATTAAAAATAAAAATAAATAAAACATCTTGCAAAAAATTTAGCTTTTCTAATAAACAATTGAATAATAAATTACTTTGAAGTTAGAGTTCGGTGGTATGATATTAAAAATCCATTCCATTCCATTCCATTTTCTTCCGCTTATCCGGGGCCGGGTCGCGGAGGCAGCAGTCTAAGCAGGGACTCCCAGACTTCCCTTTCCACGCACACTTCCTCCAGCTCTTCTGGGGGAACCCCAAGGCGTTCCCAGGCCAGCCGAGAAACATAGTCCCTCCAGCGTGTCCTGGGTCTTCCCCGGGGCCTCCTCCCAGTGGGACATGCCCAGAACACCTCCCGAGGGAGGCGTCCAGGAGGCATCCGGAAAAGATGCCCGAGCCACCTCAACTGGCTCCTCTCAACGTGAAGGAGCAGTGGCTCTACTCCGAGCTCCTCCTGTGTGACTGAACTCCTCACCCTATCTCTAAGGGAGCGCCCAGCCACCCTGCGGAGGAAACTCATTTCGGCCGCTTGTATCCGCAATCTCGTCCTTTCGGTCACTACCCAGAGCTCATGACCATAGGTGAGGGCAGGAACGTAGATTGACCGGTAAATCGAGAGCTTTGCCTTTCGGCTCAGCTCCCTCTTCACCACAACGGTCCGATACAGCGACCGCATCACTGCTGAAGCTGCACCGATCCGCCTGTCAATCTCACGGTCCGTCCTTCCCTCACTCGTGAACAAGACCCCGAGATACTTGAACTCCTCCACTTGGGGCAGGGACTCTCCACCCACCTGGAGAGGGCAAGCCACCTTTTTCCGGTCGAGAACCATGGCCTCGGATTTGGAGGAGCTGATCTTCATCCCAGCCACTTCACACTCGGCTGCAAACCGCCCCAGTGCACACTGCAGGTCCTGGTTCGATGAAGCCAACAGGACAACATCATGTGCGAACAGCAAAGATGAAATCCTGTGGTCCCCAAACCGGACCCCCTCCGGCCCCTGACTGCACCTAGAAATTCTGTCCATAAAAACAATGAACAGAACCGAAGGGCAGCCCTGGTGGAGTCCAACATGCACCGGGAACAGGTCTGACTTACTGCCGGCAATGCGAACACAGCTCCTGCTCCGGTCATACAGGGACCGGACAGCCCTTAGCAAAGGGCCCCGGACCCCATACTCCCGGAGCACCCCCCACAGGACACCACGAGGGACACGGTCGAATGCCTTCTCCAGATCCACAAAACACATGTGGACTGGTTGGGCAAACTCCCATGAACCCTCGAGCACCCGATGGAGGGTGTAGAGCTGGTCCAGTGTTCCGCGGCCAGGACGAAAACCACACTGCTCCTCCTGAATCCGAGGTTCGACTATCGGGTGGATTCTCCTCTCCAGTACCCTGGCATAGACCTTACCGGGAAGGCTGAGGAGTGTGATCCCCCTATAGTTGGAACACACCCTCCGGTCCCCCTTCTTATACAGAGGGACCACCACCCCGGTTTGCCAGTCCAGAGGTACTGTCCCCGACCGCCACGCGATGTTGAAGAGGCGTGTCAGCCAAGACAGCCCCACAACATCCAGAGACTTCAGGTACTCAGGACGGATCTCGTCCACCCCCGGAGCCTTGCCACCAAGGAGCTTGCCAACCACCTCAGTGACTTCAGCCAGGGTGATATTAAAAATCATATTGTGATAATTTCATGTTTAATGCAGCTCTAGAGAGAACACAGACTCTCTTTCTTCCCCCTCCACTCCTCCTATTGGTTGGCCTCTGTTATGCTTTGAGTGAGTGACAGGTGGATTTAACCAATCACAGCAAAATATTAACTATCAAAAACATCAGCCCGTTTCAGTTATCTTCTAAAGGCATTATAAAGTATAAAGTTATACTATATAACTTTTCTGGTGTTATTACTACAACAGATGTATTGACTGCCTAAAATAGTCCACAGTATGGCATTAAACTTCTCTGTCTCCATGGAGACATGCTGGTGATGAAGCAGGGTAAGTTACAGTTACAGATCAGATCAGTGGAAAGGCAAGCTTGCTCTTTTTCAAGGTATTTTTAGCAAAAAAAAAACATGTGAAATGAAATACATGGAAGACAGATCAGTTTAATGCCATACTGTAGAATATTCCAGGTGAAGCAATAGCATTTAATCAGGAAATTAAATAGTGCACCTTTAAGAGTACATGCATTTTGGTTGAATAGAAATTGTAATGAAATTATTTTGAAAAACTGGATTACGCATTTCAGAATAATTTATGCTGCTACATCCAGATGGTATTTACAGTTGGTTTCAAACTCAAATATCAGATATCAAAACATGGTTAATATTCCTGTCCTGTGGCATTTACTCAGTCTTCTACTGTTTTTGACACAGCTACAATCTGCCCAGAAAGTTCTCTCGCTGCAGTGTTGATGAGTACATCCAGTTCTTGCTTCAGGGAGGTGGGAGCTGCCTCTTCAACAAGCCCAACAAGGTGAGGGCCATGTGGGCACGTGGGCAGAGGACGGGCACCAGCTTCCAGTCAGTCACACACACAAAAACGCGCGCACACACACACACACACACATACACACACTGAAATATACTACAGGAGTCTAGAGAAAACAACTGTGTGTTTAAAGGTCCTATATTACGCAAAATTGACTCTTCTAGCCATGTTGTAATGTTGCTAGCTCATCAAAAACATACCTGGAGTTGTGTTTTGCTTTATTCATACATGTTTGCATAACTCTTTAGTATTAGTCTGTCTACATCTCCAAAGCTTAAAATGCTCTGTTCCACTTTGTAATGTCATGAAGCAATAATTTTCTTGTGTTTTGAGTTTGAGAAGAACTCAGCCTTAATATGCAAGAAAACACAACTATAGCACCATTATTTTCATAAATCAATTAAAAAAGAAAGAAAGAAAAATCTGTTCCTTGTGTATAACATTGTACCTACATTTTGGATAGAATTTAATGACTGTTGATGACAGAGATAGAGGATTTCTCATTGCTTCTTCCTTCTTTCCAATTTTTTGTTTTCTACTTTTCTTTATAAACTGCCACCTAACTGATGTAAAACTATGACAGATATTTACCACAGGTACTATCACACCAAACAAAGTCATAATTAGAAAAATATATGAATCTGTCAAAAGCACTTTAAGTCATAAACAAATGTATTTATGTATGTTCAGCTCTTGGACCCCCCGGAGTGTGGGAACGGCTTTGTGGAGCCTGGAGAAGAGTGTGATTGTGGATCTCAAGTGGTGAGTGCTATGAATGTTTGTGTAATGTGCAGAGTCCACTTTAGACTGTTGAAAATATTAGCCTGGTTAGTCAAGTGATATTTATATTATTTCAAGGCAGTAGTAGTAGTAGAAGTAGTAGAAGTAGAAGCAGAAGTAGAAGTATCAATGGCCTGGCAATAAACATCTGTTACAAAAAGACAACAGTTTAAAAGATCCCAATTACTAACTGCTGTATTGCCTTGTAAATAAGGTCAATTTAGTTTTTCCCTCACATAAAGTGTTGCGTAATAGCAGCATTTTGTGTCATAATCAGACCACTGTAAGATGTCTGCATCTAATTAAGGAAGGATTTTTTAAAATTTTGGTTGAATAATGTTGCCCACCCCCACAGCCCACCCCTGTGACTGGTCATCAAAAATACACCAGGAGATTTAAACCTTAGATATGCACCAGACAGTCTTTCTTTGTATAAGAATATGTCTGTATAACACATTACTCTTGGGTGTTAAAATATATAAGCTTTCCATCTGACTCAAATCTGTTTACAAAAGAAAAAAATCAACACGTTTTTCTTTGGCATCCAGATGTTCAAAATTTCTCAGCAGCAAATGGTCTACACTAATTTGCATTTTGTTTGAATTTCATTTTATGACAGATGCCCAGCTGACATCTTCCATTTCCCAAAGAGTACACTGAAATCGAACAGATTTGTCAGGTAGATGATGACTGCGAAATAACATTAAAACATCCCTGTGTGTCTGTGCAGGAGTGTGCGCGTAATGGAGGATCATGCTGTAAAAAATGTACACTTACCCACGATGCCATGTGCAGCAATGGACTCTGTTGCAGCAGCTGTAAGGTAAATATTAGCTTAAGCAAAATACAGCAACTTGTTAGTCCTTGTTTCTGTATCCTAGAGCAAAATAACACAATCTTGACACAGAAGGTTACACAATGTACAGAGTTTTGAGAAAATAAGTAAATAAAACAAAGAATCAGCTATTGTTTTGGGGTGACTCGGGGTACACAAAACTGCATACATGACACATTCATCTTATTCATCACATTATAATAAAGATACACAATGTAACTTTTCCGGTGGGGTGATCTCCTATGTACTTACTTTCGCTTTGCTTTGCCTAGAATGTTTCACAGTTTGGCATTAAACTTATCAATCTTGCATTTATTCAGTTACAGCATTTACTGCTATAATATGCATTCTTTTTATGTGTGGGGTCGCCTCTCCACAGATCTCATCACATGTGGGGGACCCTTCACCAGAAAAGTTAAATAATGCACCTTGACGTTACACGACAAAAAGTTCGATAGTATGTTCATGTGATGTGCTTTGGTGCATACATGTCTCTAATTTATCCATGGGGTACAGAGTGATGAGAATCTAGGGCGGTTGCTATGGCGATTACAACATTTTACAATATCGAAATGTGTGTTGAATGGAAAAAATCTTCAACAACTTGCATATAGTACATACAGTGAGTCTAATACTTTTATATCTTTTCAGTATGAGCAGAGAGGAGTTGTGTGTCGAGACGCTGTGAATGACTGTGACATCCCCGAAACCTGCACCGGAGACTCGAGCCAGGTAACATGTGAAACTGAAATGGTGTCAAAATGGACAAAACACGAGAAAAAAGCCTATTCACACGTTAATTTTCTATCATTTACAGTGTCCCCATAATGTGCATAAACTTGATGGCTACACATGTGATAGCAGTCAGGTAAAAACATTGATTTTGTTGACTAACTTTTAAATATTTTGCTTCTCTTTCTGCATTTAATATCTTTGGTTTTCCTCAGGGGCGATGTTATAGTGGACGGTGTAGAACTCGAGACGGCCAATGCAAAGGACTATGGGGTTATAGTAAGTTCATTAATTGCTATTTTAATCTGCTATTTTAATTTCAGAAAAAAGAACAACAACAACAACAACAGGAAAATATATATTACTTCTATTGGTGTGCTAAGATGTTATGATATCCTATGCAGTTATCTTTAAGTGTCTGTATTCCTTTGGGTTAGTCCATATTTCTTCTAGGTTCACAATAGATAAAATGCATTAGAATTGGATGGAGACAGTTGTGGGCGTCTTAAGAGCTGCTTTACAATATCCACTCCCCCTTTAAGTGTATTTTTTACTGTTTCTGTTTTATTTTTAGATTCTGCAGACAGGTTTTGTTATGAGAAGCTGAACGCAGAGGGGACAGAGAAAGGGAACTGTGGGACCAACCCCGATGGGCAGGGCTGGCTCCAGTGCAACAAACCGTGAGTACAAAATGTGATAATTCATTTTTGTCTCATGTATTCATCTGCATGATTTTATAATAATGTATTTCTCATTTTAGAGATGTATTATGTGGGTTTTTATTCTGTGCCAATGTGACCACGAACCCAAAGTTTGGAGACTTGAGTGGAGAGTTGACCAGTTTCACCCTTTACCACCAGAACAAGTACTTGGACTGTCGGTGAGTAGTGCCAATCAGATATGAGGATTTAGTTTTTCTCATTCCCAGTATATGGACAGGCCATGCCTCATATGAAAGCTCAGAGCCTCACTGAGCTGCAGAGGCTAGCACTGAATGATGGAATTTAGGTAGTGTTGATTCAGATCAATACATTTTAGGTATAAACCAACTCTATTTCAGCATTGAAACTGGTATCTCAAATGAGGGACTCATGTGAAGAAGATTATTACTAAGAATAAATCAGCATTACATTTTGATTTGAACAGTTAGGGACAGTTTATGCATGATACAGGCATGTGTTGATTGTATTTTCAAGTAAACAAAGGAGTCATTTTGCTGGTAGTATAATGATAATTGCAACACTAAATTGTAGCACCCATTGACCTCATGTGTATTCTCTTCAGAGGAGGACACGTTCTGCTGGAGGATGGCTCAGACCTGGGTTATGTGGAGGATGGCACCCCCTGTGGGCCAAACATGATGTGTCTGGAGCGTCGCTGCCTCCCGGTGGTCACCTTTAATCTCAGCACCTGCCCTGGCTCTAACTTTGGACGCATCTGTTCAGACCATGGGGTACACACTTTTACTGTTTATTTTATTTTGAAGACTAAAGTAGTTGTTCTTTCAGTAATAACCAAAAAACTGCTGGTATTTGCAACACCCAAGCACAAAAATTGATAATTTAGCCTTAATATGTTTAATGTTTGATTTTATTTTCGGGACATAGGCCTAGATACACTGATTTTGTAGGAATGTACATTTACCACTGTATTTGAAAAGGTTCCAGCCATGTTTTGAACTATTTAGGTCCAACTTGATTTTTGCTGTTCCTTTTTAAAACTATGGTGTCCTATTCATGGGTTTCAGAATTATGAGAAATTAGGACCGTTGTCATAGTAATTAACCATTACTTATACAAAATCCTCAAAATGTTGCCTACAAACAGGAAACTGAAACTTATGAAGAAATAATCATTGCGTTTTCTTCATTGTTTGTAGACCTGCAGCAATGAGGTGAAGTGCATCTGTGACAGAGACTACACGGGGAAAGACTGCAGCGTTTTTGACCCCATCCCAGAGCCCACTGTCCCCACGGGTCCAGAGAAGAAAGGTCCATACACCCCAAAATTAACTACTCTCTCTCCCTCTCTCTCCCTCTCATACCCTATCATAATCACTGCCATCTCCTCTGTAGCTTCTGTATGTTTCACACTTAGACAAGGTTACACACACAAAGGTAATTTTCAAACTACACTGTCAATTTTGTGGTGTTTTTAACGTCTAGTGAATATGAGTGTGTGTGAGTGTGTGTGTGTGGGTTTATTTGTATTAGAGCTACTGTGACTGTGAAGTACATCAGATCAGCCATAACATTATGAACACCTGATTGATCTTATTAGGCCTATATAATTATTTTTTTCTTATATTCTTACAAGGGATCAAGCTAAAATAATATATGAAATGTTTAAGATGGCAAACATTATGTGAATCTGATTAAAAGGGATTTTAAAATGGATTAATAGATTATATTATGTATTGTAATTTGAGCATATTGGTGATCTGTTTTTTTTATACATAGAGGTAACTTTGCTCCACTATTCATTTAATGATTCATCCATCACAATAAACCAAATTTACTGTGTAATCTTACTGTTTCTGTTCAATATATATGTGCTGTTATCTGTTTCTTGTGTTATTCCTCTTAATGTTATGGCTGCTCAGTGTCTGTACCTGTATCTGTGTGTGTCTGTCTGTTTGTGTGTGCTTGTGTGTGTTTGTGTGTGTGGTGGAAAGTGTCACAGATCATTGCTGTTTTAGGGTCAATAAACTGACAGCACATTCACTCCGAGCTCCAGGCTGTCCCATAAAAAAAGTTATAGACATCTAACTCTCAGTGTGATTGAAAAAATAATATTTTGAATTCTGTCAAAGAAACATCACAATATTAAAACCTGAATCTCTTTTTGCTGAAGTTAAAGGCTTGACATATCAATTTTAATACCAAAATTAAAACAAGTTAAAAAAACACACCCCTTATACAAAACAGTATTATTTTTGCACTAAGTAATTGTATTTTCTTGAAAATTACTGGCAGGTCTTATACTGTTATGACATATGAAGACCACTCTAAACCCTCTTTCAAACTGCATGCTTTCAGTGCCACAGGTGTTCATCATGATAAACAATTGAAGGGTGGATCAAATACAGAGGCGAGATTTCCCTTTGGGGCTACTAAAATGCAACTTAACCAATAAAATACCCTTGGACAGTTACGCATGCAGTCTGAGGCCAGGTTTAAGCTCACGCCTCCTCCCTCTCATCTCTCAGTCTGTAGCTCTCACCTTTGCTCTGTCTCTGTAGTTGCTCTCTCCTCTCTCTCTGTCTCCTCCTCGTGGTCGTGGTACAGTCTTGACGCTGTCCTGACGTGTGTTTTGAGTGGTGTTGTTTTGTTTCTTGCCCCTCCTTCCTTCCTTTATACCCCCCGCCCCCTCCTCCTCCTTCCTTTGTGCAGGTCCCAGTGGCACCAATATCATAATAGGGTCCATCGCAGGTGCAATTCTCCTGGCAGCTATAGTCCTAGGGGGGACGGGCTGGGGATTTAAGTAAGCGTTCTGGCATGCCTCTACCTGTGTACCTGTCTGCTTATACCTGATACGGGACACCCACCTCTCCCACACAAAGGCCTGTCACAATAAATACTACACTGACTTATCGATAAATGTTAGCTGCATATTTTTGGGGCTCAGTATTTATTATGGGTACTTCACCTTTTAACTAGTGGGACATTTTTGTTATTTTTTATTTTTGTAATAGGATTTGAGCTGTTGAGGGTTGAATTAGTAACTTTATATACTTGGTTTCATCGCAACAATTTATTGATACATTGCAGCGACATCACGCCGGCTGGGGTCTTACATGCATGTCTAGGGAAGAATGTTTAGCAGTTACCACGATGACACAATGCGCACATTAGCAAACAATGCCAAAAAGTTTTGAGATCTGTCTGAAAAAGACAGAAAAAATACAAAATGGATTTTAACCATCCATTTTGCGGAGCCTGTGGCCAATAGGAGCGTTCATGGTCCTGTTTAGGTGTTTGATTTTACACAAAAAAGTGAGAGTGACTAACTGAAAAACTGTTGACTAATGCTAGCTAGCTTGTGACTGTAATGTTATTTGAGAAAGACTTGTTTAACAGTACACATTCTGTTGTAGTTTCAGCTTTATGGTCAGATTGTGTTAAAACAAAGCTCAGATTAAAGTCTAACTTGAATAACAGAGCTTCAGACATAGCAGTGCCTCTGGTTAGCATCACCTCCTAGGGAATGTTGATGACATGAGCTGCAAAGTATTAATACGTCTATAATATTCAATACAGATGGGGGGCAGTTAACATTAATATTGTTAAAATGCTGATATTTTATGGTAAAGTACAATGTAATCAATAGGAAAAACTGTCTCTTGTGTCCCATCACATCTACAATTTAAAAACCACCAATAGACACTTACAAGACAGACACAATTTCTATACTACCATATAATACATTTCAAAAAAGTTTTACTACAAGAATCCTGCTCAAGGTCTCAGCACAATAAAATAGTTTCAGTTATTTTTTATTGTGATATTTTTGTAGTTTTTATAAATCGCACTTCAAATGTTCTTATTGTGACAGGTCTGCACTCGCACCCCTGTTTGCCACGGGGAGGGGTCTTGAGACATGCAATTTGCTTGGACTGCTTATGGCCTTTTTACCATATGAAACATCACACATTTTATTATTTAACCAAACTTTTATAAACTTATCTTAGATCCATCCTGCATCTTGCCTTCACTCCCATAGAATAGGGTCAAATTAAGCTGCTAACATGCCAGAAACCACTTCACTACTTACTTAGCCTGACTTTTTCCAACATAGCCTACTCCAAGTGCATTGGATCACTAAGAATGATTGCTAGCACCCTAATCGTATATATTAACATGCCTTGCCTTTGGTGCTATTTTAGCCTGCATCGTCCCATATGCCCCCCCTGCATGCTCGCTATAGTCAAACCTTATTCTCTGAGCTAAAAGGACTACGGAATTAGCTGTTAGCGTCACTACTTCCTGTTCAAGTTTTTATCTATGGGGTTTTTGCTGAGTCGTGCTTAAATTAATAAAAAATTAAGTATAAGACACTGGAGAGTGGGTTGCACGTGGATGTGAGTGACAGCATGTTCAAAGTACAGAAATGAAATGAATACTTCACTGGAGGACACTTCTGTATTTACAATGTTTGTGCCTCAATGCTAACGCTAATGTTGAAGGTAAATAAATATTACAACAACACCTAAAATTGAAATATTCTACTTTTTTTTTAATCATTTGGCAGTCTTTATTTTTATTAATTAGAATTTACTCTTGGTGGTTTATTTCATTTTTATTTTTTTTTACAGTTAATAAAAGTGACTGTTATAAAATGAATTGCATAAGTCCTTTTAGACACAGGGGTAAGTGTGTGTGTGCAGTGCATGTGTGCATGGGCTGTTGTTCAAACCTTTACTTACACAACAGTTACTGGCTGAATATTGTATGTATTGAGATATGCAAAAGTTTCACTCAGATTTGGTGGTATGGAGGCTGCTTTTGCATGTGTTACTAATCCTAAAACTGCCTAAATTGGATGATAAGAGTCAAAGTTTGAATGTTGAGCTGTTAACTTTTGAAGAACAAGTTAAAGGTGCAATGTGAAGTGACATCTGGTGGACAATGTTGGAATTGCACACCTCTGAACAGCGATCTATTTGGTCAGGTAGTTTACAGTTAAAATAAAGGTCTCCATGTATTTATACTTTACCTTTTCATAACAAAAAAAACTGTTGTTAGTGAAGGAATGTACATGTTTATTAGTCAATTTACACAGTGCACCTTTAATCCAACTTCACTGCAGATGTGATTTTATTTTTTTTAAACAAAGTATCTTTTCTATGTTATGTTTTTTTTTTTCCAAAATGCAGGAACATTCGAAGAGGAAGGTATGGAAACTTATCTGACTTAAGCGTAACTTGCCAATTATCTTTTACTGAAAATTGTGGAATTGTTTAATTACTACTATCACAAGCAAATGGCTTAGAGCACCATAAAGCATCAAGTTTATGGGGCAGCTTTTTCTTGTTTTCTCTGTTTTGTTTTGCTACAGCAGATGTCAGCCTGTGCTAGCTTGTTCAGATACAGGTGGAGGAAAGTACTGAATTGTGATATAACCTAACATCGTGACAGGACAAGATCATAACTTTAGTTTATGAAAACAAAAGCAAATTGAACAATTTAAGGAAAGAAATCATCATATACAGTATATTTTTGTTATATGCCCCACCACTACTTTTGTGTAGGTGCCTTTAAATGACTACATTTTAACACATAAATTGTCACATTTTTTCTTTATCCTAATTATCTTTCTCTCTTCCTCTCTTCCCTCCTCTCTCTCCTTCCCTCCTTCCCTCTCCCACTTTCTCCCGCTCTCTTTCTTTCCCTCTCTCCTCTCTCTCTCCCTCTCCCCTTCTTTCTCTCTCTCCCTCTCCCTATCTCCCTCTCTTCCTCTCTTCCTACCCCTCTTTCTCCCTCCCTCCTTCCCTCTCCCTCTTTCTCCCACTTTTTCTCTCCCTCTCCCCCCTCTCCTCCCACCCTTCTCTCCTCCTCTCACTCTACTCTCTACCCCCTTCTCTCCCTTGCTTTCTCTCTCTCTCCCTCTTTCTTCCTCTCCCCCTCTCTCTCTTTCTCGCTCTCACTCCCTCTCCTCCTCTTCGCCTCTGTCCCCTCTCTCCTCCTCTCCCTCCATCCCTCTCCCTCTTTCTCCCACCCTCTATCTCTCTCTTCCTCTCCCCACTCTCCTCCTGTCCTCCCCTCCTCCTCTCCCTCACTCTCCTTCATCCCCCCCCTTTCTCTCTGTCTCTCTCCCTCTCTTCCTCTCTCCTCTCTCTCTCTCTGTCCTTCTCTCTCAGATCGGGTGGAGGATAATCATCTCATCTCTCCGCGTGTCTTTGCGTCCCATGTGCTCCCGTCTTCCTCTTCTCACTGTGTCAAATCCACATCTGGAGAAAAACAAAACAAAACAAAACAGGGGAACAACCAAGTCTTCCACCCGTGTCCTGAAATCTCCACTTCCACTGTCCAGCCTGTATCTGTCTCTCCTCTTCCTCCTCTCCTTCCTCTTCCTCTGTGGTCTTCTTCAAACCAGCCAAAATCATGAGGGTGGTGTCTTCTCTGTTAACGGGCCAAATGAAGTGGAGCGAGCAGGTGGCGCCCCCTACTGGTGTCACCGAAGTCTTCCTCAGTCCAGTGGCTTTTTAAAAACGAATGTGCTTCAACACGTGCCATTGTGTGCTGGTACCAGAACAAGGAAATTCACATCTTTATCAGACACAGAGTTATTTAAGTTTGAGAGCTTTTTTAATACCAACTTGATATCACGAGCCAATAATTATTACTACAAAATAATATTACTGAAAAGTTGTAGGTGCCAACTGCAGCTTCCCCCATTGACTTAGAACTTGACTTTATATTGGGCTACAACCATTAATCGAACAAATTGATTGAATGGATTTAGCTAATCCTTAGTCATTATCTGGTACAAACAGAAAATAAACATGTAATTTGCTAAGAATATATGTTTTTATTTCAAAAAAAGTGCTGTTAGAAAATTAAAATGAAACAATAAGAATATATATTTTGTGATCAAAAGGTGTCAATTTAAAATATTTGAAGGTTAAGCTGCTTAAATTTTATGAAAGAAATGCAAAATAAATAAATAGATAAATAATATTCATTGACTAGTTGTTTATTTGCAGCCCAACAATAATTACTTATCCTCTAGCAAGGTACGCCCCAAATATTACAAAATAGAATAAAAATGTGCATTCAAAACACAAATAAAAGCAGTTATGTCTTTTTACAATATTGTGAAATGATAAGATATATGGGAAAATTGGCAAATACTGTTCAGAAAATGCTCTCAAAATGAAATAATTCCCTCAAACACATACTACTCTTCCATGGTACCTCGTTTTCATCACAAATGGACAGCTTGAAAAGAACATATCAACTTGGACCAATTGAAGTGGGCATGTCTTTCTGTTACTGGCCCGAACCCAAGCGCACAGACTGGCCATGGACTACAATAGACTAAAGGAAAACCACTGATCGGAGTGAAGAGTTTACTAATATTTTTTAAGAAACTGACCTGGATTCTTTAAAAGGCCAGGAGTTGACTTGGTGCATCGCAAAATGGACAATAATTTTATTTATTAAAACTTAAAAAACTAGATTAACACTTTTTTTGTTTTCCAAAGAAGGACAGAAACCAAGTGAAAAAAGCCAGATTCAGTGTGATTGTCTAGCTCATTGTTACTTGTTATTATCTGAACTTGAAGCATCTTGCCTGCCACCCCACAAGATTTCAGGTATGATGGAAAAAAATAGAAAAATGTTGCGTTTTTCACCAAACTTCAAATCAACAAAGACCGCAAACTTAGTGTTTTATAGCCACAGACTGACCAACATACAAGCGCTACAGCAACAGGTCTGAACAGTGTGGATAAGGCCTTCAAATTCAGTAGTTCTGTTAAAATATACAAAAATATGTACAAAGATATGCACTAGGAAATTGCAGCGTTACAAGCACAGTTCAAGAACAGCAAGAGAAAAAAAATAGGCACTCAACCAAGATAAATAAGTAGTAAAGTGCAAACAGTTGGAAAATAAGAATGAAAGTAGCGGGAGCATTGCAACCAGCATTCAGCTCCCATCAGCACCAAACTATTAAAATGATTTTATGTCTTACTAAAATTAAAACCACATATCTCTTAAAATTAGATTAGTTTTAGCAATGTCTCCTACCATACAAGTGTCTTGCCCAAGAGTTCAAACTTGCATTGAATCGGCAACTCATGGGTCTATGGCCAACTCCGTTAACGTATGTAATTAATGAGGTAATGTTATGCAGAAGTGAATTGAAAAGCACAACTTCAGCACAAAACAGACTCACAATTAGAAAATGTACAACGTAACAACACAAATTGTGAGATCAAGGCTTCAAACAGTAAAAGAATATCTGGTCTAGTCTAACCACGATAGAAGAGGTTTGTTTTGATTTTCATCCAGAATCATTTTCAATCACATCCAATTATTAAAATTCAGAATGACTCTGGATGGAAGTTGAAATGCCTTGATTTCAGAAACATTGTTGAGATTACTACCTTTGAAACATTTTCTACCACAGACCGCTCCAGGACAAATGAGGGACTGCACCAACTCACAAAACCTGCAACCCAGTAGATTTGTTCAGACCTCTGTACAAGCATCTCCTGAAATGCATGTGGTTCTTCTATTGTAACTACAATTCAAGCCAGAAAAATCATAGACATTTGTCCTCAGTTGTCCAGACCTGGTTCACTTCTTGTAGTGAATCCATATTTACATTGAACTACTGAACTCTCTCTTTTCCACAGTTTTCTGCTCTGTTGCTGTGCGCCACATTCCACACTGCTCTGTGTCTGGTCACCTTATTACAGGCCAATGTTTGTATTCACTTTGGCTTTGTCCGAATGTGTCACTATTGAACGAATGTATGAGAGGAGCGCATGTGAGATTTTTAAAGAGACGGTTGTATGGGGGTTATGCTGTGTCTTAAGTATCAAAGCTCAATTTATGTAACTGACATTTTCTAGTTTATTATGTGACCACTATTTGGCTTATGTCCAGTGACAAAATATTATTTAAAAAAGGTATAATCCAAAATCCTCCACCTAAAGTTAAGATACATTTGAAGTATTGACATCATGGGTTATAGCGATATTGCTTTGACGGATTTGTAAGACCATTGTCATGTGACTATTTTCTTAAGATCTAATTGGCTGACTTTTAATTAGACTGTTTGCTTACAGACTTAAGCCAGGGGTGTCCAAAAGGTTTTGTCAGGGGCCACATATCTGGTGGTCAGTAGTGAATAAACATTGCATTTAAAACAGGTTAGAATGATTCACCAGGTCTTTATTCAAGCTTAGATCCTCAACAGCACAAACTAAATATTTGATATCTGAGGGCCAAGAAAAATTTGTCTGAGGGCCGCATTTGGACCCCGGGCCATAGTTTGGACATGCCTGACTTAAAGGTGCACTGTTTTAGCGGAGGATCTGCCATCTTTTTGTTTCCATGGAAATGTTACTGCTTTGTCTAGAATGTTCCAACCTATCTATCACGAGGGAGACGAGCAGGTTACAGCACTACTCTACATTACAGTTCAGATCTGTGGAGAGTCGCCCCATTCATAGAAGGAACTGTTGTATGTATGAATAAATCCTAGATGGATATTTTGTATTTCATACTGCGGAACATTCCAGGGAAAGGACCCACCACCAGAAAAATTTTGCTGTGCAACTTTAAGCAATCGGTCTTAACTTCCTAGTAATAAAAACAAAATAATCTGTTTCCTAAAAATGTAGCTTAATTTGTAGTTTAGAATCTCGAGTGTTTTTTGACAGACATTTATACAAATTACACTGCATTTTTATATACTTTTTAACTGTAGAATTGAGATATTTTGCTTATAGTGTTATGTTATTATTGTTATAGTAACTGCACTGGAAGAATGAAGTTATTCAGTTTGTAATCAGTTATTCAGTTAATAATCTCTGTCAAAACGCCTTGGCACTGAAGACACAAAATAACTGCCATAGATTGCCTGATTGTTTACATGGTTGCTTAAAAATACCTTAACATTCCTCCTATCGCCGTCAGATAGGTGGTTTTATACCTCTAGATCCCATCTTTGTACCTGTGCTGCAGCCTTGGCTCCTGTAGGCAGCACAATAAAAACAAACCCACTTTTTATTATGTATCTAAGCACTAGCCAACTGTATGCACATCATTTTGTAAATACGTGCAAGATATATTGAATGTTAAACGCACCATTTTGAAAATTAAAATAATAACTATCATTTTCCAGTGAACCTAGCTAACAGCCTAATCACTTTTTGCATCCGGAAGTCACTGCTAAACCTGCATTTCACAGCTACTTTAAAGGGTCAATATTACGCTGTTTTCTGATCTATGTTATAATGTTGTTTCCTCATCACAAACAGACCTGGAGTTGTGTTTTGTTCCATTCACATGTTTAACACGAAAACTGCATATTTAGTTCTTCTCTTAAACAGAAAATACGCCACCTTGTGATGTTATGTGGCAGTACAGGTAGTGCTCCACTGTGTTTTTAAACTCCACCTTCACTAGACATCATTTGGATGAACTCAGACCTGGAATTGCCAATCTCTAGACTAAAAGTAAAAGGTAACTACTAACTTTAAAACTATCGCTTCATTACATCACAAGGGGGAACAGAGCATTTTGAGCTTTGGTGATGTAGACCGGTTAATAATAAAGGATTACTCATACATGTGCTCCAGGTATGTTTTTGATGAGGTTAAATCATTATAACATGGCTTAAATCCATTTTGCGTAATATAGGACCTTTAAAAAAAAAAGAAAAACAAAAAAAACAAAAACGATTTTGTAAATTTGTTGATAGCCCTATTCCACTGGGTGAATGCCAGAGACTTTATAAAGATTCCCATTGTAAAGAGATTAATAAATAAATAATACTAAAGAGGTACTAAGTATGAATGGTGTTTTGAATGAGATTTTGCACTATGGAAGATGCACTAGTGTTCTTAATATGAAGATATGTACAGAGTTGGTATCAAATACAGCCAGTTTAACAATTTTGACTTTTAAGAGTTAAAAAAAGACTAAATGAGACGCATCCCAACCCGTATTTTTAGACACTACGTTTTTGAAAACAGATTAAAAAAGAATGAAATGGACTAAAGGCTTGTAGTTGGTTTCAGACAAAGGCAAAATAAAATATTAAAATTTGAAACCAATCTTTCATCTCATTGTGTTTTCTGTTGTCATGTTGGTTATAAGGTGTTTTTAACTACTAACATAACAATTTAAATCCTGTGTTCATAGTTACACAAGTCACATTAAAATTTAGACTAAACCTGGACCAGACTGGGACTAGACCAGAACTAGACCAGGACAAAACCCAGACTACAACAGGACTAAACAAGGAACATTATCTGAAGATGCACTGTGTCATTGTATTAGAGATCAATATATAATGTATAGTGTTTTCAGCTATTAACATAACGGTCTAAATGTTCGGTTCACATTTGCACAAGTCACATTAAAACTTGGACTAAACCCAAAACTAAACGTGGACCAGACTGGGACTAGACCAGTACTACTAGACCAGGACCAAACAGTGTGACTGCTGTCCTAAAATGCATTGTATTCAATTAGAGATTAACAAGAAAAGAAGCATTTTATATATATGGAAAAACAATAAGAGAAGTTATTGTGTCTTCTATAAAATTTATTAACTTTATTTATAAGCCTATTTGCAATTTATTTTTGCCTTCAATTTAAGGATTCTTGGCAATTCCTACCAAAGACAAATCATTTGATAGCAAAGGCATTCTATTTGACCAACATTACATTTTGCTTCATGCAGTGAAAATGACACCACAGTCAGTTTATATTATAAAATATTTATTTCTGAACAAAAAATATCACAAGATTGTCTTTGGTTTTCTCTTAACGCACCAGGTTTCCTTATAAAATACACAAACAAAAGAGGCATCCAGTTTTAAATAACAAAAGTTCACACCTCCAACACATTCAAAGGTAAAACAGGAAAGGACATAAAGGCTGCCACACACAACCAGAGACATGCCAGGCCTTAGTAACTGCAAAAGGGAATACTGCTATTGAGGTAAAAATACTTAAATTCGATATATTTATCTTAATTATTGTAATTGTAATTTGATAGATTTAGATTTACTTCTTTAGTTGAGATCAGTTTTCTCCTCACTACAGTCTCAATACATTTTTCACAGTATAATTTCAGCGCAATTATCTGCAAATAGAGTTATTCTTATTTCTTTGGCAGACATTTTAAATTAACCTAATGAAATAAAAAACTGGTACACTATGTCATTTTTCTTATGGAGGGTCCTGCACCTGCTTGTCTCCATGGAGATGTTAATGCTGCACTTAGAAAGTCCACATATACATATCTATCTCCATAGAAACAGGCAGGTGACAAACAAAACACCTATACATGAATAACTGCAGGATAGATACCTTTAACGGCATACTGCGGAACATTCCAGGTAAAGCAATGACATCTCCATGGAGACAAGTAGACAGCATATCCCCATCAGGAAAGTTAAATAGTGCACCTTTAATATATATCACTATTTCCTTTTGGAGTCTACACAGTGCAGTGATTTGTCTATTTCTATTTCTACTGTCTGTCTGTTTGTTTGCAGCAAGTAACAGTCTTTGGTTCGATGTAAAGTTTTATAAAAAGCCTACGATTAAACACATTAATCCACTTCTCCAGTGTCCCACTTGGTTTTGGGCTCCTGCCACCAGTCGGCTAGAAACGCCTCCTCATAGTCTCCCAGACCCTCGAACTCTGCATCGGGGCTTTCAGACGAGGAGAGGCCTGTCTCCTCCGGACTCACCACACCCTAAAAGGTAAAATACAAAGTTAGTATAATATAAATAATGTGACACTTGGCTGGTTACTTGATTCATGTGAAATTTGCCTGTACTTTGCATGCACTTTGTGATGTCATGAAGCTGTAGTTTTCAAGTTAACAGATACCTTTTACGTTTTATTCAGTAAATTGGCAGTTCCTGGTCTGAAATTATGCAGATGATTCTGGTGAAGTTGTATTGAGTTTAAAAACACAGTAAAGCACTTCCTTTCTCTTGAGCTGCTCACTTGTGTAATTGTGTGATAAGTCACTCTATGGTATGCAGTAGAAGATATTCACATCTATAATCACACATACGTACAGTATTCAGCTAAATTCTTGGATTTAGGTCCTGACCTTTATTTGACCCTTTCACTTTCTCATGGCCTCCTCTTCAAATCCAGAGGCTGGTTTACTCAACCCCACACCTCATAGCCACATACCACACTCTGCTGGAGCAAACCACCAGGGCAGTAGACGGGGGGAACAAAAGGGTCTGGTGTCCCGGGCCCCAGGGTTTAAGGGTCCCAGAATTAGACCCTCTTCCTCTAAATTTATATTGGTAGTTTTCAAATTCTAGAATGTGATAATATCAAACTCGCAGATGGGGGCCAACAGTCAGATTTCCCTTTTGATAACATTGTACCATGAAATATCCTAACCTGGTATTATCAATTAGTAACTATCTAGTAAACTACAGAACTCAAATTTTGCATTTTAACAAATTTTAACTGCTCCCCATCTGTATTAACTAATATTATCTTATAAAATGCTGTGATATCATCTGAAACCCAGCAATTACAGCGGGGCCCATTTGAGTCTTCTTGCCCTGGGCCCCCAAATTTCTGTCAACGGGCCTGCAAACCACTGCCCCTCTCCAACCACTCAACTTTTTTTCAGGCCAGTTCGAAATATTTCCCCATTTTTTGACCATTTTACTCATTTTAAATGTAATCATAGCAACACGGTGAAAGACAAAGGAGTTAAAAGTATCTGAGACAGATTCAGATGAGCCTTAAAAGTACATGGTAGTGAACCTTTAAAAACAAATAAAAAGTATTTGCTTCTTGTAGATTACATTTTTCTCTTAAATTGAAGTGGTGGAAAGAGTTTGAGGTTTTAGGCAACTCAAGTAAAGTACAGTTAACATTTATAAAACAAGTACAAGCTTAAAAAACTTCTCAGAACAAAATAGTAGCAGTAACAGTAGCAGTAACAGTAGTAGCAGTAGCAGTAGTAGCAGTAGTAGTAGCAGCAGTAGTAGCAGCAGTAGTAGTAGCAGCAGTAGCACTAGTAGTAGTAATAGTAACAATAGTAGTAGTAGTAGTAGTAGCACTAACTCAAAACAAAGTAGCATCAGTAGTAGTAGTAGTAGCAGCAACAGCAGTAGCAGTAGTAATATTAACAATAGTAGTAGGAGTAGCAACAGTAGCAGCGGCAGTAGTAATAGTATTAACAATAGTAGTAGTAGTAACACTAACTCAAAACAAAGTAGTAATAGTAGTAATAGCAGTAGTAGTAGCAGTAGTAGCAGTAGTAGGAGCAGTAGCATTAGCAGTAGCAGTAATAATAGTAACAATAGGAGTAGTAGGAGTAGCAGTAGTAACAATAGTAGTAATAGTAAAAATAGTAGTACTAGTAGGAGTAGCAGCAGGAGTAGTAGCAGCAACTACAGTAGCAGTAGCAGTAGTAATAGTAACAATAGTAGTACTAGTAGGAGTAGTAGCAGTAGTAGTAGTAATAGTAGTAGTAGTAGTAGTAGTAATAGTACCCAGCTGTGGGCACATACCTCGTCGTCTGTTTGTAGATAATTCAGTGCAAACTCCAGCATCTCCTTCTGTTTGGTCGTTTGGTTGAAGTAACTCAAAGCTTCCTGGGAACAAAATCAAACACGATCAACAAAAAAAAATCTCAGCCTGTTTGTGATGTTGTTTACTACTGGTTTTATAGCGTTTCACTGAGCGCCGAGCTAAATGCAGTTAAATGCATGCAATTACAGGTCTAAAAGTGTAGGCAGCTGCAGTGAGTCTAAAATATGTTTGGTTAGCTAAGTACCGCCTGGAGCTGTGTTAAAGTTCGCACCAGTGGCAGTTTGTGCTGAGAGACTCTTGATTGGGTTTGTCAGAGGAAGTGTGAACTTTGCTGCTCAGATGTGACAAAGACATGGATAACAAGTATACAGAGTCACTTTTTTTTTGTTTGACTGACATGTACTAGTATATCTGAGGGTGTACAATTAATCAGATTTTAATTAAGATTTAGTCATTTCTAATCGCTGTAATTTCCCTATTATGGGGAATCAGCTCTTGTCCGCAAGTCCACAGCCAATCGTCTATCAGTAAAAGCATGTGTTTTAAATTTTTATTAATTTATTTTTTAAATGGCACTGATCAATAAGTATGTACTGAACGCCATTTTTATTTGTAAGACAAAACAATAATCAAAATAAATAAGTAAATAAATAAATAAATGGCTTACAACAAAGAAATAATAAAATAAAAAATCTTTCAGATTAGACCCATAGTAGCATAAGTGACATGTTTTTTCAAAAGCTTAAAGAGCCCAAATTACACTATTTTCTGATCTGTTAAATGTTATAAATGTTATTTCCTCATCAAAAACATACCTGGAGTTGTGTTTTGTTTCATTCACACACATTTAACACACAAATCCTGCATATTTAGGCTGAGTTCTTCCTTCAAACAAAAAACACTCTATTCCACCTTGTGATCTCATGTGGTAAGACAGGAAGTGCTCTACTGTGTTTTTAAACTCCATACACTTTCACTAGAATCATTTCAGCACTAGAATTGCCAATCTCTACTGAAGTAAAAGGAGCTGTTAACTTGAAAACTACCCCTTCATGACATCACAAGGTGGAACAGAGCATTTTGAGCTTTGTAGATTAATAATAAAGGATTACTCAAACATGTGTATATGAAACAAAACACAACTCCAGATGTGTTTTTGAAAAGGGTAATAACATTATAACATGGCTTAAAGCTGTCACGTGTCAGTTTCACTTAATATAGGACCTTTAAAGGTTTATACTTAAGTGAAAATGCCCAAACACTGCATTATACAATAAGACTTATTGTATTCTTTGGCAGTAATAGTTTCACTCACTGGACGTGGCTCAAAGTCCTGGTCCTGGAGCCCCCACTGCTCTTTGTAGAATTTGAAATAAGCCACATTCTGCAGCATCACTTTGTCATGTGGGTCAAACAGCAGGTAACTGGATGCACAGGGGGCTGCACTCTTCACATCATTTACTGGAAACAGACATAATAGTTCAAGTAGTAGTCGTAGTAATTGTGGTAGTTGTGGTAGAGAGTAGGAATAATAAAGTAGTAGTGGTAGAAGTTGTAGAAGTAAGAGACTAGGGTTGTAAACATATTGAAAATCAGATATTAATCCAGATTGAAACTAGTATTGAATCTAGATCCTCATTTGAGCAGGTATCAATTCTAAAAAAGTCACGTGCATGGGACAGAAATTAATCTTGAGCTGTATCAGAACAAATATAAGAGCACATAGACTAGTAAACACCCATGGAGCACTACCTGGACCATTAAGGGATTACACAGAAGGACACATGGAAATATAAAAGAAAGTACTATGATTTAATATTGGAAATCACATTCTATTGTCTAAAAAAGTACAGTTTTTTTTTATAATCATCATGGTATCAGAATCGGTATTGAGTCTATTCCTTAGTATCAAAATCGAGTTTGAAATTTTAGTATCATGCAGTATCAACACTATACGAGACAAAGTAGTAGTGGCAAAATGTAGTATTTCTTACATTTATAATATGAGAATTGGAGATAGTGGTACATTGTGGCTACAAATTTCTCCACAACAAATCCTCCAACGGTGGGAGTGAGATGATCCTCGCATTTCACCTTACATTTTAAAACATCAGTGTACAAATCTGCAAATAAGTATAAAAAAAAAATAATAATAATAATTAATTCATATTCATATTAACGACAACATATAGCTAATATTCTTTGTTCTTACCTGCCAGTGTTGCATAAAAGTCCTTATATTCTAAAATCTCATAGTTTCCTTCACATCCGGCGAGACAGACGTCGTACAGCTCAAAGTACTGGGTTACGGCCTGCTCCATGTTGCGTGCACTGTTACTGAAGTCTCCATTGTTGTACTGTGTCACACTTTTGACAAATACACTCTAAAACAAGACAAATAAAAGAAATTGTTGTCATATTAAGCGGGTATAACATTATGATAACAAAAATTAGTGAATAATGAATACTATAATTACAACTTGGTTTGTAGTTTAGAGAATTTGGCAGCAACAACAATCTTACAAACATACCTGGAGTTGTGTTTTGTTTTATTCATACGTTTGAGTAACCTTATATTATTCGTCTGCATCTCCAAAACTCAAAATGCTCTATTCCACCTTGTGATGTCATGTAGCGCTAGTTTTCAAGTTAACAGCTTACCTTTTACGTTTAGTTCAGTAGAGATTGGAAATTCCAGAGCTGAAATTATCCAGCGGATTCTAGTGAAGGTGTATAGAGTTTAAAAACACAGTGGACCACTTCCTGTATTACCATATGACATCACAAGGTGGGACAGAGTGTTTTCTGTTTGAGAGAAGAACTAAATATGCAGATTTTGTGTCTTAAACATGTCTGAATGAAACAAAACACAACTCCAAAACACGCCTCCAGCCTCCAGGTATGTTTTTGATGAGGAAACAACATTATAAACATAGATCAGAAATTAATTTAATATGGGCCATTTAAGTTTATTAATATGTGTTCCCAAAAGCTCATTTAAACCAGTTAAATTGTTTAAACCATATTGATTTATAGCAGTTACCTTATGATATTTTTGCAATATTTTCCTAACGTTTTGACAATAGAAAGTGCTCACCATAAGTCTTCATTTTAACAAAATTTAGCAAAATATATCATACATGTATTGGATGTGTGAGTGTACTGACCTCATAGGGCTGCTCTTCATGGTCGATCAGATATTCCTCCACATCGAACAGTGTTTTGTAATAATTCATATTTTTGGTCAGAGATTTATCGTTTGGGTTTTTCTTCAGGAAGGTGTGTGCTGCGGCCACTGCTTTCTCCAAATTGTTCAACTGCAATACAAGATAGATTTCTATTAAACACAGCAGTCACGTATAAGTTATTTTAGTCTCTTTCCTTGACATTTAAAGGTGCATTATGTAACGTTTCTGACGGAGGACCCGTCACTCGCTTGTCTCCATGGAGATGTTAGTGAATTACCTCCATTGTGAGTCTTATTTGTTATTTTCAAAACACCAAACTTTGCCAAAACACACACACATTCTGATGTCTGGAACTGATAGTAAAAGCATTGGCGCGGAAATATAATATAAAACAAAAAAAAAGTCCAACACAAAGGCCAAATTTAAAAACAAAATTGAGATTATGTGCATTTCTCAGTACAGGAAAGTCAATATTATTAATGGAAACTTAATCTGATATTTTGCAGCCATATGTTGTTGTTAATTGTTTTGTTTGTTGCTGGTATAGACGTTGTTTATATTTTATTATATGAATGGATTTCCTCATGACTACAATTTAGAGTAAGTGTTAAATACACAGACTCACCATTACGATCCCTTTTAGTTCACTGGGGACATAACACCACGGGAAAGCAGTTTTTTATAGTAGTAATACTTGATTACTTATTGTGTTTTAGCACTGCAACAACTACAAGCCAACTACTACTACAACTACTTCTACTATTGCTTTTACTCTATTACTGGCCTATTATATTACTAATAATACTACCACCATTACCACTATTACTACTACTGCTACTACTCCTCTTGCTACTGATGTTTTGATGATTTATTTTAATCTAATGAATCAAAGTGGTAACAGTCTGAGTAGGATAAACGTCCCTTTATAACCTGAGATGAACCCGGATAGAAAGGTGGATAACTTCAAAGTGAATATCTGCCCCGTGAGCACCCCCCTGCCCCGTGCCTTTGCCCCCATCCCTCTGTGTGTGCGGGTCAGAAGCAGAAGAATAAGCTGATTGTGCTGAAGGGGGAACAGTGGAGAGACGTGGCACACGCTGCTGCTGTCTGCCGGCAGGAGGGCGCAACAGAGCCGCCCGGTAATTACACAGCAGCCGCTAAACACGCCACAAATCTGCGCCTTTTACGCCTCTAGCCACAAAGTGCAGAAACTTCAAATGAGTAATTTTACACGCAACATATAGGCTAGTAAAAGTGCCGCAAACGGTTGTCAGTCATAACGATAAAACATGTTAACAAAACGTAATAAAAGATGCACAAACCCCCCTATCCAATCAAAATAAAGTATATAATTTAGTGTAATGAGGAGTTTAACTATATCTTGTGCGTAAAGCATCATTTAAGAGCATTAAACACACGAGAGGTTCTGATATGATTAAGATAGTCTAATAACTTAAATGAACCCTATGCACTAAGGTCAGGTACGTTACAAAGAAACGTGAATGAACATGTGTATAACATCTGTGTTAATGTTTGAGTCGATATGGTAAGCATAGGCTAAGTCAAATAAATCGGGGTTTGACTGAAGAAGAGTTATATTTTCCAATTTTGTGTGATGTCTGTGAAACATTGTCATCTAGTTTAGTTGTACTTCAATACCCAAAAGTCTCTCACCTGGTAATACGCGTACTGTATATACTGATACGGTTTTCTCATCTCAAAACTTTCCAGTGTGTCCCTCTTTGGATACGAGTGGCCGAACACCGGTAAGCTCGCCTTGCACTTCTTCAGACAGGCAGCCCGGAGCAGGACGTGGCGCACGACTCGGAGGGTGCTATCCGCGTAAAGGGTGTCGTTGTCCCGGCTCACGGTGCTGCAGTTACGGCCACAGTACGCCTCGCTGTCCCGGAGCAGGCGATGAAGCCGGAGACTCAGTTCCAAGTACTTGACGCTCTCGTCCCAGTTCTGTGCGGAATACTGCTCCAGCGCGTAGTTGTAAGCGGTATCCAGAGGCATAATTTCCTTTTGAGGGAAACTTCGAAAGCTGTATTTTTCATACTGAGCCAGGACAAAAGCGGGGAGCAGGAGAGTTACGCACAGGCCTCCGAGGAGCATCATGGCATCACCGGCACCGTCTGCAGCTGCTGCGCTCTGGAAGAGGTTGGAAAAAGTAGACAAACTTCCCTCGTTTATGCTACTGTCTATCCATGTCTGCCTGCACGTACGCTGGGAAAGTGTGATCACCAAACAACCCGAAATCCACACATTCTGGGCGGGACTTTCACATTAAAAGCCTCTGAAAGACCCGAAACAGATGCACTTTTATCTTGCCATTCATAAGTCCATTCATATACAACACTATCAGACGTACAGACTGTTTTCATTGAAAGTTAACTTGAGATTACCCAACATCTTCATGGTAACATTAAAGGATTAGGCCTACTTATATGTAAATGTTGTAAAAATGTATGTAGGCTTTGCTATGAGCCAAGATTGTCTGGGATCCAGAATACATACTTATATGATTATGGACTTGCCAGGAAGAGTCAAGGCCCTTACCTTTTCCCTTATGAACTGAATTAAATATGGCTTTACTTCTTTTAACTTGATGAAGGGTGAGGGAGGAAGAGAGAGACGTACAGACAGAGCGCTTCCGGTTTGTGGTTGCACGCTTTGTCGAGCTTGACACAGAACATGCATATTAGGCCAGTAAAATTCCCAAATTATAGAGAGGAAAAACACATTTACATATTTTTAACTCTGAAACTGTAGTTCTTGGCTGGGAGTTATGCTTTAGACACACAAAAAGTTGCACAGCTCCTTGTCTGATCTATACGTAGTGGTATTTTTTTTAGCGTTTAATGATGATAATTTCTGAATTCTTTACCAGATGACATGTTGAGGCATGGGCCCATGCTCTATGCATACAGCTGACACACAAGTTTATACCTATCAACACTATAGCCCAATATTTAAGATGCTGCAATTGCAATAGCTTCTCTCTCATTTTCTTCAAAGGAGAAAGCCTTTCGTGCGTAATCGTGCGTAATTGCTGTTTATTTCACGCAGAGAGTGAAGTGGAGACCATGGATGATGTGGAGGCACTGCCCTGTTATCCTCAGGTCCCATCTGAGACTGGGCTAGGCTATACACGTTTACAGATTCCATTAAAAAGTGGGCGGGGTGGATAGAGCTACGCACCGCAAAAGTGTGACCAACAACAAACGTCAAGTTTTACAAAAATAACGCAGGGTAAAAGCGGAAGTATCGTGCGTAAAGGGCAAATAACGTTACGGTATCTTGCATTGTTTTGCATTGTTTCTTCGAGTTTTCAAAACGGTTTTGCTAAATATACGCGTTAATTTGTCAAAAGAAATACAACAACCACTTGTTGAAAATATACAAATTTAGCTTGTTTATGACAGTGTATCTCCCACACAGCAGAAGGAGCCATTAAAGTGATCACAAAAGAAACATGAGAAAGTAGGCTTATTGTATAAAGTAAAGCCGAGAAAATAAATTAATTAAAGTATTAAAATGTATTGTTAACAGGCTGACATTATTAATTTGTACATTTGAGATGATCTCATGATGTTGCAAAATTGTACAAAATGAAATTGTTACTCATCTGTGCATTTAACTAGCCTACATCAGTCGTTCTGTGCTTCTATGTAGTTGATTTTATATCCACATAAATTAATTTATTGACCATAATGAAGTGATAGGACTTACAGTATATAAACAACGTGGCTAACAAAGGAAAGCTTTTATTTTGCCATCATGACCGGAAGTTTTTTATCCGTTACGCACACTTGACAAATCATTGCATTTCCATTCCAAACTTTGTCGCGGTCCACTTCTCGCTCACTCCTCTCCTGCTCGGGTCCCGCTGCTGATGGGCTTTTCTGGCCTTTCACAGTCCCCAAATGGACCTGTTTCTGTCTCTTCTTTCATTCTTATTGCATCTTTTGTACGTAAACTGTGATTTAGACACGGAGGCACTCGTGGACGTGAAAGTGGACCGCTACTTCATGCCCACGCGCTGTCCCAGAGAAGTCCAGAGCGAAGATTTTGTACGATACCATTTCAACGGGACTCTGTACGCGGACGGGAAGCAGTTCGACTCCAGGTGAGGACCGGGCTGTTGGATTGAGAGATGCTACTGTTGCCCAGGGGTGGATGCAGCTGTGCCTTTAGAAAGTGGGAGCCCACGATAAAGATGTTTCTGATAGATATTATTATTATTATTATTATTATTATTATTATTATTAATAACAACAGAATAAATCTTGAAACATATTTTCAGTTGCATGCCATTATAATTTTCAGTGAGCTGTTGCAGTTTGTAAACAATGAACTAAGTGTCATTTTCTGAAGTGTCAAATGTAGTTTGTTTAAATGACCCATGCGTTATTTTCTTATCTGTTATGTTGTTTCCTCATCAAAACATACCTGGAGTTGTGTTTCAGTTGTTTCATTCATGCATGTTTAACACACAAATCCTGCATATATTCTCTCAAACTTCAAACACTCCTTCCACCTTGTGATGTCATGCAGTAATACAGGAAGCGCTGCACTGTGTTTCTAACTCCATACACCTTCATTAGGATCATTTTGATGATTTCAGTCTGGGAAATGTCAGTCTCTTATGAACAAAAGTTTGAAAACTACCGCTTCATGACATCACAAGGTGGAACAGAACATTTTGAGCTCTGGAGATGTTGAAAGACTAATAATAAAGGGTTACTCAAACGTGTGAATGAAAGAAACCACAACTGTGTATGTTTTTGATGAGGTAACAACATTATAACATGGCTTAAAGCTCATAAGAATGCATTTTCTGTAATATAGGATCTTTAAAGCTAAGTATGTAATAGCCTATTGGAGTTAATTGAGGTTTAAAGCAAAAAAGTTTCCCACGAAAGGAGATGACGTAGACTGAAATGATGATATCTTGACAGTAATTACGCATTTGATTGCCGTTTCAAATGACACCATTTAGAACTGCACAAAACCTGTTCTGTTCACACTGCACAGGCCTACTCTTTCTTATTTGAGCTGACATTACTACATCCATAAATCTCTCTTTGGTTTTCATCTGTTTGAAATTGTAACCGCCACCAATTAACGAGGAGTAATGCAGTAGTCGCCTATAGCTTAATTGGAGCGGAAAGAATGCATATGCCATCATTCTTAGAGTCAAATAGACCTGCTGTTCGGGAGTTAAGTGCTGCTGTATGCTGCTGATGTGGCTGGAAATTGTACACTTTATAGCACTATAACATTTCATTGCTCTGTCCCTCTCCTCTTTCTCTATTCTGCCGCTCTCCCTCCTCTCTTTCTCTCATTATCTTATCTTTCTCTCTCTCCTCTCTCTCTGTTTATCTACTCTCCTCACTCCTCTCACCCCCTCTCTATCTCTCTTTCCCATTTCTTTCTTAATTCTCTACTTCTCAATCTCTCTACTCTCTTCCCCCTCTATCCCCATATCTCTTTCTCCTCTCTCACTATCTATCTTTCTCTCTCTTGCCATCTGTCTGCCTATCTATCTATCTTTTTCTCCCCATCTCTATCTCCTTATCTCTGCCTGCTCCCTCTCTCTGTCTCCCCTCTCTCCTTGTCATCTTTCTCTCTCTTTGATTCTCTCTCTGTGTCTTTCTCCCTTTCTCTTCTCTCATCTCTCTCTCTCTCTCTGTTCCCCCTCTCCTTCTATCTCTCTCTGTCTTCTTTCATTTCTCTCTGTTGCTCTCTCTCTCCATCCATCTCTCTCCCCTCTCATCACTCTCTCTCTGTTTCCCCCTCTCTCATCCCTCTCATCCCTCTCTCTCTCTCTCCTCTGCTCCAGTCATGACAGAAGTACAGCCATCGTGTCCCAGGTGGGCTCAGGTAACCTCCTGACCGGCATCGACAGAGGACTTCAGGGCATGTGCGTGAACGAGCGGAGGAAGATTTACGTCCCGCCGCATCTCGCCTTCGGGACGGTCGGAGCAGGTATTCAAACGTACACAAGCTTTATTCATTCACAAGTGCGAGGATTTTGTTGGACTCTGTAGCTCAACAACAGGACAATATGCAATCCAAGAATCTTCTAAACATTGGTAAAAACTAAGCAAATACAGGTAAGAGTGATTACAAGTAAGATTATTGTAAGATTATAAGAAGCACAAAGTATTTAATAACATGGCAATTTTCTGCACATCTATAGACTGTATAAAGAAGTGGACTGAGGGTGTGTTACATCACCGAGTCAAATGAAGCTAAGGGGTCAAGCCTTTACAGGGGTGAATTTGGAGCTGAGTTTCATTCATTTAAGGACAAAATAGTAAAATAAAAATACCAGGATCATGTAGAGCAGGTAATACAAACATTTTAAGACCAAAATGACAGGACTAAAAGCAGCAGTTACAGAGAGAAAAGTGACAAATTTTCAATGTAAAGTCAATTAGAGCCAGAAGATCCCCCATGCTCACTAGCTATTCAGAATGCGGTGGCTAGCGTAATCCGCTGTCCATTTTTACATGTACAGTCTATGTGCACATCACAAGTTTTGAAAAGCATATATTTGATACAAATATGTTATGGGATTTATAATTTGGGTCCGACCGATATGGATTTTTTATTTTTTATTTTATTTTATTTATTTTTTGCGGCCGATATGATACCGATAAAATCGGAGTTGGAGGTACCAATAGCCGATATAAAAGTCGATATATTTAGTGACATAAAAATTCACTGTAAATCTTAAACTGATTATTAAAAAAGGTCTGGCTCCCCTGGATTTTAAATTTGTTTATTTCTCTATATTTATTGTCATTCTGCCTCTGTCTGCCTGTCATTTAAAGAAAGTAGGATGGCCTAATGGCATTTTTGCGTGACATTTTAAGCAGTAAACAAAGTCAGTCAGTCAGTAAGTGACGTGATACTGGGGTGCGTTCAGGGACAGTACAGTGTTACACACAGGCAAATTACTCCTCCGATAAATACTGATGCGCCGCCACATATTAGGACATTTATCTGTCTGTAAATTAGATTAAATTGACGTAATATAGAGAGTCTAAGCTTCATAATGAGGTAACATCCAACTGATATATCGGTCGGGCCCTATTTATAATAGAAATTAACTGATCTAACTATAATTGATCTGAGCTACAGTGCCCGACATGGTTTAGGGTGCATTCACATGTGTACTTACTGGACCTTGGTTTGAGCCCAGTTAAGTCCTAATGTAGACTTTGTTAGGTCCAGTTTTAGTCCTGGTTTAGTCCTGGTTAATCCTGGTTTACTCCTGGTTTAGTCCAGGTTGTTGCAGATGTGCAAGTCTTAGTTTCTCTTTGTTGCTGCTCTTCACTTCTCCTATCGATGCTCCAAGTTCTGTGGAAAGGAATTTATATTTTCTTTGGCAACTGTCACCAGTAATTTTTAACATCTTCAACTACTGGTTTAAAAAATGGAGTGAATACTCCACAAGGTAGACTTTCTCCTTGGCATTTCCTATAGTATGTTTTTGTCATTAACAGCAAGAAACAATACAATTCTACAGTTATTCTATCCTATGATTATCTGCTTTAAGTTGTCTTATCCTCAACTGACTATCTAATTTCGATTTATCTAACAGGCACTGCAATAAGATATGTGATTTATGATTTAATAATAATTTTCTGTTCAGAGTTCATATTTTAAAGGTGCATTGTGTAACTTTTCTGGTGGAACGTCTGTGAAATGCTTTTCTCTGTAGAGATGTTATTGTTTTGTGTGGAAGTTTCACAGTATGGCATTAAACCTTTCTATCTTCATGGAGGCCAGACCAGACCAAGTTATGGGTCAGATCTGCGGAAAGACAACCCCGCTCATAGTCAGAATGCCTGTTTTTTGAGGTATTTTTGAGCTATAAAACCACCTGTAATTGAATACATGTAAGGTAGATTTAATGTCATACTGTGGAACATTCCAGGCCGAGTAATGCCATATTTATTTTTGTTTTTGTTATGTATAATTTCAAAACTGGAAAAAAAAAAAGTTTAATGATTTTTATTTTTATTTTTTTTCAGGTGGCGTGATCCCTCCCAATGCTACCCTGGTTTATGACGTCCTCCTTCTGGACATATGGAACCCAGACGATAAGGTCCAAATCCGAACTTTGTACAAACCGGAAAACTGCATCCGATCTGCGACCGCCTCAGACTTTGTGCGTTACCATTACAACGGGACGCTACTGACGGGACAAACCTTCGATTCCAGGTAAGAACAGGTGAGGTGATTCTCAAATTGTTTACACATAAAACTGGAGGTACATGGGTATCTTCTGGTGGTATACTACTGATTTAGTTTGACTGCACTTGGTTAAGAACTGATTTGGTTCTTTGTTTGTCTTGGTTTAGTCTAGTTTAGTCCTACTGAAAAGTCTGGAAAAATACCTTCTTGCTACATACCTAACATTGTAGTGGATTGCAGTTCAAGGTCTCATTAACTTTGTATTATTATTATTATTTCTTTTATATGTTATAGGTCTTATTTTATTGGTTAAAGGTGCCCTAAGTAACATTTTTGGTTGTCTCCTTGGGGTATTATTATTTTGCCTGGAATGTTTCATAGAGTTGTAAACTTTTTCAGGCAAATATATCTTAGATTCAGTCAAAAATACCTTGCATTCTGTGAGAGAAGTCGTTTTTCTATGGAAAAGCTGTAACTTGTCCTGAAGGCACCACCTGTTGTCTGCATAGAGATAGATAAGTTTATTGCCATACTGTGGAACATTTCAGGGAAAGCAAAAACGGTTCCATGGAGATAAGCAAGCAACATATCCTCCACCCGAAAAGTTACGTAGTGCATATTTAAGATCCGATTCTTAGTTCAGACATTGTATGATCCTGTTTAGGTCCTATTTTGATTGCAGTTTTTGTACTTTTTTACAATGCTTTTTTTTTTTTTCTCCAAACTATTTTGTTATTAAAAGTGATAGAAACACACATTTGGTCTTACTATATTGTGCTGTTTTATAGTTACTCAAGGAATGCGACCTATGACACGTACTTGGGGCAGGGTGAGCTCATCGCGGGGATGGAGGAGGGGCTTCTGGGGATGTGTGTGGGGGAGAGGAGGGTCGTCATCGTGCCCCCTTTTCTCGGTTATGGAGAGAATGTCACTGGTAAATATGTGATACCAAATTATGTTTGTTTTGTTTTTTTGTTTGTTTGTTTTTTACAATGGGGAAAAAGCTATTTGAGATCATTTTGTAACTTTGAATAAATTACTAATGGCTAATTACTATTTGGGTAGTTATAACTGGATTTATTTACCTGGTCCAGTATGTATGTGAAAGTTATGAACAAATGCAAATTACTTCAGCAGATGTCATAGTAAATGCTTTGCTTCAAATTGCCAAAGGCCTGGTTAAAATATACTAGATAGAAATTCCAGATTTGGAGCATATTTGGAGGCTTGTTCATTTCTCTCTTGTGCTCTACTATTGTAGGAACCACAGTGCCCCCTCAGGCCTCTCTGGTGTATGAGGTGCTGATGATCGACGTGTTTAACTCCAAAGATAATGTAACTGTAACAGTGAAGGAGGTCCCAAAGTTCTGCAGCCGAAGAACCAAAACTGGAGACTTCATCCGATATCACTATAATGGGACTTTTCAGGACGGGACCCCCTTTGATTCGAGGTAAATATAGTATTTATGGACAACAAGTGCTTAAATGAATTGGTTACCGTGTCTCTGTACTTCTGTTGGTACACAGAAGTAAGTATTTATTCTGTTTAAAATAAACAATACAGTCTTCTCACAATCTCTCAATTTGATGCTTATGTCTAGGCATCATAAAAACAAAAACAAATGTTTTCTTTTTTTTTTTTAACCTAATTACCAATGAACATTACATTTTATTATAGGCTATTATACTAACTAGAGGCTGTGTTTCCAGTTATCAGAGAAACAACACCTATAACACGTATATTGGGATGGGGTACGTGATCAGAGGGATGGACCAGGCTCTGCAGGGTCTGTGCATCGGAGAGAAGAGGAGAGTCATCATCCCTCCTCACATGGCCTATGGAGAGACTGGAGTGGGTCAGTATCACTTTATTAACATATTCACTCATTTAATTTATTTATACTTTTATACCACAGTCGAAATAGATAGAAGGCAAATGTAAGCCTGCTTTGAATCTTTTAATGAGATTTTTTTACTAGTTGCAATAGGAAGGCATGGTATTTTTCTCAAGTGTGTGGTTTGCTCAGCTAGCTTCTTTTTAACTTTAGGCTATAGGCAACACTGTGTAACTTAACTCTCTGGAGGGGACAGATCACCTGCATGATTGCATGGAAATTGGCAGTTAAAACTACACTGGAAACCAGCAGAAAGAGGCACTTCACCAGACCAAATAAGAGTCAGATTTGTGTAGAAAAATATGCATTTTTATCACCTGGAAATCCAGAAGGATATCTTTCAGTATTTGTTATACAGATCCATATTTATATCAGCCCCTGCTACGGCGATGAGTCTGGATTTTTCCAGGCAAGCATTTTTATTATGAGCAGAGTTGCTTTTACAGACCTGTCCTGGTTGTGTCATCTGCTTATCACCATGGCAAGAATTTTCCTGGTAAAATAATGCTGACAAGCAAGGGGCAGACCAGTACATGTTCATACTGCACCTTTAAATTATCAAAGGCAACTATATATAATATAATTTCCTTTTTCACTACAGAAAACCTCATTCCCAGTTGGACGGTCCTGGTTTTTGACATTCACGTTATTGACTTCCATAATCCCAAAGACCCAGTGGAGATCCGGACTGTCCTGAAACCTCCAGACTGTAAAGAGACCAGCGAGGCCAACGACTGGCTCCAGTACCGCTACAACTGCTCCCTGATGGACGGGACTCTGCTGTACTCATCGTGAGCCCCCTCTGCTGTTCACTCTGCACAAATGCTTCCTCGGCCTCTTTCTTGCATGTAATAATCACTGCTTGCTCTTTCTCTGACAGATTGTTGATAACAGACACTTAGTAAATACAAAACTGTGCAAACAGTTTTAATAAGATGTTGAAAATGTTTTCTTCTTGTGATATATTTATTTAACAAAATGATGGTCTTTTGTCTGAATAATTACAGTTAATAAGACAGTCCAGTGAATTCTGTGCCTTTTGAGGCTAACTATAAAAACAAATTATTATGTTACAAATGTGTGACCAAATGTGTGTCCTTACAAAGCTTTCTTCTAAGGTCTACGGTCAACTTCTCTGTGAAAATCATATACTTGTAGTTTTAACTTTTCTTTTGAAATGTAGTATTTATTTATTTAACTCAGTAAATATATATATACATATATCATCATGCTAGGACAATTTCCAAGACTTTATCAAGCAGAGTATCTTTGTGAAGGCACATACTTATGCATGACTTAACTTTATCAGTGCTTCTCTCATTTTGTCTATATTTCTTGTTCATTTTCCTGATTATTTTTACGTCTGTGTTCACAGAGACCAGTACGACTCTCCCTCGATCGCGACTTTGGGGGTGAACGCTGTGATCTCGGGGCTGGAGACTGGTCTGAGTGGCATGTGTGTGGGGGAGAGGAGGGAGGTGGTCATCCCTCCACACTGGGGCCACGGGGAAAACGAAGGTAAGTACATAACATACTATAGTTAATAATATTCTTGGCTAAATGCTGTTTTCTAAGACATTTCTTTCAAATCAAGTAGTCATTTCAAAGAATATATATGTTCTTAAATTAATCTTAAGAATACCATGTTCTGTTTTTATCATATTACATTGTACAAAATACATTTTATAATGCTATATACTGACACAAATTGCAACTACAAACCCTTAGCATTCTGTAGTAGTGATAGTCACAGCGGTGTACTTGCCAAGCATTTGCTACATATGATAAATGATAATGATGATAAACAAAATATAATTTTTAGTGCAGTTTAATAATGCATGCCCCTTTGTTTTTTTACATAACACACAAGAACTTTACCTATGGTGGTGAATTACTGTTAGTTGTAGGATCTTTGGCGCAAGATTCAAATTAAGTTTTTAATTATAACATAAACATAAAATCTTTACACAAAATATACACAAGTATTTTTTATTAATAGTTAAAGTACACATTTTAACAACTTGCTATTTTTGTCTGTCAAAGTTGAAGCTCTTCAAATTCAAGTTGACTATTCTGCCAATTCAGACTGGGGACATATATACCTGTTATTCTCTAAACAAATTACAATTCTGCCTGTGCCTCTCTCCCCCTGTGCAGCGTCAGGGGTCCCAGCCAGTGCAGTCCTGCTGTTTGAGTTGGAGTTGGTGCAGTTACAGAAGGGTGTCCCTGATGGGTTCATGTTTGTGTGGTTGGAGGATGGACCTGAGCCTCTGTTTCCTGCGATGGACCTGAACGGAGACAAAGAGGTGCCTCTAGAGGAGGTGAGGAGGTCTTGGCTCTTTGGGCTGTGAAATTAATCAAATTTAATTGAGATTGAGATTTTAATCATCAGTGATGTGCTTTGGTTTTTTGTCTACAGCCCAAAGCATGTGGGTTAGACCAGGAATAATTAATATCAAATGCCATTCTTATTTATCTTTACAAAATAAAATTTAATCAGCAATCGAGGGATGGCCTGATAGCACATGCATGGAGATAGGTTTAATGCCATACTGTGTAACATTCTTGGTAATGTAATAGCATCACCATGCCATGCCAACCACAAGGAAAAGTTATGGAGAGCACCTTTTAATATTTTGTGAAACTATGTAAACATGTGAACACAATAAGCATTTTTTTTTTTGACTACGTGGTCTTATCTATGGGTTTCAGAATGATGAAAAAGTAGAACCATTACCATAGCAATTAACAATATAAAACAAATAAATCATTTGAATGGTGAAATGTCTTCAAAATGTCACTGATAGCAAGAAAAATAAACCCATGACCTATGTATATCTGGAAGACATTGTTAGTGTAAACAGCTCTAAACTTTGTTCTTTTGTATTTTCAGTTTTCAGAATTCATCAAGCTCCAAGTTCGTGAGGGCAAAGGACGCCTACGACCCGGAGTGGACCAAGAAAGTGTCATAAGAGACATGTTTTATAATCAGGACAGCAACAGAGACGGAAAAATTATAGAGGATGAAGTACAACTCAAAGATGACACAGTGCCACAGAGGGACGAGTTTTAAAATATTTCAGAAAATGGACCAAAGATGAAGTCTTAATGACCCTTAATGGCGCTGACCTGTCAAAATACGCCCATACGGTACCACTAAACAGATGAAGATTTAAAGTAAAAAAAAAAAAGTAAAAAATACTTATAATTTATATCCTTTCAAATGAACTAATTACAACAAAAAAATGATGGATTTCAGGTTGATGATGGTTGAAAATTTGAAGGTTTTAAATAATTAATTGCTATGGTAACATACAAAATTTTCCATCAACCTGAATTTGCCTTTTACCTATCAAAATGCAGATGATTTGTGAAACTATAACATTAATATAGCAAGTTTGAGGACCCATTCTTTACAAAATAATTATAAGGGTTGGCATGTGTTGCTGTTTTTGGTTTGGATATTATTTTACAGAAACAGTTCATTCCTTCATCTGAAATTATGACTTTTACATTTTAGAGATTGGGCTGGACCTTTGGACATTCCTTTTAACTCTTGTCAAGTTAAACAAGAGTCTGTTGTGAATTCTGCTGAAGCCACTAGGAAGATTTGTTAGAGACTATTATGCAATTTTATGTTACTTGAATCAATGTTAATATATAAGATAAACATGTTTTATTACAGAAATGACATGCGCTCTACATTTTTGTGTGTTATTTCCCAAAATTAAGGTTGCTATTTTCGTTCTCTCTCAAGCTACCACTTATGTGCTTGAGAACTCTATCAAAAATATTGGATACTCTTTTAACTAACAGATTCCCAATTAGTGTACTGACATTCTTCCTCATGCAAATGAACAACTTTGCTCTCTACTGAAGCTAAATATATTTAAAGGTTTATTCTGTAATATTTCTGGTGGAGGATCTGCCACTTGCTAGTCTTCATGACGTTACTGCCTTGTCTGTAATCTACATTGCATTTATTCAATTAGAGGTCTCTATATTTTTAAGAACCTTGAATAACACACATTGTCACTGTGAGAGGGGTCACCTCTCCACAGACCTGACCATGAATATGCCCTGAGAATAGTGACATGATGCTCCTTTAAAACAAAATAAGAACAAGACTTGATAAAAGAACATTTTATTGTAAAAGTTGAAACTCTCACAGAAAGTCAGTTACCGTCTCTTTTGCTGTGTGTTACTATTCCCTTTTATGAAAACTATTTAACCAAATAATCTGTTTTTAAAATGTAAACAAAACATTTTAACCACATTAGTACCAAGTTCTACAAGTATTCTATGACCTCTTCGGTCTTCTTTTACAGCAAAAAAGGCCATGGTAATGAGTAGGAGTAGCTTTTTCTGGTTTGTGCGTTTATAAGAATTTGTAAAATAACAATTTAAAACCATAACAATATTCAGAACAGGTCTGCAATGGAGGTAAATGTACCCAAAGAATTCCAGGGATAAACAGGGATGTTGTCTTCACTGTTGCCCGGTGAGGAAGCGGATAATGGCATTGGGGACGTCTAATGTTTCATCCTTTATCAAGACAATGTCATAAGAGTCCAAGTATGTCTGCCTCCTCTCCTCTACCTGGAAAAAAGGCACACAATATAATTAGACAACTTTGCAACAAAATCCAAAAGTATGGTCAAAAACTTTAGTATTGTTATAGGTCCTATATCATACAAACTTGACTCTTGTGAGCTTAAGCCATGTCCTAATGTTATCTCCTCAAAAACATACTTTTGTTTTTTTTTCATTCACACATGTTTGAGTAACCCTTTATTATTAGTCTGTCTACATCTCTAAAGCTCCAAATACACTGTTCCACCTTCCTATTCCATGTAGTAGTGATTTTATGCAGCAGAGATCGGCAATTCCAGGAGTATGGAGTTTAAAAACACAGTGGAGCACTTCCTCTATTAGCACATTACACCACAAGGTGGAACAGAGTGTTTTCTGTTTGAGAGAACTCAGCCTAAATATGCAGGATTTGTGCATTAAGCATCTGAATGAAACAAAACACAACTCCAGCTATGCTTTTGATGACTATATGATAACAAAATCAGAAAATGGCATCATATGGGCCCTTTCACATGTTTCATTATTTGATTGAAAAAAAATCTCAGTTTGCCCTTTCCCTGCCTTGTATGTTAAGCTATTTAGAAATTGTTGTGTACATTCTGTTAACAGTATTCATTGTAAAGCTTTAGACCCTTGGTCTGATCTCCAGGTCAGATAATGTGTAGAAGTTGGTCACTGATAAATAGGGAAAACTAAATCATTGGAAACTTTTGTGATAAAGGGAGTCAGGACTAAATCATCATCTGCGTTAGCTAACCTGTAATCATTTTCTCACAACAGTGAAAGTGCGTTAGTATATTTTTTCAGATAGTGCTCTATAAGCACATACTATATGATAAAAGAATCACCCCATAAGATGCACATGGCAACTTTGTAGACTCAACTAAAAAAAAAATCTGGTAGTAGTTCAATATGTTGTGGATTTTCTGATTGGAGTGATGAATGTGAATTTCAATAGAGCCTACTCATGAGATTCAGTCAAATAACTTTTTCATTACTATATAAAAAAACAAGATACAAATATGCTCTATTACTTAAATTTTAAACCAATGTATTCTGACCTCATACATTACAGCAATACACATGACTGTCCTTTACCTTGTCATTGAGAAATCCGACCTTGAGGATGTTCTCCATGTCCTGGACCCCATCAGCCATGTTCAGGTCTCCCAGAGAGTCTCCAAGCAGCAGCACATTTGGTCGTGCTCTCAGCTCCCTGAAGTGTCCCGTGTTCAATAGCGCCCCCTCTCTTTTGTTGTAGATGTGGATCAGCTCTCCTTTGAATGCCTGCAACACTCCCTGAACACACACACGCAACAGTCAGATAAAGCCGCTATCCAGGTAAGATGCCATGACAGTTTTTAACATCCTGTCATCGGATTTTAACAAACTAAGAAGTGCAGCATGTGCAGCTCAAACGACACAAGTAAGGAACTGTTGGATTTTGTGAAATGAGCTGTTTGTTTTTCCCCATATCCATGGAGACCATGCAAGAGGCTAGCTATGGGCATTTGAGATGCTACAGGCGTTTTACACCATATGTAACAACAAATGTGGCAGAAGATCTTCCGGAGGAAACATTTTGAGGGAATGGCCCATTTCATCGCCAACCGAAACACCAGAGTGGCAGAAGAACAAAGTTTCTCCTGTTGTGTTCATCTGGTTCTCCCTGGACACTGTTGTGATGCTGCAGGACACAGAGGAGGACACTTTTGGCTCTTCCTCTCCTCAAACTGCCCTCACACAAATCTGCAACAGTTTGCTGCAGCAAAATTTTATTTTCCCTTGGAATTAATAAAGTATCTGTCTGATAAAACATCACAGTCACTGCAAAACTCCACTCTGGTCTCAGAGCTGTGAAAAGTGCTTATAAACTCTTCGCAGTGAATAATTAAGAAGCTTGGAATACATGAGGTAAGTGAGGAATAACTTTGGATCACGGCAAACTGTCTAAAATTAATTAGATCTGTTTTAACATTTTTAAGATGATAAAAATTAGATAGTTCTTTTTTCCCTTTTAGGCACTCAAGGGACGAGCTGGGATCAAGTGTCTTGCCCAAGGACACAATGTTTTCAAATATAAAAAAGAAATTAAACTCTGCAAAAATATCTTAAAACATCGAAGGTCTTCTCAAAATATCAAAATATAGTGATATGACATGTATTATAAGGTTTTGATGGTATTGAGTGTCAGTGTCAGATCAGTTGCTACTCACAAGTTCGTCAAAGTCCATATAATTGGAGAATACGTTGACGTTGGAGTGGAAGACTCCAGCCTGCCGAATCACTTCCTCTAAAACATCTCCTATCCCGGCCGAGAAGATGAGCAGGGGGATGCTGTGCTCGTGCAGGTGGTCAAAGAAAAATTTGTATCCATCCCTGTCAAAATATTAGTATTAATTTGACATGGTATTTAAAAGATACACAACGTACATTTGCTGACAGAGGATGCCACCTGCTTGTCTCCATGGAGATGTTACTGCTGTGCCTGGATGGAAAATATCATCTATCTTGCATTTGTCCAGTTAAAGGTGTTTTATTGGTCAAAACCTTGCAAAATATTCATTGTTATGATCTACTTCCAGAAAAGGCAATAAGATTTTTATGGAGACAAGTAGGTAGCATAGTGAGTAAGTAGACCCCAGAAAAGTTGCATAGTGCAGCTTTAAAAACCCACTGTAATTTGAAGATGGGAAAGTCTTACCTAAGCCTTGCATCAGACTCCCGCACCACTAAGGCAAGAGCATCTTTCTTTATTTTTTGCTCAATTAAGAGTTCATGAGCTTTTGTCCACCTACAAAAATAACAGAGAAATAAAGTTATAGTCATTAATTTATTGATTGAGACAGAAATGTTCTTGGTAGTAACTAAAAGGTTTATAGCCTAATTCACTAAAAACATGAAAAGGTTGTAACTGTGCACTCACCACTCCACCATAAGAGGTAGCTTCTCCTCTACTGACCGAGAGCAGTCAATCTCTATGGGGTAGTAGGTGTTCAGTAGTTCTTTTAACTGTGAATGACAACAATATTAAGAAAAAGAAACAAAACCAATCAGAATCAAAACCACTTGAGCATGGACTTTGATGTGTTCACACTCGTTTTGGTTTAGCTAGCAACAACAAAATATCCTGTATGATTCTGCATAAAGTCACTAACACTTTAGTTTTTACTTTTTTTTAACACTTTAAAGGTGTGAACTTTGAACAGAATCAGAATTCTATTATTAAAATATATATTAAAAAAAAAACTGGAAAGAAAATCATAACTAAAATGCTTGGCAGAAAAAAATTCCAAATCCTGATGTTCTGTAGACTTGATTTAGTCCTGTACTGGTCCTGGTTTTGCTCCAGATTTTAGTATAAATTTGTTGATGTGGAGGGAGTGCACATGTGAACGCAAACTTGAACTCCTTCAGATACAGTCCATTGGTTAATTATACATTTATTATATATTGTACAGTATGAGGGGAAAAAAAGATTAGTTTTAAGAAAGCCTACCTGTAGTTTACATTCATCACTGATGAGTCTGCTATTGTCAAGTATATCTGCAAAATACACATAGACAGAGTTACACAAAAATATTCAAGACATCAGAGGACTTAAATCAAATGTGTGGTGAGATGGCACTTACTGTGACAAGTAGGACACCGTTTTCCATTGAATGCAAATCTGGTTAGAGTCATGTCAAAGTCTGAGATCACCTGGTGTTAAAAAAGTTGGATAGTGAATACATTAGACTGAAATAACAGATGTATTACATAATCTGAAAAGAAGACATTATGTTCCAAAGCTCGGACCTGGAGTGTGTTGGAGCCTGCCTTCTGCATAGACACGAGAATGTCCCGCACTCTGTCCGGGTCTTTCATACACACCGAAGTGTTGGACAACTGAGGGATCATCTGTCACAGGAAAAAACATAAATTACGCTATTGTCACTACCTTACGTATGTTATTTCAAGAATATAAACGTTAACAATACACAGCTGTTTTTTGCAAAAGTATTAATAATTTTGCTATTTTTATGTGTTTTGCGAGTTCAACCCATAGACTCTAGTTTCTAGTATAAGGAAATGAGAAGGCTAACTAGCACTGACGCTAGTTAATTCATACTATACATTTAAATAACAATGGATAAGTAAAGTTAAAACTGATTAAAAAGTTACGACGCAATTAAAACATTTGACCAGGTAAAGTTGGATACAGAAACTAAAATGTCACTGGCAACATTTAGCATTCAAACAAAAACAAGTCGGGCTAGCTAACAACACTCGAAAAACAAGATCTCGTGTTCGCCAACAAGCTTTTGAGCAACTCCTGTACATTATTTGAAGTATCTATATCCCAATAAGACACATTTAATATTGTTTATGTTACCATTGTGAGGATATTTGTTGTAGATCGCCGTAATCCGAGTCTGAGAGCGCGTTGCTGTTGCTGGGGTCAATCATCTACAGACGACGCGTTCAAGGGCTACTGTCAAGATGAGATTTGGGAAATTCATTTTGACCGTAGCATAAACAACATTATCAATAAAAATAAATTACCTACTTTTGACTAGAGTATTGTTAATTAAATATTTCAGTAGGATGACTTTTTTTTAAATTGTCTTTTATATGTATGCAAATGAGTTGTGACGGTCCATTTACACAAGCTCTAGCCTAACATTGAACGCAGCAGCATTATTTCTTGCCTATGGTGTATGTTCAGGTATGGGACAGGTCTTGTCCCTCTAGAAGGCAAATTTTCCTAACATAAGGGTCCTATCCATCTACTTCTTGTCCTTTACAACCTGCTGTCTAATAAAAATGACAGATGTGGAAAACAGACCAACTGACCAGACACTGTACATTAGGTTTATAAGCAGACAAGAACCAAAATAGCCTCTAAAATTAAATAGTTAGAGCTATAAGTAAAGTGTATAATTATTATAAGTAAAAAAAAAAAAAAGATGCACAACAGTTGTCCTTTTTATTATCTTTTGAAAATGTTACAGGTGTGAATTAGTGCTCCCATTAACTAGATTAGACATAAATTTGACTTTTTCTATGTTTATAGCAGGAAAATTACCTTATAATAAATCTATATATATATATATATATATATTTAGGCTATCTTTTAAAAATGCATTCAATAGTTAGAATGCAATTAAAGCTTTGAAATGGTAAAGCTGTATGCACTCCTATTGGCTATGTAACAAATAGACTTTTTGTTTGTTTATAGAAGGAAATTATCTTACTCTCATAAAATTATATTCTAGAGCAGCCCACATTTTAATTATGTTGTACTGAATGTAAGAACATCTGATCCAGATATTTCTATACATCTTTTTCTTAAAATAATGCACAGGTTTCAATCTTAAAAACATCTTTATTTGCAAGTGATGACTACATAACATTTCTTACATCCAATAGTAGGACATAATGTCAGACTATCACATGCAAAGCAAAGTACATAGCTTATTCCACAGTCTTCTGCAATGTGGGGTAGGTTGGTCAGAAAATGGAAACTGCATTCTAATTTCTGCATTTTAGCTATTTACTGGTATTTCTCCCTTTAATACATCTGCTTCCTTTCTGGTATTTTTAACAACATCTTTGGAGGGCAAGTCTGAAGAATGCCAAAGCCACTATTGTACGCTACACCTGTTTTTAAATAAATTAAACTTTGCAAGACTCTGAACACAAGAAAGTTAAAGATTAGAAAATGGACAAAACAATGGATACAATCATTTTGTCTGATATGCAAGAATTGGATTAAGCAAAGTTAAAAGTGCAGTGGCAACATAACATCCCTATATGGTTCTCTATTAAAAGGGCCCAAATTACACTATTTTCTGATCTATGTTACAATGTTGTTTCCTCATCAAAACATACCTGGAGTTGTGTTTTGTTTCATTCACACATGTATAACACTCCAATCCTGCACATTTATGCTGAGCTCTTCTGTCAAACCAGAAAACACCTTGTGATGTCATGTGGCAATGCAGGAAATGCTTCACTGTGTTTTTAAACTTGATGCACCTTCACTAGAATCATTTGGGTGATTTCAGCCTTGGAATTGCCGATCTCTATTGAACTAAAGGTAAAGGAGGATAAGGTAAAGGAGTTGTTGAACTTGAAAACTACCACTTCATGACATCACAAGGTAGAAAAGAGCATTCTGACTCTGCAGACAGACTAATAATAAAAGATTACTCAACGTGTGTGAATGAAACAAAATATAATTACAGGTATGTTTTTGATGAGGTGACAACATCACTTAAAGCTCACAAGAGTCAGTGTCGTGTAATCTAGGACCTTTAAGACTTCACAAACTATTAGCTGTCACAAAGTGCAGTTAATAAAGCCACCATCACCATTTGTGGCATATACAGACTTCAACACATATGTCATAGCATCTTTCTTAGCTTTACACTGAGCAAAAAACCTGCCAAAGTGCAAATGGAATGAGAAAATAAGCCATTGTCTCTGATTGGTGCATAGAGCAATGGCCAAATAGAATGACGTTATTAAAAGGGAATTGTTACTTTACATATATTACATTAAGTCATTAAGTGCCCATCTGCGAAATTGCATACCTCTTTTCATTTTCTTATTTGAAGCTGCGGCTAAACTAATAACGCTAAAGGTGCACTGCGTAACATTTCTAGTGTAGGGTCTGCCAGCTGCTTGTCTCCATGGAAATGTTATTGCTTTGTCTAGAGTGTTCCATAGTATAGATTAAACTTATCCATCACACGGTAGACAAGCAGGTTATAGCACTACACTACATTACGGTTCAGATCTGTGGAGAGTGGCCCCCGTTCACAGAAGGAATTGTATTTTTGAGCAATGGAAACACTTGTAATGAATAAATGCCAGATGTATGTTTAATGTGGAATAGTAAGCATGGAAAACTCCAGGCAAAGCAATCACATCTCCGTCGAGACAATCAGATAGGAAAGTTGCGCAGTGCACCTTTAAATTGTACACAGAAACAAGTTACAGATCTGTACATTTTGAAAGTACACAGTATTTTAAGACTAATGCATTTAGGTGGTAAGACTGCAAAGTTAAAGCACAGGTTGTATTTGTGATATGAAGTACAGTTAGAAATACTCCAGACCTACACCGGTTAAGATTGTCACAGTGTTACTACTATGGAATCACACTTGAAGCCATTAGTTTAAGTTTTGTTTTTTTGTTTTTGTTTTTTTAACTAAATAAAGGAATGCAGGATATAGATACTAGACCAGTGTTTCTCAAACTGTGGGTCCAGGTCTTTTTCAAGCTTCCTTCAAATTATATCCATTGTGATTTAAGTGCATTTTTCTTAGCTTAATTTCATTTAGCTAGTTACTGAAGAGTTCAATAGCAAAAACAAATCTTGGTTTTGGAAAATTGCCACAACCTTTTCTTTTTGTTACCATCTTCTAGAGAGATTATCAATAACAATAATGTAGTATAGTGGACCAAAAAGGCATAGAATAATATTTTGATGGTGGTAAAATAACTTTGGGTTTTGAAAAGATTACGCACCTAAGAGTAAACTACAAAACTCCAATGATTTTCTTCACTTATCCGTTTTTGGCAAAGGAACTTTTACAATGAATTCACTTCTTTATAGTTATGGGGTTACAGATGCTCTGTCGGCCTAGTTACTTCACCCACTAACCCAGAGGTTGGTGGTTCAATCTTCATGTCTGGAAATGCATACTACTGTAATGTCTTTGAGCAAGACATTTCACCCATACATCGAGTACAGTTTGAGAGACACTGCAATAGTCCCAAATACAAGCATAAAATAATGGAATGCTTTCTTTTTATATATAAATGTTACATATATAGCTTTTTATACCATTTATGTACAAACAAATGACATTTTTACCAACACATGTAACGTTTCTGTTGGTGGATTTATGTACAGTACTATTATTCACATGTCTACATTCACCATATCGTTCTAACTGACCAAACAGACAGTAAGACCAATGTAACTGATGGCTTTTGAACCAGGGGCAAAATACACACATTTATACTGGAATGAACAGAAAACACGAACCAGCTTTGTTCTGCCAGGTCACACAAATATTACAAATAGGCCTGTCACTATAATGACTATATTGACTTATAGTTCAATGAATGATAAATGAAACTGTATTTTTTGGAAATCAATATTTGTCCTAGGTACTTTTTCTTTGTAAAAAAAATTAGGAACTTTATGCTATTTTTCTGTGCTATGATACGATTAAAGATTGTAGAAGGTAATTTTCTTTAAATTATATTTTATGATATATATAGAGAGAGTGGGATAATACTGCTCTAGGGTTACTGAGTCGGTGGTATAAATTAGTTTCAATATTATCATTTATTGTTCATAATTTCCTTAGCAATATATCATATTTCAAAATACAACTGCACAATATATAACAAAATATTGAATTTAGAATATTGGCTGACACAATAATCGAAATATATTCTTCAAAGTAAAATTGACAGAAAGGTAAATTTTTTAATTATTTTCCTTATTTAGTCTTCAATTAGTCAGTGTTAAACTGTCAAAATAAAAACTTGACTAATAAATAACAGCATGTATATATTCTTTTTTACTTAACTGAACTTACTGAGTCAAAGTATGAGATAATATTACAGCAATATCGTTATCTCAATACAAAACAAGTATCGAATATCTTTTTTTTCTCATTCCGTGCAGCCCTATTTCAAAACTTGTTACGGTGACAGGCCTAAAGTTACAAGAGAATATTTAACACTCGATTTGTGATTGTAGCTGGCGTCGGAGGGTGAGGGTGCGCCTGTGAAGCTGCTGCATCTGTTGCATTCTGTCCCGTTGCCTCGCCAGGTTTTGGGGCATGGGGTAACGCTGGCATCCATAGAGAAATCTGTAGGGTATCCGCACGTGGCAAGCCGTGGCTCTGCACCTCGGCTGGGGCATTGGGGGCAAAAGCATCCATCTCTTCCTCTCTGCGCAGTATCGGTAGGCTTCTTTGCGATACTGCTTGTCAACGTCATCGCTATTCTTCCATCCGCCGATAATGAACACATCTTCGTCAAAGTGGCAAATGGCTGCTCCTTCGATGCTGGTTACCTCTGGAGGCAAGCTTTCCAGGATCTCGTCGGAAATGCGAACGCTGATCTTTTGTCTCGCCATTTCGTCGCGCACGGTGTAGCTTTTCGGACAACAGGAAGCAGTGTGGTAGAAGTTTGTAGACGCCACTGCCATCTGGAAAATGCAGTAGTTATCAATGAGCGGCAGTGAGTCTACATCTTGCCATTGCCTACTTTCGGTATCATATCGTGTTGTCACGGTTTTTAGCCCATCTTCGTTGTCCGTGTCAACCGGGGTACGAGCTGTTACGTAAACAAATCTGTCTTCTACGCTTAGCTTTAACATCACGCAATATTTTAGGGGCGGATTCCAGATTATGCCACTTATCTTGCTCTGGTTCGTAGACGCTAACATCTTTAAACCCAGGACTGAAGTTCCCATGCCCTCCGATGCTATACAGGATATCTTTAATGCACGTTAGCCCAAACGAATGCTTACGAGTTGTCAAGTTGCTAACCTGCTCCCACGTATTGCGATTCGGGTTGTATCTTTCCACAGTCTTTGCAAACCCGGGCTCCATTGAACCAGCTACATACACGTGAGATTCGGTAGCAGCAATCGCGTGCCCATCTAGATGATTGTGTATGTGTGGCAAGTTCACCCACCTGTCTTCGTATATGAAATAACCAACGCATTCACTTAAATAGTCCCCTCCTTCTGAAACTCCGCCCACTACCATTATAACGTCCATGTTTTGACCAAAGCGTGGTTGGAAAGATGTCATGTGCGATGACCACAGCTCCATATCGGCCGATTTAAGATTCTCAAAGCGGATTGCGTGCCCCTCCACTGCTTCGGACACCAATCTTAGGCAAGCTTCATTTGACGCTACTAGCCTCTCGTTTTTCACCACTCTTGTCAAATACGTGGGTTTGATCTGCGGTAACCTTAGCAGTCGGAAAAGCTCTTCAAAATACCGACTTCTCTCCTCTGAGTTCTTCTGTACCCATTTCACGACAGCTTCGAATAAAACTTCCTCGGAATCTACAGTTATCTCCGCATCTGAAAGCCAGTCTCTGACCAAGTGAAAGGGAAGAGTGTAGAACTCCTCGTCCTGGATAACCTTATGGAAGTTTCGACGGATCATATCTGCCGCTCTTAAAGCCAATTGGTCCAAAGTGTACATGTGCGCCAGGCTATGCACGGCCACGCAGTTGGTTAGACTCAGTTTCTTCTTCAGGAATTCTCCACAGAAATCCTTCAGCTGCACCAAAAGGAACCTAAATATGTAAAGAAATAAAGAGCATTATATCAAACAAGATGAGAACAGGAGCTTCAGTTCAAATAAAAATTATTATTTGGGACTATTATTATTGTTATGTTATTCCGGTTTTTACAAAGAAAGAAAAGAAACTGGACTCGTGCCTCATTACACATGCACACAATTAGAAGAAGATTTACTTGCGTTTTAATTGTAAATGAATCATGACACAAAACTTCACTAATTAGGAATGCAATTTGATGATGCAATTTGAGCAAACAAGTTTCATCATCAAGAATTCCACAGTACCTCTCCCTTTAATTGTCAAATTTGTTACAGTCAAACAAGCTACAGTTTTTTGTTGTTTTCTGTGCGAGTTTAGTAAACACTAGTTCTTTGTTATTTGCTTGTTCTTCATTTAGGTAAATAACACTGCTCCTTGTGACTGTTAAGCATGAGATGATAGAAAGTATAATGAACAAAAACAATAGATTCAGGATACAAACAAAACTTAGGCTACTGAATGCAAACTAAGTAAAATATTTAAATGTATTTACTGGCTTGGGAAAGAAAAAAACATCAACAATTATTGGAGATATCTTAGGAGGACTGTAGACTGTGTGCGATGTATGCTGGAACACTTCATCCAAACAATACTCCAGAGAGTGAAGACGGACACCGGGATGGATTTGAGGAGCTTTAATGCCCTTTCTTGTATCTTTTGTTTGCCTATCCTTTCATCTGTCTGTTAATCTATCCTTTCATCTGGTTATCTACAACCGGATTTGGATCATATTACAAACTGAAAATGACACACATATAATCAGTCTATCTAATCAAGTTAATAAAGTTAATTAACATCAAAACATTACATATCAAGCAAGGAAACAAATAAATATTGACAAATCCACCTCTATCACAGGTGCAGACTTAAGATAGGTTAAAGGTAATGCTCTGAAGCTACAGCAGTTAGGCCAGAAGTAACAGCGTAACCAGTAAAAACATTACCATGGTGCTCCCAAGGACCCCTGATCTTAAATTATACTGGGGAATTTACAACACCAATAGTTTTCTCATTTATTTTGACCAGTTTATGCTTAGAATTGATTCATTCTTCTTTTCCCTACATTCACACAGGCTGTTGAACTTGATAGCCTACTACATAACTGTATTCCTGATCTTTTGACCTGTGCTCAATAGTCCAATGGCGGCACAGAATGTCCAGCTCAGCCAATAAAAGGAAAACAGGCCATTCAAACTTTATACGCTATTGTTTACTTGCTGTGGTTGTTATTGTTGTGACTGTTTTGAAAGCACATTGAGCCTCTTCCTCCAGGGATTAGGGCTGTTTGTAGTAGAGTCATTTGTATGTGTGAGGATGACACCTCTTACCTGTCTGCGAGCTCGAGTACTTCGTGCACGTTGCAGGTGCTCACGCGGATCTCCCCCGTGTACATGTACTGAATCACGCTCTCCACCGTGTCTGGGTCAGGCCCTTGCTCCGAGCTCCACTCCTTCATCTCGACCCGTCCGGAAATGGACTCGGAGAACTGTCCACTGAGCAGCGGGGTGAAATAATCCGTGGCCGCTGCGAGGACCGACCGATGCGCGGAGAACTCGCAGCTGTGTATCATCCCCGAGCCGGATCCGCTGGAAAAGGCCAGCGTCACGTCGCAAAACAAGCCCTGTTTTCGCTGCTCGTTCTGCCTCCGGGACAGCTCCGAACAATGCGAGGACGAGCTGAAGTCCTCGGCCTCTTCCGCTTCTCCATCCGCGGCGAGGGCGCTGGGTGTGCCGCCGCCAATACTGCCGCTGCTCCGTGCCGCGTCCTCCGGGTTGGGGGCCGCTGTCGCCATTCCGCTGCCGCCGGGGCTGGAGGAGAGCAGGGGAGGTAAATGGAGCAAACTAGAAAAGGAGAGGAAGCGACATACGCAGCCACACATACATAAAGTCCACGCAGGACAGTTGCGCGGCGCGTTTGCTGTTCGCAGCTTCTTCTGATTTCTGTGGTTGTGGACAGCGCGAGGGGGCGTGGGCACGGGACGCAAACACGGAAGTGCTATGAGGACGTAAGGCGGAAGTGTGAGCTGGCTGCAGCTGGATCATCTTTTTTACACGAAATTTCAAAAATAAAACCTTTTGTCTGTATAATGCTTTTGTGTAGCCTAACCATTAAATCTGTTTATTCATGAGACAGGGGCAGTACACAATATAGTGCATTAACTTTAACAAGGAGAGATGGATTGTGCCAGGCTGTAGCACTAAAGCTGATTTCCACCTATAGCCCCTTGTGCATGTTTTTATAGGTTTCAATTTTGTGATGCGCTATCCTCACCGCTAGAAAGCCAGGTTTAACCACTGCTGTTCTGAATCAGGTAATTCAGTTTTTTAATGTATGGTCCTCTTGCATGCCACCAGAAGTAGCTTTGACAGCTTAACCATTTTTTTTGAAACCTTAGAAATAAACATTTCAGACTATTACCAATGGAAAATATCACATATTACATATTATAAATTACATATTACATAAACTGTTAAAGTGTGTCAGATAAAAATAAACAACAAAAAAACAGATGCACTGGAGTTTCTGGAAAAGTGCTCACCACACCTAAATGCAAATTGACCACAAAAAGGTGTTAAGGCTGCGGTTATTTCGCAACATGTGCCTCACAATCACTGCAAGGAACAAGGAAGTACAAATATATCATTCCATCCATAATTTAAAAGTTATGCTATACCAAACTGCTTTTTGTGAGCTTTAAGTCATGTTATAATGTTACCTCATCAAAATTATACCTGGAGTTGTGTTTTGTTTCATTCACACATGTCTGAGTGACCCTTTATTATTTGTCTGTCCCAGACTAATAATAGTTTCCCAGACTAATCACAAGGTGATGCACCTTGTTACATCAGGAAGTGGTAGTTTTCAAGTGAACAGCTACCTTTTACCATTGGTTCAGTAGAGACGGGCAATTCCAGGGCTGAAATTATCCAAACAGTTCTAGTGAATATGTATGTAGTTTAAAAACACAGTGGGGCACTACTTCATCATTACATCATAAGGTGGAACAGAGTGTAATCAGTTTAAGAGAAGAACTCAGCCTAAATATAGAGTTTGTGTGTTAAACATGTATGAATGAAACAAAACACAACTCCAAGTACATTTGTGATGAGGAAACAATATTATAGCATATATCAAAATAGTGTAATATGGGCCCTTTAAGACAAGTCCGATGAGCAATGTTGGTCAGATTTATTTATTTTATCCAGTTATGCACATACGAGTGACATTTAGCTTCCCTTATCAATTAGTACATAGGCACATAGAGTTTACATGGTTAAAACAAGGTACCAACAATAATCCAGGTTAAATTAAATTGCACTGTTACAAATAATGCCCCATCTTTTACATGACATTTGAATGAAATAACAGCATTTTGGTCAATACTACATATGTCAAGTTTATGCACAGTTACACACAGAATGGCTAATTAAAATTCTCCACAAAAAAAGGCCACAGTAAACTTGACACCAATTTACCCATGTTATAAACATTACAGATATAATTTCAATTCCATTTGTGGTACATTATAATAGGTCTATATTTTTGTACCATATTGTATATTTTCATTTTTAATAATATAATCTATACATAAATAAACACTATATCTTGTTATGATACTATAATGTTTGATGAACAAAGAACTTCAAATGGCACAACAAAGAGAAATACAGAGTTTGAGGTATAGACAAATAGACTTAGACAATATTCACAAGATAGACATACTCACAAACACTGTTCCCCTTTAATGATAGAATATTACTCTTTTTTTAGCAGCATGTAAACGTTATAAGCATCTGGTCAAAACTAATATTACTGTTTATTAATATCTGGAAAATAAACAAGGAATATGTCTGAAAATATTCCAACTTTATGGGTGACTGTGGTGGCGGTCAACTTCATGCATTTATACAATTACTTAAAATCATGTAACCAAAATAAACATTTCTACACTATGAATTATTCTTCCTCTTTTTTATATATATTTACACATTAATAAAATAACAATTATATTTTCTTGATTCTTCACACAGTCTATGGTTCTTCACAGTAGCAGTTTGGGCAGATGCGGTCATTGACATTGGGGGTTTTACATGGACATGTGTTCAGGCAGCACGTATGAGATGTCGTCCCATGGGTGGCGATACAAGCCCTGCCTCAGCCTCTTCTGGTCCAAGTAGTGCCCTGGTGAAGTGGAAAAAGGAGGTTATTATAGTCAATAGTTTCACACACAAACTCCTCATATGTTCTGATTTTATTTTTTGTTTGCTTTATCAACTTTTTTAAAAATAATTGGCAGTTATAAGAATAAGCCTAATACAATCGGTCTATTTATTATAATTCACTATAATATTTGGATACTATAATAAATTGGTGGATCATTAGTTCAAAGCACCAGCTAAATTGTGTCTAAAAACAATTTGAGTGCATGCTTTATAGCTGGTCTATTTTACAAAATCTTCCCCAGGGTCAAATTTTTGGAGGGCCATGGCTAGATAAATGTGCAGCACACAAAATATGCCCATTAGGATTAACATAGAATTAAACCATGTTCCAATACTTACAAATATAAGAAACCACAAACATAATTGTGAGTGTTACGCTTGCCTAAACCAAGAGTAAAATATTTTCTTAATATTTGTAAAATACAGTAGGTCATGGGCCACATGAGGTCAGTCTCTCTGGAAACGTTAACATTTATTTAAATAATCTAGCAATCAGTGCAACCAAGATGTCTTCTTTATGTTAATAGCCAGTGTGACGTCTTACCAATGAAGCCCATGCTGCGTCCAAGGACAAAAATGCCATTCAGAGCACCAATTTCCACAAACTCATCGGCTTCATCCCTGTAGTGAACAGAAGAAAATGATTTAGAATTGATCTTGGGGTAAAACTAAAACACATATCCATCTATCTGTCTATCTAGCTATCTATTCATCTAGCTATCCATCTATGTCTACTTATATCAAACTAAACTGATCCACCACAAAAATGACACAGATAATGTTTAAACATATATACATCACCACCTTAGCTATAGTTTAATAGGGATGTAAGGAATATAATAATAATTGCACAAAAATATGTAAAAAACCTAACCAAAAATAAAAGTCTAACCTTGTGAATCCTCCACACGTCCGGAGCAAGTCCACAAAAGCCACACCAATGAAGCCATCTACATTCAGGATGAGGTTGGGTTTCTGAGACAAAATACACACACAGCAACTTTAATATTGATTTTTTATTATTTAGAAATTTATAGCGGCTGTGAGAGGATAAGGTAATAATTCTTGCCTTGGACGTAGTGATCTTCTCCACGTCGAGAGCGTAATCCAGGAGCTGTGTCGAGGGAAAGTTCTGCTTCACAAAATCCTTCAAGATCTGGACCCTCATATCAGGATTATTAATCTGTAAAAATGTAAATGTATGGATATTATTTATTGGCACTGATGGAAGAAGTACTTGATTTTGTTACTCAAGCAAAAGAACAGATAAACAGACCAAAACATACTCAAGTGAAAATATTACATGAAAAAAAAAAAAAATGTCTTGATTAGTTTAAGTTTGCCACAAAAATTGACTGAGTAAAATGAATTACCAATTTAAATTTAAACCATTTTTGGAAGATTACACATCAAGTTTAAATTTTATTTATTCTATTTTCTTTTGCATTTTTTTGGAGTTATTTTATTATAGGCTATATACTGTAACTGATAGTGTAATTTTGCATTTAATTAAAGGTGCACTGTGTAACTTTTTTGTTTGGGGTCCATTACCTGCTTGTTTTTATGGACATGTCATTGCTCTGCCAGGAATATTCTTACAATTTATTCAATTACAGGTGGTTTTACAGCTCAAAAATACATAGAAAAACAGACATTCTGACTATGAGCAGGGTTTCCTCTCCACAGATTTGACCTGTAATTTGGTCTGGTTTGGTCTCCATAAAGATAGAAAGATTTAATGCCATACTGTGAAACATTCTAGACAAAGCAATAACACCTCCATGGAGAAACGCATTTGATGGACCTTCCACCAAAAAAGTTACACAGTGCACCTTTAAACTTGATACTGACCGACTTCACTCTGTGTCCAATGCCCATAATTAGCTTTCCGTCCTTCTTCATCTTGTTCACAAACTCCATCGGTAACATGCCGCTGTCGAAAGCTTTACTGAACTGTTTGGCTGCAGCGTCCAGGGCACCTCCAAAACGATCTCCCTGAAAGGAGAAAACAAAAGAACAAAAAAGAGAAGAGAAAAGTGTGAGTAAAAGAATGAAAGAATGAATGAAGTATAGAAGCCACTGATGTAACATGGTGTATTGAGACTTTGCAGTGACATGAAGCTGGGAATGTTTCTACATGTATGTGCATTAGCAGAATGTTCACCAGTTACCATGGAAACACAATGTAAACAATAGCAAACACTGCCAAATAAGAAAAAACACAAATGTGATTTAAACTACACATTTTCAGGAGTCATCAATACGAGCGTTCATGGTCCTGTTTAGGCGTTTGATTTTCAACAGAAAGGTGAGAGTGACTAACTGAAAAACTGTTGCTTCTAACAGAGCGTTACTTTCATTTAGCTTCACACCCCCAGGGATTGTGGATGACATCAGCTTTCAAGTAATCAAAACAGTCAATCAAAAGACAGTGTTATAAATATGGCTTGCAAGATTAACCACAATTTTAATCAAGGCAATATGAAAATCAGGTTAATTAAGTTGCAATTATTTATGCCACAAAACAACTAAATGTTTCCTCTCATGTACAAAATGATAACCGTGTGTACATATCCTCAAATGAGTCAGATTCTTTAATAAACTGAACTGTAAAATAAGATGATGCAGAGAACAGGATTGTGCTGTGGAAGGAAATAGTCAAAGAAAATGCAGAAAACTGATAAGGCTACTTCTAAGTGGTTAAGTTAATTCCTAGTATTCACATTTCTCAGCATAGTTTTGGTATTAATAGTTAGTAGAAATAATAATAATAGCAATAGTAGTAGTAATAGTAGCAGTAGCAGTTAGTATGTGGTCTTTACAATGTTAGCAGTGTCTTTATATATTAACCCGAGTGCAGATTGGTGATAATTTTTTTATTTATTTTTTTAATGGGCTGAAGTTTCTATCTGATTGTGTCTTATGCTTATAGGGAGTCTGTCATTTAAAGTGAACACAAATAAAAGTGCAAAGGTGATGTACTCATGGAAACACCACAGGATAAATATTTTGATAAATGATTAAAGAAGTGATTTTAAAGTTTTTCTCTTACAATGGTGAGGAGCCCGGAGGTGAGACTGGAGATCAGGTCTTTTCCAGCCCGAGCACAGACGATTGTGTTGTGAGCTCCAGAGACAGCAGGTCCGTGGTCTGCAGTCACCATCAGGCACATCTCGATGAACTGACAGGCGTATCTCGGCAACCTGAGACAAAAAATAGATTTTTTATCCTGGTTTTGCAGACCAGGACCACAAGTATTGATCTCTTGGGTGAAATTAGGTATATTCTAATCCTATAGTATTTTCATTTAAGAGTGCCCCTTTTTGTCAGTCTGGTTTCCTATATACATTTCTCAAAGCTTGGGACTGACTCTAATAAATATTTACCTCAAATATAACACTGAATAAATACAATGATTTTTCACATTGAAGTTGGTAATTTCACTTTTTGCAAATTCCTTAAAGATCCATATATTGGACTGACCTTCTCTGGAACCACAGCAGACCCAGTGTTCCTCCAAGTCCGATCTCAGACTTGAAGACTTCAGTGATGGGCATCCCGGCATAGATCAGCTCCTGGCCTCTCTCGTCACAGATACTAGTCATAAAGGACGCAGGCTTACGAATCAGACCCAACTCCTAACACACAACAGGGTAATGTGGTTAGCAAGATTCAAGATATCATTTAGAACAAATTTCCCCTTATCACCTTTAATCCTGGGACAAACTCCACTTTCCAAATATTATGACTATGTCTAAATCCATAAACTTGAATCCTGTGATATCAAGGACTGGGCTTTAATAGAAAACCACGTTGTCCACATTTTGACAAAAAAATGTTCAACAGAAAATAAACAGTAGTTCTATTATAGATCAAGGTCTCTCTTTTAGCACTGTTACTTATGGGACTGAGTATTTGATACTCAGATACTAATCATTATGAAAAGTAGTATAGATACTCATTTGAATAACATTTCTACCACTGTCTGTAATACTCACTCTGGCCCAAGAGTAGTCCATTGGCACTGTGGGAGGAGGCATCTCTTCAGCAGGTAAGATCACTCCTTTGGCTACGAGGTCGTCATACACAGATCTAAACAGGACAAAACATACAGAAGAATAAGGAACACACGATCAAACTGGGCTTGAACCTAGACCAAGCACTTTACAGCAAAGTAATAACTATGTAATACAGATAGAGTGTATAAAGTGGACTGAGGGAATGTGACGTCACCTATAGATTCGGCTCCAGGCAAATGAAGCGCATCATGTAGAATCATGTAGAGCGGGTTAATGTGAAAATTTTAAGACCAAATGACGAGGCTTTTTGCACCAGTCACAGAGAGAGGGGTGACATTATTTCAATGTAAAGTAAAATTGGAAACAGAGTCCCTTCCTATCTGTAATGCACATAATGCATATATACAGTTTATGGTAATAGATTGGCAATAGCAAATGCAATAGCATGTAACTGGGACTGCACAGGACAAATATGTTTTCATATTCAACTTTGGGTTAGGATTGAAAGGCGTATGAAATATTAGACTATGCCTTTCACTGAAGCATAGTTAATATTTTTTCACTTCTTTAGTTTAAGAATTTTGGTTAAGTTAATAATTGTAATTCCTGGTTGAACATGAGCAGCAAATGTTGACACATGTAGAGATATCCCATTACTGTTACCAAAGCAACCAAATGAAAAAATATGATAGTTCTTTTATGTTATCAAATTAATGTTTAAACTGTCAGAAGTGTCTTCTTTGGAATAATCCGTTCCGCATTTTGTGTACTGATTACATAGAATATAAAGGTGTAATACGTAAATTTTTGTGAAAGGTTCCAGACAAAGCAATAACATTTCCATTAAGAAAAGAATTTGACAGGCCCGCCACCAGAAAAGTTACACAATGCACCTTTAAGAACTCAGTGGTACCTTCGTAATTTTGACTTTTTAACTCAATCTTTCCTCACAACCGTAAATTGCTACCTGTTATATGTATTTCTATATAATTTAGTAATAACCAGGCTCACTCACTTGATGACCTCTCCCAGTTCATCAAAGCTTGTAGGTACAAACGCTCCAGCCTCTTTCAAAGCCGTGTTCTTTGCTACTGCAGTTTCAGAGGCCTGGTTGGCACAGGCACCTGCATGGCCAAACTGGACCTACATTTAGTAAAGAAAAAGTTCATAATTATTTAGTTAAACGGCCCAGATTACACGGTCTGATTTATGTTATACTAGGAATGTTGTTTCCTCATCAAAAACCTGGAGTTGTGTTTTGTTTCATCCACATGTTTATACACATACAAGCCCTGCGTATTTAGGCTGAGTTCTTCTCTCAAACAGAAAACATGACAGGACATCATCACATCACAAGGTGGAACAGAACATTTTGATCTTTGGAGATGTAGACAGACTAATAAAGAGCTACTCAATCATGTGTGAATGAAACGAAACACAACCTCAGGTATGTTTTGATGAGGTAATAACGTTCTAACATGGCTTAAAGCCCACAAGAGTCAATTTTTCATAAGTCAATTTAACAATTTCTCATTCTGCCTTACCTCAGAGGCAAACATAGTGGCGCAGGTTCCAATACACCAACAGACCACTGGCTTTGTGATCCTGCCCTCTTTTATAGCCTGGCAAATCTTGTACTCCTCTGTTCCTCCAATCTGAAGTAAAAGAAAGCAAACAAAAACAAAACAAAAAAAAACCCTGATGAATTAATAAAGGCAAAAATATGGAAAATTCAGTTGTGTACAGTTTTGATTGGATATCTCACCTCTCCCAGTACCACAATCATTTTGACTCCTGGAGTGTCTTGGTATCTCAGCACATGGTCAGTGAAAACAGAACCAGGGTATCTATGGGGAAATTACACTGTTTAAGTATAAGGGTAAATAAGAGTTAAAGGAGTTTTAAATGTCATAAAAACAAAATAAATAAATAGAGGGAACTGGGTAGCATTTCCAGTGAGCGGTCTGCCACCCGATATCTCCATGGAGATTGAATTGCTTTGTCTAGAATGTTCCACAGTATAGATTAAACCTATTTATCATGAAAGAGACAAGCAGGTTACAGCACTGCATACATTTTAGATTAAACGTTTCAAGCCATAACATGACAGGCAAAGCAATAACATCTCCATGGAGACAAGCAGGTGATGGACCATCCACCAAAGAATTTGCACAGTGCACCTTTTAATAAAAAATGTTGTCCTGTTTATGAGATTTTTTCAGTATCAATACCTGTTCAAATGAGTATATAGTTTCAGTACTAGTGTTGGATAGAGATTTGTCTTTTTTTAACAAACTAACAATTGGTTCTACTCTTCACATCAAATTTTTGAACACTACATAGATTTTACTGACCTGTCACCCCCAATGGCGACCCCCTCAAACACGCCGTCCGTTGTTCTGGAGATGATGTTGTTGAGTTCGTTGGACATGCCACCGGACCTTGACACGTATGCCACGCTCCCAGGACGGTACAGTTTAGATGCCAGGATATTGTCCAGCATTCCCCCTGTGTTCCCAATCTTAAAACAGCCTGGCTTAATACCTCCAACCTGGAAAGAATGACACAAAAATCACCTTAGATATTTTTATTTATATTGCACTTTACGTTTCAAAGACAAACCTTGAAATGTTTTAGTTAAAATAAATAAGTTGCTGCGCCTTGCTTTTACACCTCTATAAAAAGGACTTTGGTGTGCGTTTTCTGTTTCATTTGATTGTTGGTTAAAATATCCCACAGCATAGCAATAAAACTTAGGCAATCAACAATTTTAATTGCAATATGCTTTCCAAAATAAAATGTCTTTGTCTTATATACATAAATATGAAAGAAATAAAGTGACATATTGTATAGCTCTTACAGTGGCTGGTCCAATGATGGTGACACCCTTCTCGTCTGCAGTTTTGATGATCTTCCTTGTGTGAGCCTCAGGGATTCCCTCAGCAATTATGGCAATGGTGCGAATCTACAATTTGAGGAAAGACACAAATCTTAATGTAATAGCAGAAAAATTATGTTCTTACGTTTGAGGAAATTCTAGTCTCTAGTCTCACTCAAGCATTTGACGGTTTTGTTTGTTTGTTTCAATTTAAAAGGACTTTATGTAAAATTTGTTGTCATTAACTCAGATTTACTTACTGCTTTACTTTACTTTTATTTACTCAGAGTTATATTTTGATATAACCTGTACTGTTTTGTGTTTGAGGCTTTAGTGCTCAGAAAATGGCTGTTTTCATGTACCCCTTTGTCTGCCAACACCTTTGTAGATACTTTTTGGGTTTGGACTTGGTTCATACTGGTAGGGATCAAAACACACATTGCCATTTCTATTGCTACAAAATCTACAGCTTGCTTTGGTATAATGTCAGTATGAAGGTTTGATCCACTGATGTAGACTACATTCAGTCCTGTTCTATTCTTAATTTAGTCACGGTCTAGTCCAGGTTTAGTTCTGGGTTTAGTCCCATTTTAGTCCCAGTCTGTATGTATGTGGTGTATGAATGGGTCTTTTACCTGTGGATACTGCATGGTTTCTATGGTGCTGTCGAAGGCTGATCTCAGAGAGGCAAAGTTGATCAGGACGTCCACATCGGGATGCTTCTTCATGGCGTCACTCATGTTTTTGTACACGGGCACCAGGATCTCCTTATGACCCCAGTAAAACTTCTGCTTGTGGTCACCGCTGTAAAGGGGAGAAAAATTATAGTGATTCAATTGTGCAGATCAATACACAATTATGACAACTGAGAATCTTCTTAAAAAAACAAAACAAAACACAACAAAAAACACTTTTGGAGTGGGGGAAGGGTGTTCCACTTCCTAATATGACATAATGACCATGGCATAAAAAAGTATTTTATATGTGCTTTTGTGTATCAAATAATAGTTTCATAAATTGATAGTGCTGATTCCCTGCCTATCAAGCTTTTAACCTCTACACATTTTTACCTCCGCCAAGGAGGTTATGTTTTTGCCGGCGTTTGTCTGTTTGTGTTTGTTTGTTTGTTTGTTTGTTTGTCTGTTAGCAACATAACTCAAAAAGTTATGGACCGATTTTGATGAAATTTTCAGGATTTGTTGGAAATGTGAAAAGGAAGAACTGATTTCATTTTGGGGGTGATCCGGAAGAAATCCTGGATTCTGGATCACTTTGAAATTTTAGTTAACTTTGTGGTAAATGGGGCCAAAAATTTTGTTTCTCAATATCTCGGTTAATTATTGACCAAACCCCATGAAATTTGACTCAGGGATGGACAATGGGATCCTCTTTCATATTCCAAAGGTTGATCCGGATCTGATCCAGTAGACTGATTTTATCGCAATTTATATAAAAAATGGGGGTAGTCCTTGGCGGAGGTCTGCGCTCTATGAGTGCTTTTCTAGTTTGATAAGGTAATTGAAAAAAATAAATCTCCCAAATGTTCACCATATGTATAATAACAAGCCTTATCATTGTAGGTCACAATAATTACGAGCTGATAAAACCTACGTGAAAGGGTAGACCATGGCTGCGACCGAGGGTTCAGTCCTGGAGCAGACGTAGTCAAAGTCCATCATACCCTGTACAGCTCTGGTCTGCATCCCCCACACTATCGACTTGGTCTGTTTGGAGAACAGGGTCGTTGCTTTAGCTAGGAAAAAGAAAAGAGGAATAACTGAAAAGAAATGCTGTATTAAAACCAACAATGCTTATTAGATGTGCTACTACATTTCGAAACTATTCTTAAAATTAGACGCCATAAGGTCATTGTTGGGGATGATGAGAGTCAACCATGTTTTTGCAGTTTACTTGTTATCACCAGTTTTCATTTTTGATGCATTAAGTACATGTTGGGTATCTCTGTCTGCCATTTTATGTACATGGACGATTTTCTCATCCTTATGTTTATTATTTCTAATCCACATTAAAAGAAAAAAATTATGTCATAAGGTGTTTTTCAATGTCAAAACAACATGTCAGTAACCTACTGGGTAATATAAAATAAGAAATAACAAAACATAATCATGAATAGATGAATTGATTGCAAAGTCTGGATTTAGTCAGCAGGGGGCGCTGTTATACTTTAACTACAACAGTTCTCCAGATATTGACCCCCAATCATCAGCTTCTTACCTACAGGCCCCGCTGTTTTAGACTTAACAGCTGAAGGTCCCTCCACTCCTTTGGCTTTGTTTTCAGAAAAAGATGCGGTTCTGCTTGATGCTGGGGTCTGGCAGTGAGAAAAAGAAAAGAAACTATGAATTTTCAATCTTAATTACCCAAAATAAGGCTTCACTTTATACAGTTACACAAGCTTTACACCAATTATTAATTTCTTTGTTATATATCCATATCCAATAACATTAGGTATTTTAACTGGATCCAGCAGTACTTCTTTCAAAGCTGGACCATAGTGCTTAATATTTGTACTCAACATTCACTTATTCAGTATGTGCACATATCCACTTTTGAAAGCCTTCCTGTTACACAATCTTAATGGAGCCTTCAGGCAACCAGCAGCAGACCATGTCCGGCAAAGCACTTATTCATAGAAGTCAATGACTGTGGTTACACGCACACTCAAAATCTCATTATTATGCTTTTTTTTTTTTTTGTTTTTTTTAAAGATTAAATTGAGATGTAAACAGCAAAAATGTTTAATTTCTTTCCAAGCATGATCCCTCTGATTACTCAGCAGATTTTCTGGATTGCATGTATTTTAAACAATCTTAAAGGTCTAGAAATCATATAATTATAATTACATTTTGGTGTGCATGTAAACTAAGCCGCTGTGTTTTAATCATTTATTCTATTAGCATTTTAATCCATCATGACCATATACAAAAAATATTAAAAGGCACACTATGTAACTATTCTGGTAACTGTCTGCTACCTGCTTGTCTCATGAAGATTATGTTGCTTTGACTGGAATGTTTCCCAGTATGGCAGGTCTTTATTGCAAAAAAAAAATAATAATCCCTTGATAAACATGCATTCTTTCTGTGAGCAAGGTTGTCTCATTTTTAATTGTTTTTTTAATTCCATGGAATCAAACACGTTTAATCCAATAACAGTGAACGTTACGGGCAAAGCAACAACATATCCTTGGAGAAGTAGCCACCAGAAAAGCTGCATAGTTTACGTTTAGCGATTTTAGAAGAATAATAACTTCTACTTTGCAACCATACTTGCAGTCAGTGATTTTTTTTTTTAAGTAGTCAGAACATTAGTTGTAATACTAGAGGTTCCAGTACTGGCCATTAGCAGCATGGTTTGAGCAGTATAGTTGTTAAACATGTCTTGCACCTATGGCACAAGCCCCTTAATAATTACTGTATCTTTTTATTTTTTCTCTTAATATATAATTAATACATAAGTTCAAGTATAAGTATAAGTATGACATTACATAAGCAATTATAATTATGTACTTGTATATCTTGTTCAAAACGCTGCTTAACCCTGCTTGACATGTTTGACCAAAATTTTTTTTGGGACTGTGCATAAAATGTAAAAAAACTCAATAATAACTGTAAAAAAATAATAAGGTAATAATAATGTATCTTTTGAAAGGTTGGTTCAAGGTAGTCTCTTACACCATGGACTTATTGTGTACTTGTACCTGAAGTACCACAGCTTTTGTGCTTTTTTGCAATAATATTGATACAAAGTAACTTTTAATAACTTTTAATAACTTTTACAAAGTGTTCTATCCACTCTAGTCACGCATTCGCCAAACACTAGAATGGCAAAGTTAATATAAAAACACATTGCCAGCCTGATTTAGAGTGGTACTGAGTTTCTGCTTTTACCGATGAGGCCCCGCTGGTGTTGAGGAGAAAGTTGGCGGTGTGGGCGGCAACCGGGGGCAGGTTTGGGATTGGTCGGTGCCCCAGCGCCATGCCGACGATAGCCGTCATGTGGGTCTCTGTGCCAAACACATGAATGGGGATCCCTGTGGTTTTTCCTGCACAGAACAAAAGGACCACGGACCAATTAGACACAATAATGAGACACTTGTGAAGTCTGCATAATGTACTCTTTATAACAGTACTTTCTCTTTACAATGGGAGAGATTTAGTGCCTCAAACTGGACTTAAAATTCATGATCACACTGTTTGAATATATATTTCCACTTCCACTAAACCACAATATGTCACCCCTATAATGGATGTTCCACAGTATGGCATTAAACTTAACCATCTCTATTGACAGAAGTAGGCAATGACTCCATACCATCTTACATCTCAAATCTATGGAGAGACAAGTCCACTAACAGTTTTTTTTTTTTTTTGTATAGAAAAGTTTAATGCCATACTATGGAACATTACATGCAAAGCAATAACATCTCCATGGAGACAAACACGTGGCGGAACCTTCAACAGAAATTAGACATTAAAAATAATTTGTATAGTTTGGTACTCAGGTTATTCATAAAACATATTATAAAATAGTCACATATTAAAAATCCATTGTTGTAACAAATGTAAAGACAAACATACCGACTTCTCCCATCACCCTGAGACCCTCCTGGTAGTTGGGACCTCCACGTCGCACAAAGATCTGGACCTCGTGCTCCATTAGCTGCTGCTGGAAGTCTTTTATAGCTCTCACAATCCCCTGTGAATAAAAGAATACAGTTCAATCTCTTGTGTATTTTATAATGTATATGTACACTATTTGATTGAGTACCTTGAATGTTGCTGCAACGTTAGTGAAGTTGGCAATGCTCCCCCCAATGATCAAAACTTTACCTAGAAAAATAAAGTAAATTCACTTTATTTGATGTGCACAACATTTCATATTAAGAGCAGGGGGTCATGCAACTTTATAGCTCATATACAATATTTTAAAGAAGCTTCATCTATCGATCAATTTTTATAGTTGAACATTAGAGGCCTATATTTGAGCAAAATTTATCTTGCAGCAGTATAGTACAGATATATTGTAAAAGAAGATCTTGAGGTCAAAAACTGTACTGTTTGCAATTATAAATGGTTTTACTGACCAATAATCAGGAAGTTTGCAGTTAGCATACTAGTTGTTAGCATTACTATGACTGGACCACTGCAAACTGTTTAAAATGAACCAGTTCTGTCTGGTTCAGTAAAAATCTGATACAACGCCTTTAAACTCTGGACTCTTGAATACAATACTATCACGTGAATCCAACTTATTACACATATATTCTGTCGTATATATTCAGTCGTTAAAGTAACATCCCACCATCTTTGTGCTTCTCCCTGGTCATGAGGGAGAGGATAGTTTTGGCGTAGTCATAGGTTTGCTGTTCACTCGGAGCTCCTGAATATTCTCCATAATTTGCGAGTTCATCCACTCCTCCCAGGTCACAGATGGTGTCACTGCAAAAACATAAAAGTATGAACTGAAAAAAACTAACGGTATAAGAATTAGATATCCCCTTTAAGGAATTTTACTTATTTTTACTGGTGCTTTAGTGCGTGTTGGTATGCATGCTTATGATTATAGTTCTGTCATATAAATACATTTGATTGCATTATGCCAGCAACATTTCTACTAAAGGGTTAAAGTCCAGTCTCCATGTGTAATCAAGTAAACAAACTAAACAATGCACAAAGGGAATAATTAGTCACGGCACATGCATCTGTCTGTCATATCACACAATAGGCTCAGAAGAACGCTAGATAGCCCACTGTGTCTCAAAGCTAACAGTCACTTTTACACTTGTTTTTAAGTGTAAAATACTCAGCATTAGTGTTAGCATTTAGGCACAAGTGTCCTCCAATCAAGTGATTTGTGTAGTATTTAATATGTTTTCCTTGGCATCCACTCACTTTCCAATGTCTTTAATGATCTTTAAATCTTTATTAATTTTAGCATGACTCATCAAAAACTCCATAGAGTTTGTTGTGTGTGGCCCATAGAGCTACTATAGCACCAAAATAAAATCTCTAAATTGTACAATAAATACAAAGAAGCAAGATTTTCAAGCTACGGCAAAAGCAATCCTGTTATATAGACATATGAAATAAGAGCTATTCTGTTACATCTACGAAACAGTGTATCTGAACTTAAGTTGAATTTAAGACACTACAAAAAAAACTATTATCAGTGTTATTTCTACCCTTATCATACATAAAAAATAAAATTTTAAGCTTGCATTAAGTAATAAAACTTCGAATGTGCACCCTGCAACTTTTCTGGAACCATTTGTCTCCGCAGGGACATTATTGCTTTGCCTAGAATGTTCCACATTATGATATTATATCCATCTCTTTGGAGACATACATATGCCATTTCCACTCTAACGTGTTCATCATTATTACTCCAATTGGAATAAAACATAACTCCATAAGATTTGGAAAGAAAGTATAAGGTTTTTAGGTCAAGACATACAGCAACCTTTTTCTATTTTGAGCAAACAGCTGAACTAGAGCTAAATTTATACTGCAAAGAAGAGTCTGGCCCCGGCAAACTATTCAAATGTTCAGCAAAAGTTAATGTTTTTGTAGTTTTTGTGGTTTTTTTTTTTTTGTAGTTTTTGTAGTTTGATACTGTACCTGTAGACCACTGAGGCTCCTCCCCCAGCCACCATGGTCCAGATTCGTCCTTTGGGGTTGAGTAAAGTGAGTTTGAGACTGGCTCCGCTCTTTGCATCCAGATCAGCGATGTACGCCTCCTACAACAGACACAAAAACTACAGGTCAAAAAAGGGGGGAGACCAATCACATACTTAATCAGACAGGAACTAGAAAAGGGACATTGACTATAAAAAAGGTGCTTATTACATGGCTGCATCTGTATTTATTTATTCCACATGCCTTTACATTTTGTTGGCATCAATTTAAAGAGAATAATTTTAAAAAATCTGACAATTAATATACATGTTCCAACCATTATGCCTTGTCACTGCTGGGATGAACAAAAGGAACAGGAAGAAGATCAGTCTTATAAAACCTGCTCCTATCAACTACAATGTGAAACTTCAATAAATAGTGGAATTGCAGTAAACTTTTAATTGAAAATGAATTTGTTCTTAGCCAACATTTATAGAGGTCTAATCTATATTGTGTGTAAGTTTTATAAGACTCTATAGAGACACAATATGTTGATCTCTGGAGTGGACATTTTTTCCTATGAAAATTAGTTACCAGGTAAATGTCTTCTACAAAATTGATCTATGATTACAATGGCTTTAAATATTGAGAGAAAGCCTGGATCCACCGCTGAGTGTCTTTTCAGAGCAAAATTGTATCAAAACAGATTCTTGTTGAAATCTCAATCCCTTATGGACCAAATTAGTCCCAGTTTGGGCACCACTGAAAACCGCTTTCACCTGTTTAAAAAAAGGTGACATTTTGAGGACTTTTGACTATTCAAAAAAATACAACTGTGCTGATTTTACATTATGCTAAAACCCACAGATAGCATTCATGTTTTGTTTACACCCTAGCTCTAGCAACCTGTCTGAATTTTCAGTCTCGAATCTTCGACTCATCCCTCAGAGGTGGCTCAATACGTTTGAGCTGTTGTTTGTGACAGTCAGAGCACAGCTGTTTGCGTCCTGTTAAAAAAAACAAAAAAACTCTCCAATCAAAGTCGCCTGCTGCCCCCCCTGCCTTTTCCCCCATCTCCGCTCTGCTCTCTGCCCAATTAGAGGCACACGTCTGGAGCCCTGTCCCAGCGTGCACCTAAAATCATCAACCACCAGCAACCACCAGGAACAACATCTGGAGAAGGTCTTTTAGCACGTGCTGATCTTGAGATTGTCGTTATCACACATCGTAGAATTTTTGGTTAGCCTAATGTTACGAGATTTTAAAGTGGGACTAAACAGCTAAACTGGATTTGGACTAAAAAAGATTAAAAGAGTGAAGAGTGACAAAACATGAAAAGTAGATAATGCTATTAGAACACGATATACATTGCCCATTGAAAAAGACAGAATATTTAGTTTTGAATTGATAATTTCTATGGCAATTATACTATTATACTAATTCTTTAGTATTATGAAACTCATTTATAGATACAATGACCAGTAGTGATGCTGCAGATTATTTGGTTGTTCCACTTACTTCTTTTGTTTACTTTTATACATAGTTTTTCCTCATTTTTTTATAAGGGCTAATTTATATCTATTGGCTTCAACACAGCGGATTTCCAGGGTAACAGAGTTTTTTGGTGTTCCATCCCGAACTTTATTATTGGCAAACTGTACAAGAGATTGATGGCACACACAGATGGTCAGAGGAGCTTTTACTGTAATTGAAAAGGGTAGTGAATTGTGGAGTTTCTTCTATAGTTGGATCAGGCCAAAAACAATCAATATTAATGATGCTAACAACTGTCAGAGCAGGATTTTGGTCTCTACAGATTAAATACAGGAGTTTAGTCAATGATAAGATTGGGGCTTTTTAACCCAGAGGTCTACAGCCAATCCTCGGCCAGTAAAATGTGTATAAATGTATGTAGTTTGGAGCAGAGTTCAGACTTTGGAAGGATAAATTTGACTATTTATTGTGTTAAAGGGGCATTGTGTAACTTTTCTGGTGGAGGGTACGTCAAATGCTTTTCTCCATGGAAATGTTATTGTTTTGTCTGGAGTATTTCGCAATATGGGACTGAACCCTTTTATCTCCATGGAGACCAAACCAGACGAAGTTATAGATCAGATCTGTGGAGAGGCAACCATGCTCACAGTCATAATGCCTGTTTTTCTAGGTATTTTTGAACTATAAACCCACTTGTAATTTAATACATGTAAGGTAGAGTTGTTTAAAGCTATACTGTGGAACATTCCAGGCAGAGCAATGACATATCCATAGCAACAGGCGATGGACCACCAAACAAAAAGTTACATAAGGCACCTTTGAGTAATAACAAATATGAAAATGGAAATCCATCAGGGGAAGTGAACACAACTACGATGTCTTCTATAGATACGACCACTTGCATCTTTTGTGTGTGTTGTGTAATATAGTTTAAAATACATTCTTTGCAGTGTGGTTTTCTACTCTACATGTTGTGTAACCAAACCTCTCCTGTACAGAAAGCTGTTGTATTGTCCTTTCCTTACCTCGGGATAGGCCTCTCTACCAAAGGGAGGGGGGAACTCAACATCGCCCCATTTGGCCTTACAGATGTAGTCGGCCGTGGCATCGATCTTTGCTGCCATGTCCAGCACATACACGCCATCTTTAGTCACCACTGAGGGAGGAATGAAAAAAAGGAACAATAAAATTTAATTCGCAATTTGCATGGACACAATTAACAAATCACAAAGGCTACAGTGTTTGAAGTACCATCATTTACTCCACAAATGACAAGTATATAAATAAACTGCGAACTCTGTAGTTAATAACTGAAATAGATGTGATAGTTGTATTAGTTAGTCCATTATATTTCAGCTGGATGTGTTAAGAATGTAATCTCAATCGCAGTGCTTCTTAGAAAAATCAGACAGACATTTTACACAATACGCATTAACAGATTAATTGCATACATAAAAATGTAATTAAATGTTATAAAGATTTTACTAGGACTGGAAATTGAAATCCAGTCACAAAATGTACAATAATGCATACATTTAAAAAAATTGAATTTCTTATAAAAAATGTTATATTTTGTATTTGTTGTATACAGGTCTCCAAAGAATTCTATCCATGGGTTTCAGAATGATGAAAGTTAAGACTTAAGAGAGTTAAGAGTTAAGTCACTGCAATCAACAATTTAAAACAAAATATTGAACCTTTTTATTGGCGAAAAGTCCTCAAAATAAGGATTTTGATGAGACAGCAGCAGAAAGAGTGAATGAGTGAGTTGAACATTTGATATTTTTTGGCATTTATTTGTAAAAATGTTTAATCTGTCTTTATCCTGTGTCTTGTTTCCAAAGTACTTTCTTTGTAAATAGTAGTTTTTACATGAACTCCCCTGCAGGTGTAGTTTTGTGAGTGCAGTTTGGTTCAGATACACAGAGATATGTAATAGTTTTTAGAGCTTTAGTCGACTAATCAGGCAGGACATATCTTTAGTCGATCAAGAATTACTACAGCCCTACTTCAGAGACAATCTGAAATATTAGTATTAATAATTAAATCTAGTACAGTATACTAATTAAATTCTTGCTAGTGTCTTGGTGATTTACACAGACGTTATATGATAGTTTAATCCCCAAAAAATCTTGTTCAGTGGTATTATTGTGCATGAGGAAGTGTGTGGTTTGAGATGAAAGGAAAATCCGGTCTCATATTTTTCTCTCTGAACATCTGCCAGAGGCTTGAACTACAGCCCAATTATAATATTATGAATACATCAAACAGCAAAGGCATCAATTATTCAATTAACTCTATCAGTGTTAAAAATGAACCTAAATTAACTCATGACTCATTATTTGAAAAACATATTACATAACAAACGCATTATTAATGAAATGTCTAATATTAATGGCTATATGAACTGTACGGCGTTTTACTGGAATGGTTTTAATGTTGTTATGAATATGCATGAATTATATTTGTTATTTAAAGGAGCATTATGTAACTTTTCTGATGGAGGGTCCGTCAAATGCTTTTCTCAACGGAGATGTTATTGCTTTGCCTGGAATGTTTAACAGTATGGCATTAAACCTTTCTATCCTCATGGAGACCAAACCAGAACAAGTTACAGGTCAGATCTGTGGAGAGGCAACCCCACTCACAGTCAGAATGCCTGTTACTCTAGGTAGTTTTGAGCTATAAAACCAGCTGTAATTTAATAAATGTAAGGTAGAAATGTTTAATGTCATACTGTGGAACATTTTAGGCTGAGCAATAACATATCCATAGAAACAAGCAGATGAACCTGAAAAGTTACACGATGCACCTTTAAGAGTTAAATGTTATGAAGCTATTTGTTATAATGTGGAAGACTAGCGATCGCTTTGTGGAAGCTAATGGGGCTCCAAATAAATAAAAATATACATTGTATTGTATTGTATTATCAGAAACCTACCCAGTGGATTGATCTCGAGGTAAGTGAAGAACAGGTCCTCATACAGGTTAAAGAGTCCAACAATGAAGCTGGCCAAGATACTGAAAGAAAGCGAAAAGTACATGAATTCATAAATTTTTGAATACAATTTAATATGCAATGAGGTTTCACGATTAATTATATCACTGGAATTACGAGGGAACGTGATGAATGATAATATAAAACAACAAGCCTATGTGCCAAAGTGTCAAAGCCTAGATGAATACAAATGGTTTAGTCCTAGTTTAGTCCTGGTTTATTCCTGGTTTAGTCCTGCTTTAGCGCTGCCGAGTCCTGGTTTAGCCCATGGTTAGTCCCAGTTTAGCCCTGAATTAGTCCCCATTTAGTCATATATTTTGAATATGTTAGTCATGCATGTTTTCAGGCATGTTGCTCTGGTTTAGTCCCAGTTTAGTCCGGTTTAGTCCGGTTTAGTCCCGGTTTAGTTCCGGTTTAGTTCCCGGTTTAGTCCCGGTTTAGTCCCGGTTTAGTCCCGGTTTAGTCCCGGTTTAGTCCCGGTTTAGTCCCGGTTTAGTCCCGGTTTAGCCCACGGTTTAGCTCACGGTTTAGCCCTGAATAAGTAACTGTTTAGTCACATAATTTTATTTTTTAGTCATGGATGTTTTTGGGAATGTTGTCCTGGTTAAGTCTTGGTTGAGTCCATACTTGAATCCTAGTTTAGACCCAGTTTAGACCCGGTTTAGACCCGGTTTAGACCCGGTTTAGACCCGGTTTAGACCCGGTTTATCTCTGAATTAGTCTCAGTTTAGTCACATATTTTTATTATTTTAGTCATGCATGTTTTTGGGTAAGTTGCCCATTTCATTTTGTTGCGCTGGAGACTCCAACATTAATAGCCACCAGGAAAGAAGCTGCAGAAGACAGATGATGTAATGTGTCTATGTTTTGTACCTAGTTTAAACCTTGACAAACTGCAGGTAATAAAACTGAAATACTGTTAGTCTGAGGCTGGACAGAGACAGCAGAGGATGAAAAATGTAATTCGCTCCATGCTTCAAATGTCAAAACAGCAGTGGGTGGAGAGGGGGAAAGAAGGAGAGGGAAGGGGAGGAGGAGAGGGAGGAGAGGAGGAGAGAAGAGAGGGAAGAGGAGAGGAAACAGAGGGGACAAGAGAAACAAGAGGAAGAGAGGGAAGGAAAGGGCAAGGGTAGAAGAGGAGAGGAGAGGAGAAGAGGAAAGGAAGAAAGAAGAGGACGACAGGAGATGAAGAAGAAAGGAGAAGAAGAGAGAGAAGGAGAGAATAGAGGAGAAGAGAGAGTAGATGGAGAGGAGGAGGAGGAGGAAGAGGAGAGGCGAGAGGGGAGAAGGAGAGGGCTGAAAAGAAGGCAGGAGGAGAGAGGAGAGAATAGAGGAGAGAGCAGATGAGGAGGAGGAGAGGAGGAGAAAAGGGGAGGGAAGGAAAAAAAAGATGGATAGTGAGTAGATGGAGAGGAGGAGGAGAGGAGGAGAAGATGAGAGAGGGGGGGTTGTATTTCTCCTGCCTGTCCTGTCAGTTTATCGTCAGAGAGATGGAGGTCTGTGGGGGTCTAGTGTCAAAACTGGTTCTGTCCCGAAGGAAACTGAAAGAAAACCAAAATCCTCTGTGACTCAGCAGCCCCTTGTCTATTTTATAATAAATGGTGCACAGTACATTTGCAGTTGTATACTTTTTGCAAATACGAGAAACATAAATATGACCGCAAGTGCAATTTTTGTAGTACATTTTCCTCCATGAACTGCAAAATGTCCTGTCTTATTCTGCATAAAAATTGCTAAACCTGTAGCTTTGTACAAACATATTCTGAAATCTGATTTGTGTATTGGTTTTTCACTTCAGTCTTTGTCAGTTCGTTTGGATTTAAAATGTTATCTTTAAAAACAGAATAACATTATCTTTACACACTTTTTTATGAACTAAATATTAGACTATGAGTGAAATAGGTGGAGGAAATAAAAGGCGATTTTGGCATCTCAATAACCAGCTTAAACTGAATGGAAAGCTTTACTTGTGTTTTACTCATGGTGGTTTAGATCTGGTTTAGTCCCATTTATTTAACCCCAAGATTAGATTCAATACAAGATAGCATTAGCTGACAACTGTGAGTAATAATGTTTGTTCTAACCCTTTCTATATAATCAGATTGAACTGAACTTAATTGACTTTCTACTAATATGTCATTGGTTAAAGCTGCATGGAGAGGTTATTGCTTTGCGTTGAATGTTCCATGGTATGACATTAAACATATCCATCTAACATTTATTCATTACTGGTGTTTCCATTGCTCAAAAATACAATAATTCCTTCCTTCTTCTCCATAGATCTGAACTGTAATGTAACGTAGTGCTGTAACCTGCTTGTTTCCCTTATGATAAATTAAACCTACCAATACTGGGGAACATTTTAGAAAAAGCAATAACATTTCCACGGAGATAAGCAGGCGATGGACTCTCCACTCGAAATGTTATGCAGTGCACCTTTAAAAGCCTTGACTGTCAGTGGATATCTTACTTTTAGGCATTTTATTTGAACTAAACATGATTGAAAGGGGCTAAGGAGGTGACTGGGCTTTTTGGCATCTCGATAACCGTCATATTATAAAACTGTAGCTATTTCTTCAATGTCAGCCAACCCAGTCCGTCTGCCACACGGAGCTGTCACTGAGCCAAAGACGGATGCCAGGGGTCTAAACAGGGCCAGTCTTCAGCTCATAGGCATCAAAATAAATGGACGTGCCTTGAATGCAGCACTGGGTGTATGTTTTTAAAGAAGGATTGGGGGAGGAGCTGATCAAACAGAGGAGGGGGGAGTTTGTCATTTGTCTAATGGAAACACTCCACCCCCCTTTCTTAAATAATAGTGCAATATCGTAGCACTCGACCTTATAACAGCCTGTTTTAATTATGTAATGGAGATATGGGTCTGTAGAAGTTGGCTTAAGAAGGATGGTCGATATGACTTGAAAATTATCCCGGGTTACAAAAGGAAAAAAAAATAAAAAATGAAGCTTCCATATTTTTTTTTCAGACAAATGGGCATTTTCAAATAGGGCAGTGCAAAAAATATAGAAATATCAGTATAATTCTGAATATGGTGATACTGTATTGTTATTGTGGGCTGCGGTATTGATATATCAGCAAGAGTATTATTTAGTATCTCCACAGACATTTTGCCAGTAATATATCACAGAGTATAATGTACGATATATGGATTATCTCAGGTATCAACATACTGTGATAATATCGTATCATGAGCCACGAATTGAGTATTGTATCGAATCGTAAGGGACCCTGCGATTCCGAGCCCTACTTTGAAATATATTGTCCAAACAGTTCTTTACGTAGCATTTTAAATTTTTGTAGTTTTCATAGTTTTAGTATTTAAGCATTTTTATACCAAATACTAAAATGTCATAATATAATAATAGACAAAAACATTAGTCAATCAAAAATGGTAGGCAACCAGACTTTTCAGCCACAAGCCTGAAATTGTACACCCTGCGCTCAGTTTGATATTTTGACCTTAATAAAAACACCTTTCACTAAAGACCTGCTGTACTCACTCTTTCTTGTCTTTGGCAGCGTGTTTCAGAAGAGCCTTTTTCACCGACTCTTCACTGATTTTCTCATCGACTCCAATCAGCAGTTTCTGGGCCTTGGCGTCCACGTCCCCCACATCCACCCCGCCCTCGTGATGGAACAGCACGTAGTCTCCCTCACGAGTGGCATAGATACAAACGTAGAACTCCTCCTCCTGATTAGGGCAACAGTTACAGGACAATTTCAGTAATCAAATATTCAATCATTTAATCTAATAGTAAAGCTTAAAGGTGCATTGTGTAAGTTTTCTGGTGGAGGGTCGGCCAAATGCTTTTCTTTATGTAGATGTTACTACTTTGCCTGGAATGTTTCACAGTATGGCATTAAGTCTTTCTATCTCCATGGAGATAGGTATTTTTGAGCAATAAAACCACTGTAATTGAATAAATGTAAGGTAAAACTGCTTAATGTCATACTGTGGAACATTCCATGCAGAGCAGTGACATATCCAGAGAAACAAGCAGGTGACAGACCCCCAACCAAAAAGTTACAAGCAGCTCTGGGTGCCAAAATGAGACTGCTGTGTGCTTTCTGAAATCATTACAAAAAACATTACTAAACATTACAACATAAAAAAAGCAGAAAATAACTACAGTTTGAATACAGTAAAATACATCATAATTAAGTGTTTTTAATCATACGCAAACCAGGAAGTAAAGCTGTTAGCATGCCAGTTGTTGTTAGCAGCGGCTTGACTGCAAAACTCCGCTTTGGTCTCTGAAAGTTGTAAAAAGCCTTTATAAACTCATCGTTGTGAGTAATTACAGTAAAGACTGCAAAAAGTTTAAAATGAAATAAGGCAGTACATGTACAGCACCTTTAACATGTGCAGTAGCGCATAGAGAGAGTGTTGGGAAATGTGTATTGAGACCTACCTGCTTATGAGGGACAAATGGCTCGATGAGAAAGTTCTTGAGAATTCCTTTGGCTTTCCCAACCTGAAAATAAAGATATTGTTACATAGGTTTAGTACAATCATTTGTCTCTTAAGAGTTTTACAAATGGGAGAGACTAATGCAAAATACCAGTAAAGGTACTTAAGAAGAAAATTCACTTAGTTTGAATGATATTGTGCTGTGGGAAGGTCTATTTGAAAGAAAAGAAAGTGCTGGACCGGAGGGAAACAAGCCAAAACTGGAACTGGGATGTGCAAAAATAAGGAAATATTGAAATATTGTGATACTAAATTTGGTGATACAGTATTGTTATTGTGGGCTCTTGTATTGATATATCAGCAAAAGCATTTAGTACCTTTTACCAATTTTATATGTTCCTTATTTAGCATGAAGAACCTTGATTATGTAATAAACTTGTAATATTTATTCTATCTATTTTAATTATTAATTCATATTAAATTTGTGCAGGTAGTGGTTTAAGAAAGAAATACTGTTGCTAGAAAGTGTTTGTGATATATTGTTGTTGTTTTTTTGTATCATGTGCAATATATCGATTATCTCAGGTATTGCTATATCTTATTGTGAACCATGTATCAAGTATCGTATCAAATTGTAAGGGGCAATTCCCAGCACTACTATTATAACTGTCTCAGATATTTTTTGAGTACAACAAAATATATATAAAAGAATGAGAATCCACAGAATTAGATGTAACTAAATGAAGGTAAAGTATTGCTTTGTTGATCACGTCTAACCACAACATACAAGACTGACAAACCTCCAGGGGGAAGGGGCAAATCACCTGAAATAATATTCATAAACCAATTAAAGCCCCGCTCATATAAAAGAGTGACATTTCAAAAAGAAGAAAATGGTTTAAAATGGTCATGTTTCTCTTGGGGCCACACACCTCATTTAGGAAAACTGCCATTGTTTAAAGGCCACAAGGCAGAAAGTAACAAGAGGCTGAGAGCAGTGAGCTGACAGAGAGAGAGAGAGAAAGAGGGGGGGAGGGAGGGAGGAGGAAAGAAAGAGACAGACAAGGGGAGAGGCAGAGAGGAGCCATTTCTCTAAAACATAACTCTACTGAGTTACTTATATTTGGACTGAAAGATTAAATTAGAACAAAGGCCATAATTAGCAAAGATTACAATAATTCATTCTTATATTTGTATTGCAATAAATCTTTCAGTCTTCTCAAAATGTTATATGTTTCTATTACAATATCAAGGTTTTAAAAAATAATGATTTAGACCAGTAACAAACTCTGCACCAAAGAGCACCTGATTTCCTACTTAGAGTAAAACTAATACTCAATAAATAACAGAGTATTTTGAGTTGTTTTAAACTTCGCTTGAAATGAATGAGAGAATGTCTTTACTGAACTGAAATATGAAATAGACCGAAATGACAGGTCTAAAAATATTCAAGTTCCTCTTTGCATGTCAAGTTCTGTTATTTGTATGTACTTGAGAAATAGGGCCGTTAACAGCAAGATCAGCAAAATGTAATGCTTTAAACAGTAGTCCCATCATCACTTAAAGGTCATAATATATAACACAAAATTGACTCTTGTGAGCTTTAACCATGTTATAACACTGTTACCTCCTCAAAAACATGTTTTGGTTGGTTCACACATGTTTAAGTAATCCTGCATTATTAGCCTGTCTACATTTCCAAATCTTAAAATGCTCTGTTCCGCTTTGTGATGTCATGAAGTGAAGTGAAGTCATGTTAACAGCTACATTGCTACATTTTACCCTTTGCTCAGTAGAGCTTGACAATTACAGGTCTAAAATCATCCTAATTACTGAAATGAAGATGTAGTTAAAAACACAGTGGAGCACTTCCTGTGACATCACCAGGTGGAACAGAGTGTTGTCTGTTTGAGAGAAGAACTCAGCCTAAGCAGGATTTAAGTTAAACATGTGTGAATGAAACAAAACACAACTCCAGGTATGTCTGTGATGAGGAAACAACATTATAACATAGATCAGAAAAAGCGTAATACGGGCTCTTTAAATACATTTTCTTCCTCCCTATTATAATTTCTAACCCCTCATATCTCTGACTACATTGAGTTGAGTTTACTTGTATTGATATTGATATAAAAATGCCACCTCCTCTTCTCTATAACAGCTGTTTCTCCTGGAGTCGTGTTTTATGGAGCGAGCCGCCTCCTCTGTGCCTCAGTGATGGATCTGTGCTGCTGACTGGATACACGCATTTACACAGGAGCTGCATTTACCGTGGTCCAGAGACTGATTTAGTAGAAATGGCCTCAACACCATCAATGCAGCAATTTAAGCAACATTTAAGGTAAAATAGCTTGGATAGACTAATGGAGATAAAAGATAGAAGCTATACTGGTTTAGTGGATAAAGTGCCCATGTTACACTATTTTTGATTTACAGTATGTTATAATGTTGTTTCTTGATCAAAAACATAAACAGATACATGCATTTTTAGACAATTAAACTGAAAACACTGTGTTCCCCCTTGTGATGTAATGTGGTAATACACGTGCTCCACTGTGTTTTAAACTCCATACACCTTCACTAGAATTATTTAAATAATTTCTGCTCTAGAATTGCCAGTCTCTACTGAACTAAAAATAAAAGGTAGCTGTTAACTTGAAAACTACAGCTTCATCACATCACAATGTGGAACAGACCATTTTGAGTTTTGGACACGTAGACAGTCTAATAATAAAGGGTTACTCAAATATATGAATGAAACAAAACAACTCCAGGTAGGTTTTTAGTGAGGTAACAGCAGTCTAACAGGACTTAAAGCTCACAACGGTCAATTTTGTATAATATAGGAGCTTAAATCTTATTTTAGACTCTACTCACTCAAATGAAGCAGGCCACTTTACCACACAACTGTCTCCAATGTTAACAGTTTTATAATTAGTTATTTGTTTTCATATCATAGTGCACTAAAACATGTAATGTGTTTAATTAGTGAACATCCAGATGAGGCTTAATTTTCTTATTTAATTTACAAGTGAGTAAAAGATGCCAAACATATTAATCTGGCTTCAAATCTGTTTTCCAAAACCAATAAATCATATTGTGTCTCAGTACAATTTTCTCTTTCATTTATGGTTAAATGACCATATTTAAGTGGCTCAATTACAATGTTTACACTATTAAATTAACCTAAATAAACTTAACTGAACTTGTTTGGAGGGGCTTTTTCTGGAACAACCAAAATCAATAGTATAGATTGATAGGTCATTCTGGGCTGAGTTTGGTCCTGAATTGGTCCTGTTTAAAGGTTATTGCTTATATCACTTACACCTCAAACCTGATACAATACTGGCTCATCTAAATATTTTATTATGAAAGCTGATAAATAACATGATTTGAAGGTTCTAGACAAAACACAGCTGTATTTTAGCCACTGCAACGAAAATCTGCAAAAGGAGGTGAAGGCCAGGACAGCAGGAGGGAGCCAACTACCAGGGAGCCAGCTGGGATAATATTGATTGAAGAAGAGGACGGTAAAGAGTGCACTTAACCAGACGAAGAGGAGGAAAAGGAGGAGGAGGGGGTAGTGAGTCACTTAGGAGGGATGAAAAATGGGGAGAGGGTGACGTACAGTTGTTTCTTTCTGGAGTCGGGACTTGAGCCAATCTTTGACGCCGTTCAGGTCCAGGTTTACACCCACCAGCCCCAGCTTCCCCCTCCTCTTGATCAGCTGGTCCGGCTTCACCACCAGTTTCTGAGGAGAGAGCGCCAGAGACACAATATTATCAACAATGCAGAATCATCAGGCAGGATTTGATCTAATAAAAATACATTTAAAAGACATTGAAATTTAAATAAATAAAGATTGTATGCTTACATTTTACATTTGTGACAATCACTAAGAAGACTTTATATCTGACAAACTACATTTACAATTTTATTTAAAAAAAGATATGCCAAAGGATCACTGATTCCTAAAAGTTTGTAAATTTAATGGTTAGACTGGGCAAATATTAATATAAAATGTTAGACCTGGTTTTGTCCTGGTGTATGCATTGTTTATTGGTGCATTTTACAGATACACTGTACATACTGGACTATGTTAAATAGACAAAACAGGAACATAGGGCTGGACAATACGGTAATAACAATCAAATCACAAATGGATCCCTCAGATAATCTGCTATTTTTGGTGAAGCATAATGAAGATCTATGCTCAAACAGATGTTCCCCATTCATGCCCCCTTTGCTGAAATTGACTGAAATGTGTTGTTTAATCCATTTTGCATTTCAAATTGCGTTTCTAGACTATTGTAAATATTTTTGACAGTGCTAATATCTGCAATGTGTCAGCACGGTAACTGAAGATACCAGTTGGTCAGCCTATGAGTGAGTGACAAATGGATTTAACGAATCACACTGAAGTGTGAATTAGTGTTTCCAATCACATCTTTAAAAAATATATAGTGGTCTAAGCTCTTGAAAGTTATGATACATGATATTTTTGCTCACTCACTATAAATAAACTATATACAGGATTCCCTTTATCATCTCTGTGACGCACAGCCTGTATTACGTCGTATTGCCCGGATTGGATCTCTGTCTTGTAGCTCAGATAAAAGGAATGGCTTATGACAGTAGACCCATTAGTCTCTGGGCCCACGCCAAACAGCAAAGGAAAGACAGGACCCAGGGTGAAAGTTAATGCAATTTTCTAATCAATTCGACTGCAGCGCATCTCAGGCTCTATCTGCCCTCAGAATCCGCCTCCTGCCTCAGAGATTAAAAAGATTTGGTGACGGAGATGCAAGGAGAAAAACCTGCCAAGGAAATAACAATTTTAGCTGGGAATTGGTCAGTGTAATGGTGCGGAGGTATTGGTATGTCCTGGTTTGGTCCCTGGTTTGGTCCCTGGTTTGGTCCCTGGTTTGGTCCCTGGTTTGGTCCCTGGTTTGGTCCCTGGTTTGGTCCCTGGTTTGGTCCCTGGTTTGGTCCCTAGTCCAGATGCTGTTCACAGCCTGGTCCAGACCCCGGTCCAGACTTTGTTTATTGGTGGAACTTGTTGTTAAAATATTGTTCTTAAGTTAATAAAGCATTTTCATATTTTATTTCATACTGTACTTGTTAAATTATTCAAATAATTAGAAGGGTTTTTTTGGGTTGTTTTTTTCGCTATAGTGTGAAAGAAGGTGTGAATCGAGAACTAAAGATGAGTTCCGAACAAGCATCTGCTGTGGTGAACACACTCATTTCAGAACACACTACTGACCCCTCACCCTTTAGCTGTGGGTGATCTGGTTTTGTCTCCATAGAGAAATTATAAGAAGTCACAGTATTAAACACAATATACAGAAAATATATTTGTATTACTATATTTCTATATTTATTTTAACTTGTACACAGGCCCCTCAACAGAAATTTGGGGGCCTGGGACAAGAAGCTTTACGTGGGCCCCGAAAACCCTGGGGCTCGGGACCACAGACCCCTTTGTCCCCCCCGAAGAAACACTCAATTTTGTTACTTAAGTACATATACACGAACAAAAGAAAGAGTCCTGTGGTTGTGTGGTTTTGAACAGGAAGTCAGAGGACCTGCCAGCTCTTATTAACTTGTTTTAGTACATATAGATAATATTGCAAAGAGTAAAATACAAAGTAATGACCTACGTATATAATATTCTTTATTCTAGAGATTTTCTTGTAAATTGCTGTTGCGAGATTGAAATTTCACCACTGTGGGACAGTTAACTGTTTTAGCATATTTTATCTGGATTTGACCTGGATTAGACCTTCACTTGGACCTTCACTGCAACACCTGTCAAGATAATCACTAAATAAAGATGCAAAAAATTATGTTTGGATCATTATCTCATATGCAGTTGTATTATTTGAGCTGTAGATGGTCAGGAGAGAGAGTCAAGAGAGATAAGAGTGGGTTACTGGGTTAGTCAAACTTCTTTTTAGGGTTTTTGGTGTAAGTAGTAGTAAAGTGATCTACCACTAGTTGCAATATTTCTCTAGCAATATACTGCACTTCAAATCGTGTTATTGCTAAAGTCCCATTTCCATCTTGGTTTAGCCCTATTAGTTTTCTGTTGTGTTTGGATTAGAATAATTTTAGTATATTTTATAGAAATGAGGTGTACTGTATGAACCTATATATGGTTAAATCTGGCTCTGATGGCTGTGCAGTCAGCGATATCCGCTAACAAGCACCAGGAGACCACTCTGCTGTCTACTTAAGTAATAGTCTCCATAAAGAGGAGATTGTTCACAGAAGGAGACAGAAATCGGCACTTCTGCTTATGGCCCATTAGTGACTGCAAAGAAGAAATGCACAAGTGCCTTAATATTTACCTGAGACTTAGTTATAGCAAATAGTATCAAACATCTCTAGCAAATACATATAGCCAATAATAACCATATGCAATCTTAGTAAGTACAGTACCTATATACTGTACTTCTACACTTGGATGTTATTATAAAAATGAAAGCTTGTTAAATACAAAACAATCAAAATATTATTAAAGAGCCATATTACGCTATTTTCTGATCTTTGTTATAATATTTCCCCATCAAAAACATAGCCAGCGTTTTGTTTAGTTTCATTCACACAAATTCTCTCAAACAGAAAACAATCTGTTCCACCTTGTAATGTCATGTGGTAATGCTGGACGTGCTCCACTGTGTTTTTAAAATCCATACACCTTCACTTGAATCATATGGATGATTTCAGCCTGAGAATTGCCAATTTCTACTGAACAATAACGTAAAAAATAACTGTTAACTTGAAAACTACCACTTCATCATCAGCATTTTTTGAGCATTTTTAGCTTTGGAGACATAGACTAATAATAAAGGGTTACTCAGACATGTGTGAAAGAAACAAAACACAACTAAATCTGTCAAGTACTGGATATATTTGAAATGTGAAGCATAAATCTTGATTTTAAAAGATAAATTTGTTACTGATTGGTGTGTATTGCCCGCCCCCTCACCTCTGTCAGAAGCCATGGGTGGTCCTGTGCCAGTTGATCAAAGTCTGTTTCCGCAGTAACCTGGGCGAAGCGAAACCTGTTCTGGATGGCGGCCGAGGTGCAGATGTATTTATACAGAAACTCCTTTCCTGTCTGCTCGGAGATGGCTTTGGCCGACATGATTGACCTGAGACGAGAAATACGAGATAAGATGTTAAGATACAGGAGAAGATACTGTGTACGGAAAGCAGAACAGATGAAAAAAGATGACCACTTGTAGGGCTGCAATGATTAATTGATCAATCGTGACTACTTATATTAAGGGTGCAGTATGTAACTTTTTGGTTGGGGGTTCATAATTTGCTTATTTCTGTGGATATGTCATTACTCTGCCTGGAATGCTCCACAGTATGACATTAAACACCTTTTATAGTTTTATAGTTCAAAAATACCTAAAAAAACAGGCATTCTGACTGTAAGCAGTTTACACAATGCACCTTTAAGATACAGGTCGAGATACAGATGCAAGGAAAGCAGAACATGTGAAAAAGGAAGACCACTTGTAAAGCTGCAATGATTAATCCCCTAATCATGACTAATTGACTATTAAAAAGTTATTGTATTTTGAAAATCGTAATTGTTATCTGGAATGTGCAGATTGTAAAACACAAGCGAAAAGATCTTAAGAACAGAAACAGTGGCATTATTATCTCAAATTGTTAAAAAAAATAATAAACAATTTCAGATTTTTAGCAATTAGTTTAGTCATAATCTTCCTCCATTTAGAATCCTGTAGTCATCATATTACAACCTTCATTGCTAATGCATTTAAAAAGTCTCAAAGTTCAATAGAATTAATTGCTGATAAGTCAATGACTAAAATAATCATTAGTTGTATCCCTAAGCACATAACTTCAAAATTACACACTATAAAATGTATTGCAAGATTGCTTTAACAGGAAACGACAGTAACTTAATTCTCTTCCACTGACAGCTTGTCAAAATAAGTGGTGAGACAGAAGTGATTTTGCAGTTTTTTGCAGCATCAAGGTCTCGCTTTACACGGCAGCCAAAACAAGAAAATTCAAAATCTTTTCCCAAGACTCTTCAAAAAAAAAGAAAAGAAAAGAATGAAAAAATAAAATAAAAAATGCTGTCACAATTATGCTTAAAAATGTTGATAATAATATAACATTGATGGAATTATTACCTCCGCCAAGGAGGTTATGTTTTTGCCGGCGTTTGTCTGTTTGTTTGTTTGTTTGTTTGTCTGTTAGCAACATAACTCAAAAAGTTATGGACCGATTTTGATGAAATTTTCAGGATTTGTTGGAAATGTGAAAAGGAAGAACTGATTTCATTTTGGGGGTGATCCGGAAGAAATCCTGGATTCTGGATCACTTTGAAATTTTAGTTAACATTGTGGTAAATGGGGCCAAAAATTTTGTTTCTCAATATCTCGGTTAATTATTGACCAAACCCCATGAAATTTGACTCAGGGATGGACAATGGGATCCTCTTTCATATTCCAAAGGCTGATCCGGATCTGATCCAGAAGACTGATTTTATCGCAATTTATATAAAAAATGGGGGTAGTCCTTGGCGGAGGTCTGCGCTCTCTGAGTGCTTTTCTAGTTTCTCTTTGTATTTTGTTACATGGACATACTCTAATGTATTAATTCATTCATACATTCATTTACTATAGGTAATTTTCAGTTCTATGTGCATTATTGTCTTAGAGTGGAGTTTGGAGTGAAGAAAATACAGTCAAATAATATAGGTTGATCCAAACTCATGGTATCAGTGTTCAGGGCAGACTGACCTATTTTACATTTATGACCACTCTAATATAGTAATAGTAGTATTGATATATGATGTTACAAAGGCTGTATAGTAATTAAATTCTTTGCAGTTTATCTAAACAAACGTGACAAGGAAATGCAATTTAACAGCATCCATAAAAGTATTACTAAATGGCCCTAGGAGTGACCTTTGTCTGTTAGCTTTGCCTAAACTGTGGAATAACTACTGTTACCATGTAACTGTTACCCCAGTCACACCATTACATCACAGACATATTGTATCTGTTTCACCTACTTTCGGTGTCATATTAGACTTTCCCTAAAGTTAACCAAACATTTAAACACCATGTTGACATTTCAGTTTGACATCAGAAACGAAAAAATAGGCTACATAAACTGCATATGCTTGTCAAAAGTATCAAATAAGTATCAGCTACTAATTGATACTAAAACTAGTACTGAGACTACAAACTCATTTGAATTGTTGTCCTGAATAGTTTCGTTTTTTCCCCTCTTTCCAAGCCAAGTGGTCACTCCCAGTCTACACAGTCACCACAATGACCAAACACTCATTCATAGAGTTACACTGTGGTTCCAGCCCAGAATGACCCAATGTCTCTCAAAACAAAGCAGCATATCCAGTGGTAACAGCATGACTCAACCAAGCTGAACTATTATCCTCATTTACCCCAATGATGGCATTTATCACCGTAAAGACATAACAACAAATCTATTCCCTGTGAATTTATTAGTCAAGAGAGGCCCAGTATAACTGTATTAAATTATAAAGGACCATCCACTGACAAACAATAATTTCTTAAAGTAGACTGCCCATACAGCATGATAATACCCACTAAGACAGTTGACAACTACTGCTGTCACCTTGCTACTTTTGTTTCTGCTACTGCTCTAAATATTAGAATACTCTACCCAATTTAATTTCTAACGGCCAATTCTGAAAACACGCAATAGTTCAAAATGCTACTTTGATACAATCAACCACACTAAATAATTGCATTTTTAATTTTTATTAAAAAGGGCCCATATGTTTAGTCTGATTCATCAGCCGGTTTCCCTTCGTAGAAACCATCTGACCTCGCAGCATTAGAATTTGTTCACTTGACGCTGCTATTTGGTTGTGGCGTATGTCACACGCCGCTAGCGGGGCTAACTGGCATATTAAGCTTTTCCCAAATCCCATAGGAAGAAGGGCAATAACATCTTTCTCCTTGATAAAATTCCACCAAACATTCTCTTTATTCCGGCTTTAAATCTTGGGAACCGTTGCCAACACAGAATGTATGGCTCTCCGTTGATTGGCTGGTGCCCGAACTCGCACTTCCGGGGTTTTTGCAAACCGTCTAGTGTATTACGATTCCTGACCTAGTCCCTGGAGAGAAATGAAATTGAGCACAGGCACTAGGTGGCACCAGCCTGGCTACCATATTATGAATTTGGAAAGAAAATGCTGAAAATGTGGTAATAAGTATTCTACTGTGGTTTTCATACCCCATACATCTACAGTAGTATTATCTGGATAATTTCAGCCCTGGAATTGCCCATCTCTAATAAAAACAAAAAGGTAAAATGTAGCTGTTAACTTGAAAACTACCACTTCATGACATCACAAGGTGGAACTGAGTGTTTGGGGCTTTGGAGATGTTGAGAGACCAATAATAAAGGGTTACTCAAACATGAATGAAACAAAACATAACTCCAGGTATGATTTCGAGGAGGTAACAACATTATAAACATGACTTAAAGCTCAAGAGTCAATTTTGTGTAATATAGGAACTATAATATATTTAGTGTTCTGTAATAGATCAAGAAAATGGTCCAAATTGGTTACTTTTAAATACTTAATTCTTGCACAAATACAGCAACTTCCAGAAGCTACATATATATTATTTCATGTTTATTGGCTTGCAAGATTATACTCTCACGTCCATCACAATTAGTCTAATAAATCTTAAAGTCCATATCTCTTGCCTTTGTGGTTCATTAAGCTAAAAGCCTCTACGGTCTAAAAATAGTCTTTGGCCCTTGCTCCAAACTGACTAGAGCCATTTCTTAGTTCAATTAAATGGGCTGCCAAGAAACCCCTCTAATATTGATCCTGGTTGTCCCTTAGTCACAGTTAGACCAGTTTAAATGATTTCAGTCAGAGAAGAGTTTTTTTTTCTTGCTTATAAACTACAGTGTCTATTTGTCATCCACTTTTGCTTGTCAAAAACTTGTAATAGGTATTAAATGTCATTGATCCAGCTCTATTTCACAATAACATTCAGCAATAGGATATGATTGATGGTGACGGGAAAACAGAGCAAGCCGGAACCAAAACATTACAGCTGCTACTACCAATAAATTTCAAAGTGCAATGTAATATAACCCTATGCCAGTCTGTTTGTGTAATTATTATAGGGTTCATTATTAAGAATTAGAAGCGGACATAGTCACAAGACATCAAATATTCAAGAGGTTTAAAACAGACAGAAATTTGGGGGCCCGGGACAAGAAGCCTCACATGGGCCCCCCTCTAATATAAATTAATAGGAAAAAGGTTCAAATCTGGGCCCCTAAGACCCTGGAAAACGGGACAATAGACCCTTTTGTCCCCCCCGTATACTGCCCTTGGTTTAAATAGAAAATATCTAAATTATGCAAAATGAAGCTTATTCAGACAAGCAAACCTATTATTAAATTTTGTATTAAAAATATTACTTTATTAATGTCCGCTATATTTAAAGGTTAAGATATTTTTGACTTTTTTTGTTCACCTTGTTTTGAGAAATCATGTTAAAACCAGGACTATATTGGGACTATATAGGGACTTTATCAGGACTAAAGCAGGACTAAAGCAGGACTAAAGCAAGACTAAACTAGGAATAAACAAAGAATAAACCAGGTCTATATAAGGGCTAAACCAGGACTAAATCAGGACTAAACAGGGACTAAACCAGAATTATATTAGGGCTAAAAAGGACTAAACCAGAACTAAAACAGGAATAAACCAGGAAATAAAACAGGACCATGTTATAAAGTGCACAGCAATGCTCCATAAATACTGACTCATGTGGATCTTAGTGAACGAGGATCCTGCCTACCTTCCACGTAATGTGATGTCCATTCATTCACCACAAACCAGTCAGACAAGAAAATGTGTCAACAAATTCCAGACGAAAAATCACTTCAAACCCAAGTTAAATCATTAAAACAAAATGGCAGAAGCGATTTGATTTAAAATAACCACTGTAAATGAATAAATTGTAAAGTTTATAAAAATATTAATCGTGACAGTACAGCAAAAATAGTAGATTGAAGTTGCAATCGTGTGAAAATCAAGACGCAATTTACCTTTACGTTGAGTTTTCTTGTACCGACAGCTCTGGAAGTGTGTGGCCGGTGGATGGTGCGTGTTTTTCGGCCGTGTCTCTCCTCTGGTCTCGCTGAAAGGAGCTGAGAGGTGCGGGGAGCGTGGTGCGTCCTCGGAGTTTTGTGTCCGTGGCGGATCTGGCGAGAGGCTGGGCCGATGTGTGCGCACTCCCGATTGGTCCCAAACGCACCATGTTTCAAGGAGGCGTTCAAGGGTTGTAAGGAAATGTAAATCATGTTGCCCGAGTATGTTACAATAGTATATTTCTTCTTTTGGGGGTGCATGCAAGATTAGACTATTTGGAGATTAAAAAATAAAACATAACAACAAAACTTTAATAAACCTCTTTGTTTAAACATGCAGCCCGATTTGAACTCGTTTAAAAAAATTATAATATTGACGGTCCATGTATGAATGAAGATTAAGAAATAAAGGGGAAAACATACAATACAACATATTGCTGTGTACCTGTGTTTTATTTATTTATTTTTCTATACGTTTTTGTGTGGGGTAGCCATGTTTAAAATAAGGTTAAAAAGATATTCTAGTTATATTGTAGAAAAAAAATATAAAAGAAAATAAAAAAAAAACTGAGAACAAGTGAATAGTGGTAATAGTGTGTACCTATGTATCATTATCATTATTATTTGTTAATTTCTTGTTCTAACATATTTGAAATACAGGTATCTTTGTGCTGTGGTGTCCGTGGGTAGTAGAGAAAAACGTGAGGTGCGTACTAAATTTGAGCTTCAAATTAATTCAATTACATAACAAACATTTGCAAATACTCCCATAGAACCCAAAAGCCTCACCAGTCTCTTCAGAAAACTCCAAAACGCACCAAGCCATCAGGGTAATTAGGCCTACTGTGTGATTGGCCAAAATCTGTTGTTTATCTGCGCTCAGCCAATAGAAAAACCTCGTGTCCAACAGAACTCCACAGTCCAGAGGTATAAAGGTTAGTAAGTTTGTCCGTTTCTGGGTCATTTGGCAAAAAGTTCATGGACTTGTCAGTGCCCTTACTATATTTACCTCATTGGTTCTGCTCTTCAAATAAAATAAGTAAATATGCACAAACCCTTGTATTTAGAGCATGCATGGCTGTATTAATAGATTTGGAGAAGTTGAGAGAATTTATAGGCTATCAAACTTGAAGTGATAGGCGACCCCTGCTGGCTGAAAAAAATCTCACAAGTGTGTTAAAAGCCAACAGGGGTCAGTAAGAGCTCTCTAGTACTTCCAAGTCACAGGGTTAAAGCAGTAGCTCCTATGTCTTAGTATGCCTCTTACATATTTTCATTTTACATAATTCATTACAAAATTGAGAAGTAAATTTAAAACTGTTGTATTCATGGTACTGAAGCGATAATACATTAAAATGGCTCTTCACGGGTTTCAGATTGATTCAAAATTAACACTGTTGACATACTAATAACCAGTCCAAAACAAAATAGATCTTTTGAATGGCTAAAAGTCCTCTAAACCTACATACAGAAGAATGAAATCTATTAGGGGGGGAAAAGTGGAAAACCTACACTCAAGAAATAACAAATGTTGAACCAAAAACATATCCTGTCTATCGAATAGTCTACTAAAAAGGGTGTGACAAAAGCTTCCGTATCTACTACATATCTCCATGTATCTGACCTAAACTTCCTTCTCAAGACTACACCTGCATGGAAGTTAAAGCAAAAACTACTATTATTTTAAAAAGGCACATTAAACTTTGATCTATTAAGGCCCATCACCTCACGATAATTATTCAAACAAAATCAATGTTTTTAAAGGAATAAACTCACCAGTTAGAGCAAATCCATTTCTTTTTATTATTATTAAGTGTACAAAACAAGTGCAAAAAGGGTGATTGATAAGAGCTACACAAAGAAGGCCTCACCATTTCAATTAGTGACAGTAATACAACATAGCAGTGGTGTTCAGAAAGTATAAAAAGCATTCAGTTTATTCATGTATGAAGCAGTTTCTCAAGCAGGTCAAAACATTGCAAAACACTGAATTTAAGGACATGACAACATTTCATTAACGCTCAATGTTGCAACTAAAGGAATCAACAAGGTCCCTTTTCAAACTAGGCAGTGCAAACACTTCACAAGTAAGATCCTACAACATCATAAAGGTCCTTCAAATACATTTACCCACTTAAAGGTGCATTGTGTAACTTCCGGTGGAGGGTCTGTCAAATGCTTTTCATGGAGAGTAAACTAGACCATGTTACAGGTCAGATCTATGGAGAGGCAGCCTGCTCAGTAAGAATGCCAGCTGTAATTGAATAAATGTAAGGCTGAGCTCTTTAAAGTCATACTGTGGAACATTCCAGGCAAAGCATTGAAATACCCACAGAAACAAGCACATGACAGGCCCCCAACAAAAAAAAGTTACATAGTGCACATTTAAAAGGTGCATAAACTGGTAGAGGGTTCCCTACCTGCTTGTCTCCATGGAGATGTTATTACGGTCTGAAATGTTTCACAGTGTGGCATTAAACTTATTTATGTCCCATTCATTTAATTATGGGTGTTTTGATTGCTCAAAGCATCTTGGTCTGGTGGCATCTCCTGCTTGTTTCCATGGTGATAGTCGAGTTTAATAACCATACTGTGAAACATACCCTCGCACATCAATTACCTCGTCATGGAGACAAAAATGTAGACAGACCCTCCACCAGAAAAGTTACAAAGCGTACCTTTAACTTTGGCCCATATGCTACAATTAAGTCGCTTGCTAAAGCTGCCACAAAATTACACATCCTGAATTGTATTGACCACTAGCGTACGTAAGATTATCTATGATGCAGACAGCTAAAGATGCAGTTGAAATGTTTGTCCATCATGCTATAACTGTTCCTAACTAGTATTATTGGGAGTGGATTGAACTGGGGTATCTATGGTCAGGCCCGTCGACAGAAATTTGGGGGCCTGGGGCAAGAAGCCTCACTCGGATCCCACTCTAATGTCTACTGCCCTGTCTGGGGTTAAGATTTATGCAGTTGTTAATTAGTACCAAAATTGCAGCTCACAACACTTGGTGGATGTAACTGAAGTCATAACTAGCCTGAAAATGGTACAAAAGGCATCTCAGGTTGTGGTGCAAATAATTCACAAAGGCACGGTTTTCTGGTTTGGCTTTTTTGATGTAGTTGCTCAAACGCATTCGCCTTCCACTGACTCCAACATATTCTCTTTTAAATCGTTAGCCTCATAGCATAATTACCCAAATCATTTTTTTTTAGATTTTTGTAAAAAACAGGAAATGAAACTGCCAATGTTACTAAAATTAATGGTGCGGTTCGGTGTTTTTTGGCTCTAAAAATGTTTTCTATTCGATCAAAGATGAAGCCAATGTCAAAAGGTCCTAATTACTATATCAACTTTCCATTCAAACAATAATTTTTGGTACATAATGTTTATTTTGTGTACTTTTTCTTTGTAGAAGTGAGGAACATTTTGCCATCTTCTGTTCTGTTCTAAGATATGAGCTTTATAGGGGGTTGTATTAAGAATGACTCATTATAGATGCCAACAGCCAAAAGTGTCTCAGTCTGTCATTTCATAAGTTTAGCATTTTTTTGTAAACATATTGTACATGTACAATGGTTTTAGTATTATTGTTTATGGTCTATATGTTCGTCAGTAATATATCACACTTCAATATCATTGTGACAGGCCTACAGAAAAAAAAAAAAAAACCTAGGTAGTTACGCTATGAGGCTGACAATATTGAGTTACCATGTTTTAAAGAATGCTGCATTTCACCTTCTTCTTTTCCTTTTTACCTGTGCCAGGTGCTTTTGGTTTGTAAGCACTAGAGAAGCAAGCGGCTGCACAGATTGGCTCTTTGAGTGCGAGATACCACCTTCCTTCCCCGTAATAGGTGAGCGTGCCTGGGTCGATGTCCACTTGCTCCCCCTGCTGGCCATCTTTCTGGAGCATAAGGATTTGGAGGAGATCGAAGCCGGTTTGAACAGGCTTGACTCCATCAGCACAACCAAGAGTGACGTGGGCGCGGCTCCCGGGGGGTAAAGTGGCAGCACCCGGGACAAAAGACTCCGCCTCCTTTTCAGCGTCGTCGGGCCAGAGCTGAAGCTGGTCCTCAGACAGGGACACACGAGCGCCAACCGTGCGTGGAGTAACGAAGAGAGCACTCAGGGAGAGTTCAGAGACAGAGCTGTACAGATCTTGCACAACCTGAAAAAATAAAGAGTAGTATGAGAATGGCCTGATTTAACTTATTATATTTCATTGTGATATTACAGACAATACAACAATAAAAGACATTATGAATTGAAGAAATGGGGAATGCATACATCAAAGTTTAAAGGGTGAGATGAAACAATAAGAATGGCTCTGTTCCTTTGTTCCTTATATGGGTGTGGGAGTGTGTATGTGTGTGTGTGCGTGAGTAGGATTAATTAATAAGATAAATTATAAAGCTGAAATGGAAAAAAAAAATTTATACAGGGAAAGGGCTGAAAATGAAAATTAAGACAGATAATTGAGTGAGTTTCAGATTTTTCCTTTTTTTTTTTTTTTTTTTTTTAAAGATTCATAGAGGTGCACTGTGTAACTTTTCTGGTGGAAGGTCTGCCACATGCTTGTCTCCATGTAAATGTTATAATTTTTGTCTGGAATGTCCCAGTATGGCATTTAAAGTATCCATCTTGCATTTACTCAATAACATGTTTATTATTGACCAAAACAAATTTCCATTCTTACTGTGAGGCTGTGGGCTCACCTCTCTACAGATGTGATTTGGTCCTATGATGTTACCTGCTGTCCTCGTAGAGATAAATAAGTGTAATGCCAGACTATGGAAGATTCCAGGCAATATCTCCATGGAGAGAAGCAGGTCATGGACCCTCCACCAGAAAAGTTACACAGTGCCCCTTTAAAGTTACAGCTCAAAGATAAAATTGATTATCTCTGGCAATAAGTCTTGAACTCAAAAGGTAACAATATTCTTAGGTAAACTGTTTTGAGTATTTTCATACCTGGAATAGTAAAAAAAAACTAAACAAAACAAAAAAGAAAAAAAAAACTGTATACTATTATATATGTAGAAAGACTTATTTATTGCATTTGATGGGTCTGAAGAGCTAACTAGACCAGTGTTCCACAAACTGTGGTGGTGCCACCTCCTCCTAGTGGTATCCAAGGCACTCTACAGTTCTAACATTTGCTTAATTTACAGTCCATTTGATTCACTTGTTAGTCCTCCTTTAGGCAATTTCCTGGTAAAAAATACTGTGGTAATAATCTAATCTAATTTTAGTCCTGGTTCAGTCCTAGTTTAGACCTGGCTTACATCTGGTAGTACTCTGAAAGGTACATTTTGGGGCTACTTGGTGTGAGAAGTATGAGATTTTTGCATTAGACAATCCCACTGCAGCACCTGGACATCAAATCTTTATACCAGATGTCACAGATATTGATTTTACTGTTGTACTCACTTGTTTCTCAGTATACTCTTTGGATCCTTCTGCTTTCCCGTAGTTTGTGAACTTGGTGGTGCAGTGAAGAGTTCTTTTGGCTTTGAAGTACTGCTCTAGGTCCACCTCCTTCTCCTCCTCCTTCCCACTGACTAAAAAACACATGACAGAATATTATTTTATTAGATAACAGCATTTCCGAGTTTCTGCTAAATATTTCTTTGAACACATTGCATTATCCAACACCAAAATGTATACAGAAAAATGGGAAAGGGTGATATGGAAATCTTACTGGAGACAGGAACAAAAATTTAGATTAATAAAGCAAAAAATTTTAGATATATAATAGGGAACAAAATAAACAACAATAAACTAAAACTAAGACTACAATACTTACAGTCACTTATGTGTTTCTTGAAGCTCTCCAAACCCTCCAACACTTTGAGAAAGTCCGTTGACTTCTCTCTGACCTGGTCTTGAACTGTGCAGAAGAGAAACCACCCAAAATAGAGAGGAATCGACATTTCCTCGTAAACCTTTTTCAAGGTCTCCAACTTGGCCTGCTCTAACCCTTTCTTGGTCTTTTTGGTCAGCTGTGTGGCGTCTCTGCTCCACTCCGTCTTTGGCTCCAGGAAGATCGCCACAAGCCGGTGCTGTTTGGCAATTCCCCTCAAATGGGCCAGCCGATCCTGGGTGTGATTTGTGTCATCCACAACAATAAGCGATGGAGATTCGGCGCTGCATTTAGCTACAATCGCTTCATCGAATGCTTTGTAACCATCAGCACTGCCCGGTTTCACATCATGGTCATCAGCGCTTAAGATTGAGCATTGGTCTTTATAAGCTTCGGCTATAGCACGAGCCAGGAAAGTTTTACCGCTTCCAGGTAGACCACGGAGGACCACCAAGGTACGTGTGGTTTTGAATGTATCTTTGGTTTTGTCTTGCTCCAAAATGGCAAACGCCAAGGAGCCAGCTGCAGGAGTTGGATCTTCTTCTTGCTCTTTCACTTCTGATTTTCCATCTTCTGCTGCCGTTTCTGCTGCTGCTGTTGGGGCTACCTCGGCTTCAACCGTGTCAGATTTTTCCTTAACCTCTCCTTTAGATTCTTCAGTCTTCTCTTTATCTTCTTCCACCATCTTTTCTTCCTCCTTGGGTTCTCCTTTCTCTTTCGGCACCTCAACATTTTCAACCACTTTTTCCTCTTCTTTTGGTGGTGGTGTCTCTACTGGCTCTTGCGCAACAACTGGTTCAGCTATGGTTTCATTTACTGGTGCCTGCTCAACCTTCTTCTCCTCTTGTTCAGGCTGGTTGCCATCATCATCTTTGCCCAGATCTTTAGCTATGCCTTCCTTATCAGAGAGGCTTGCTGCTGGCTCCTCCTTTGGCTCTTCTTCGGGAACATTATCTTCCATTTTGGCGTCATCTTCTACCTTCACATCTGCTTCTTCTGTACCAACATCATTTACAACTTCAACCTCAGAGTGGCCGTTAACTTGTTCATCATCTCCATTAGCAGTAACAGTAGTAGCTGGTGTCTCAGTGTCAGCTGGACTCTCCACTTTGGACACAACTTCTTTCTGAGTTTCAGTTTCTTCCTGTGGGGAGTCTGAAACCTCCACGACCTCACCACTCTGTTCAGTATCCATATCGTCTTTATAGTGCAATTACAAACACCAGCATTCACCTAAAACAAATAATGTATAAGTAAATAGAGATTGACATAGCATTTAGTTTTTCAGTGTTTTTAAACTGAGACAAGATCAAACAAGATCAGACTGCCATCAAATTGAAATGGCAGTTTCAATGACAGTAAAAAATCTTACAAAATCTGCTAGCCCTGTATCAACATGCTCTGAAATTCATTGGATTCTTGTATTGGTTTATCTGTTCATATTTCAGTCTTCCCTCAAATGTTTGAAATGTTTTAAAATGTGCTCTCTGGACAGAAACCTGATATGAAAACAAAGAATAGATTGCAGAAGTACTCACAATAGAATTATGCTGCATTAATTTACATCATAACATGATAGCATTATCATACTTTTGTTAGTGACATTTATGTTACAATGCCTGTGGTCACTTTGCAGTTGAGTTGAGGGTGGCAGTAGAGCTGGGAATCACAGGGTCTCTGAGGAGTCGATATGATACATGGTCTACGATACTAGATTAGCATAATATGGCAAATTCATTTTATTATCGATATTGTTGCTTTTTAAGAACCAAATACATTTTAGCCACAATATTTCCTTATTAAATAATTACTTGTGCAATGTTAATATGAAATACACCTATTTTAAGCATCAACACAGCGAATATGTCAAGAGTATTGCATAAACAAGTTTCCTTCAACTAAATAAGCAACAGAATAGTAGTGCAGTCAAAAAACAATTGCTAAAAGACACTCTTAGTGATATATTGATATCTTATATCAATATATCACGGTATATTGCCATTTCAATATTTTTTTGCACACCCCTAACTGACAGCAGAGTAAGTGCAGTCCAAGAGTTGCATTGGATTCCGAATTAAAACTAAAATTTTTAATCCAAAATAAGTTACCATTTAATTGAGTGATGCAAGATAAATGAAACTGTGGAAACAGGCTTGCTAACCTTTGTCCTTGAATGAGAGCCAATCATGCTCTGCCCAAGTTTATAAATAAACAATGAATGAGGTGAAAAGGACCTAAATATATTCAAACTCACTTCGAATTCAAAATAAATAAAACATAATATAGTATATTCTTATTTTTACTTTGTTATTCAAGATTGTATTTGTACTATTATTCAGTATAATTCCTGTAATGTTTGCCATAGAGGAACAAGAACAGATTTAGATTTAAAGTTGCACAATATTAGGGAAGCATGTGATAGGATATGTGGTTTTATTATTGCAATAATATCTCCTTTTGACAGTAAAAGTAGATATTTCTTCTTAACACGTACACTTTTACTAACTGAAAATGCAAAAACAATACATATTTTTGTTAGTAGTGTTAGTTCATAAATAAATAGTTTCAACACAACCAAACCAAACAAATGACAATGTGGTCTTCTCATTTCAGGCTAAATAATTTCTGAAAATAATTGCGATTAGATTTGCAATTTCTGTTTTAAAAGAAGGATTTTGTTCAAAGTTAACATGCTGAAAAGATCCAGAAGAAGCTTCAGTATTTGAGGAGAAGAGTGAAATATGAACTGCTAAATTAATACAAGAACTACACACATTTCAGAACTATTTTGTAGAAATAAACTTATTAGGAGTTTCTTTATTTCAATAACCCTAACCTTTGTGTTTATCTAATTTCGGAAAAAAGAGGAAGTAATTTCACATGCAAAATTGGCATCTTATCAAATGCAAACCAGGCTGTTCTCTTTTACAGCCATAAAACACCAGCTAAAGTTAATATTTGGATGTTTTAAATCATTATAAAATGCTACCATGTCATGTGAGATGGTTTTAGATTCTGGACACACGTATGTGGCACAGTAAATATGCCAAATGGGAGCAGAATATGGGCGAAAATGACGCCTGGGGGGTACTGGCATTGTGGGTAATCTCCAGACAAAGAGCAGCTAAAATGGGGCCATCAGGGAAAGTAATTGATTCGAAGAAAGCACTGTATCCCATTGCGTGGCGTCCACATCTGTCGCATTTATTTTGCTAAAACAAGAACTGAAACCAAAACTGTCACGAGATTAAACGGAAACAACAACCACATGCATGTAATTGAATATATTTTTCCTTAAACTCAAAATAGGCATTGTATTTTTGCATTTGTTTATTATATAGACCTGCTTTGTGTTGTAATATTTCAGTGCTAAATTAGGTTACATGATTTGATTACAAAACGCTACGATAAATTTGCATTATTGATTATTTAATTGGGCATTGTATTAGGAGTTTGCCAGTGCTGCCAAGCGGGGAGTGGCACAGACACAGGCAGTAGACAAAACACTAGATTGCATTTAGCTTCACGCACATGCCACGTTTTAAACAATTTAGCCTCCCGCGTGCAAACAACACCAGCTAGCCTAGTGCTAATTTTGTACAAAACGTTAGAAGTACGTTTGAATGGGATAGTTTTAATGCCTAAATATGCTAACAGCTTACCAGTTGTGTGGCGGTGCAGCTGCTGACCACGCGTTTCTCCGGCTGTGATTGCAATGACAAGGCAGATCCGCGGCGTAGACTCCACGCTTTCCTCTTCACGAAAAAAACGTGCGAAAGTGGGCAAGGCTAAAGACACGCCCAATCACAGCCGGAACAGCAGCGCGCGAAGGGGTGCGGGATGTAGTACAACGTGAGGTGGTAGAAATGTTTTGGTATTCCTGACAATTAAACTAAAACAAAGTCAGTAAATGTAATTAATAGAAATATAGAAGCAACTTGTAGAAATAATTATTCTAGTATTGTATGAATAGTAGTAGTAGTAGTAGTTGTAGTATTGTGGCTTCACTTTGTATGCAATTTGTATGCTTTTCCAGAGCTTCCTTGAAAGTTGATATATTTCAGTAGTTAAATAAATACTAGTAGCAGCAGCAGCAGCAACAGCAGCAGTAGTAGTAGTAGTAGTAGTAGTAGTAGTAGTAGTAGTAGTAGTAGTAGTAGTAGTCTATGGGAAGGGGAGGTTGATGGTACAACCAGTGTTTGAAGCCCACGATCAAGCAGTACTATCACTGTGCTCTTTGTCAAGACACTGCACCCAGCTTGTATTAGGAGACTGTGAACACTGCACAAAGTTAATGGTTTGTTCTGTAGTGATTTGTCATGGTCACTATATGGAAAATCTAAAATATTTTACACTGGATGCCCTTTCTGTTACAAACTGTTGAAAACTATATTAATTTGCATAGTGTGTCTCACCTATGCAAATTAATGACACATCTCACCTAAAGACACAAACACGCAAATTTGTCATATCGTTTGGCTGACCAGCCTTTCCCTTCTACAGTTTGGTCAGTGTGTGGTTCTGGCGGACCAAGTAATCAAGTCAGTCCCTCAATAAGCTTTTGTAGATCAGACCATTTCTCTCCATAGCATTGTTTATTGTATGGGCTGTCACAGTTTTATTGTCTCTATTCTATAACATAAAAGAAACATTACGCTGCATAAGTTCTGAGGGTTTTTGTGACCGAAAGATCTGACTTAACAACATGTAAATTTCTTCCTGGTACAAATATAGGACTACTGTAAAGAGAAGAGGAAGTATCAGGCAGTAAAAGCAGTGTACTGTAAGCCTGAGTATAGAAAGTGTATGAACTTTTGGCATTTTATTAATGAAGTGTAATTTCAGTTTTCTTATCAGTGAGATATTTCCCAAATAATAAACCAATAAATAAAAATTCCACCACAATTATTAATGATCTCAAACATTCTGCTGACAAATGCACTAGTCCAGCCTCTGCATAGTTATATTTATTATTCATGGAACAGTTAAACATGCAGTTTTAAATTTCAGGAAAACAACTATTAATACTTTAATGACCTTTATAGGGGAACGTCCTCATTTTGTGTTAGACATTGTTTTGCTTCATCCAGGGCCTGCAAAACATAGGGCATAATATAATAATAGAATTTTATATATATATATATATATATATACACACACATATACACATATACATATATATACATACATATATACACACAGAGAGAAGTGTTCAGAAATTTTATGTCTTCTCCAGGCTTCTACATCTGACCTGTTAATACTTCTAAAATTAGTTTTCTTTTTTTACCCTATTATTTAAATAAGCAATATGTAACTTTTTCGCTAGAGTACCATCACGTGCTTGTTTTTATGGATATGTCATTGCTCTGCCTGGAATGTTCCACAAAATTACATTAAACAGCTCTACCTTACATTTATGCAATTACAGCAGCCTTCATAGCTCAAAAATACCAAGAAAAACAGGCATTCTGACTGTGAGCGGGGTTGCCTCTCCACAGATCTGACCTGTAACTTGGTCTGGTTTGCTCACCATGACAATAGAAATTAACACCATACTGTGAAACATTCTAGACAAAGCAATAACATCTCCACAGAGAAAAGCATTTGACAGACCCTCCACCAGAAAAGTTACACAATGCAACTTTAACATGGGTATTTCAGTATTAGGCTACAGTTTTTGAAGTACCAACATTTCTTCTACAAAAAACTAAATATCCTGTCTTCTTCCACATAGAAACTTTGAAGCCTGTAGTTTAAATCTGTACAAACATATTCTGAAATGTGATTCTTGTATTAGTTTGTCAGTTCCTATTTGAGTCTTTTTGTCAGTTCTTATGGGCGTGTTTAAAATAGGAACTTTAAGTATAATCCTATTATTAAAAAATAAATGTCAAATCAAATCTCAATGTTTCTAAGAAGAAAGTCCCATATTATCATATAATATTTTACTCAAATCGTTCAGCCCTAGTTCAGTACTTTACTACTTTACAATGTGATACTTTTAATTATTTCTTTTGCTAGTGTATCTGTAAAACATACTACTTTCACCATGATAAATTACCTCTTGAATAGCATTTGTAGCTGAGACATCCTCTTGTTTTTTGGCGTGGCTTAGAGCTTTCTCAAAATGGGAGACAGAGGACTCATAATCTCCAAGTTTCACTACAGTCAAACAGAAAAAAACAGTTTAGGATCAAATTAAATAGCCCATATTATGCTATTTTCTGATCTGTGTTATAATATTGTTTCCTTATCACACTCGGAGTTATGTATAATTTCATTCACACATGTCTAACACACAAGACCTGCATATTTAAGTTAACTTCCTCTCTCAAATAGAAAACACTCAGGTGTCATGTGGTAATACAGGAAACTCCTCACACCTTCACTAGAATCATTTGGATGATTTCAACTCTGAAATTGCCCATCTCCTCTAAACAAAAGATAAAAGGTAGCTGTTAACTTGTAAACTACCACTTCATGACATTACAAGGGGAAACAGAGTATTTTGAAATTTGCAGATGTGGACAGACTAATAATAAAGGATTAGTCAAACGTGTGAATGAAACAAAACACAACTTCACATATGTTTTTGATGAGGTAACAACATTAGTACATGGCAAGAGTCAATTTTGCATCATATTAAATATAATATGATGACATGATATATATAAAATAATTACTTTCAGATTGTGCAACTAGAAGATTTGAATTCATCTGCCACTGGACATCCCCAGTGTCCTCTGCTGCTGTGACCGAGCGGAGACCACAATATCTGGCTTCTTCAAATCGGTTCAATTCCAGATACAAGCAGCCGAGCTCATAAAACACCCAAATCTTCTCCTCTGCATCATGCACCCAGGGAATCCTCTTCTCCTGACTGAACAAGTGAAAGACAATGAATATGAGCCAAACTAACAGATAACCCTATGTCCTGTCAATCATCTTATCATCTCTGCACTCTTTTTCCGCACGACTTCCTCTATATAACTCAGATATATGTGTATTACTATATTTCAGTATTTTATTGTTACTTTTTTGTACATATACATTTCTATAATTATGCCATATCGGACACCAAACTCTTGCTATTTTTGCTACTTGCTTAGAATGTATTATTACTGTTTATGTTTTTTCTCTTTGTTTTTATAATATTTTGATGTGTGAGCTACTGTGTCCAAATAATTTCCCTTGTGGATCAGTAAAGTTTGTCTAAGTCTACCAAGCGACAAGTAGTTCAGAGTATTTTCTTTTTCTAGTTTCTTCTGTTGCTTATGGATATGTGGCACCCTGGACATATTTGCAATAAAAAGGCACCTCCCAATAACTTTTAATTTTGTAATGTTCTTCCAGCTACATTTTCATTTATGTGTGGCACTTACATTAAATTTTCTATTACAAATGTAATACCAAATTACTCCAGTAGGTGTCAGTAATGGCACAGTTAAGGCAGACCATAGACTGTAAAGAAATAAAAATATGTTGCACACAAGCCTCTAGTGATACAAATGGCTTTCTATATTGATTTTCCTAAACATAAACAATTGATACTTTGCAGCTGATGTCATCAACATTCCCTGGGGGTGTGAAGCTAACTGGAAGCACTGCTCTGTTAGAAGCTCTGCTACTCAAGTTAGACTTTAATCTGAGCTTTATTTTAACACAATCTGACCAGAAAGAGATGACTTGGTTGGAACTGCAGGTGAGATGATATGTTTAAGATATGTTAAGTAGTCATAAGCGAGCATTTTCCTGAAAATCTGTTGTTTAAATCCATTTTGTATTTTTTCAGATGATTTTAAAACGTTTTTGCATGTGTTTGTGGTAACTGATGAACATTCCGCCAATAGAAACACATTATAGTACACCCCCAGAGTGATGTCACTGCAAAGTATCATCATTTTATCATTGTCCTTTAATGTAAAATATATTCACATTTTATTCTCAAGTCCAAACCACATGCTTTTACTGAGGATTAGCTGTAGACCTTTTTTCATGTAAGTTTTGCATTACCTCTGCTGTATATAGTTCTCATGTCTAACTAGCTTGTTGACTATTTTCCTCACAAAGGTATGTGTCAGTTACTCATTGACTCACCACTCAATAGCCTGCTCCAACTGCCCCATTTGTGCATACACACGCCCCATGTCATCCAGTGCCCTTGACCGGTCGGCGCGAAGTTTGCTGTTGACAAGAGAGATCATGCAGCACCTTTGGGACCATGTTTGGCAATACACAACTATTTTTAGTGTCTCACCATTTGTTTCCGAACTCCAGATCTTTGCGGTAGTGGTCCAGCGCTTTGTCCAGGTCTCCGAGTTTGAAGTGAGCGTTTCCAATACATCTATGAACAATTTCTGAAAACTCATTTTTATCTGGTACGTCTTTTGGAGACCAGGACTGCACAGTTTTCATGAGTTCTTCAGCCTTTTTTAGACTGGCTTTTGCATTGCCACACATCAACTCTAAAAAAAATACAATACATTAATTACAGATTAAGCTGACAAACAAACATAAGTATACAAATATTGTTATCACTGCAATTCTAGACTTAAACTGTAACACCGCCTTGTCACCATGGAGATGTTCTTGCCTTGCCTGGAATGTTCCATAGTATGGCCTAATACTTTTTTATTTTTTATGTTTTTTTTAATGTTTTCTTTTTTTCAAAAATCTCTTGTAAAACCTGCATTTTTAAAGTGAGCGGGGTAATCTCATCACAGACCTGCCTTGTAACTCGGCTTTCTTGTGTCACTTAGTGTACTTATGTCCATGGAGATAGATAAGCTCAAAAGTGCACTATGTAACTTTTTGATTGGGGACCTCTACCTTCTCTACCTTCCATGTATTAAATTACAGGTGGGTTTATAGCTCAAAAGTATCTAGAAAAACAAGCATTCTGACATTGACCAACCAAACCAAACCATAATATCTCCATGGAAACAAGCAGGTGGCTGGCTCTCCACCAGAAATTATTTATTACCTGCTGCTAGTCTAGAATGTTTTTATATATGATAATAAATGCCTTTATTCCTGGGTTTGCCTTGTTGTCTTTACCTGATTCAATCTCCTCCAGGCGCTTCCTGAAGATCTGCGTGTGCTCGGAGCCGGACTTGGGCCTGGTCACTTTGTGGTTGGACTTTCCTCCTTTTTGCACCACGATCGGCTTCTCATTATTCCTAAACTCAGAGCGGGTCTCCAGGTAACTGAGGGAGCCTTTGATCACGTCCTGCAGACTCTCTCCTTTCTTTGTAACAACTTTACTCAGATCTAAAATCCATAAAAAATCACTAAGGTTATTTTGTAACCACAGAAATATGTTTTGTTCAAGAATTAATATGGTATATGTTCATTGTTATCTGGATTATATCATAGACTGTATAAAGAAGTACCATAGAGTCAAAAGCTCACCAAGGCTAGCAGTTATAGAGGGAAATTTGGAGCCAGTTACATATTACAAATTTATTTACGCACAAAATAGTGCAGGTAAAGCACCAAGATCATGTAAAGTGGGTTAATTTGAACATTTTAAGACAAAAATGACAGTTCACAGTAGCAGTTTCAGAGAGAGGGGTGACAACTTTTCAATTTAAAGTTAGATGGAGCCAGAAGCTTGTCCATACTCACTTCCTGTTTGGAACATAGCATGTTAGCTATGTCCATTTATATACAGTCCTTGGATTATACAAATACTAAACCCAAAGTTAAAAGATTTGGTATAACAAAGAAAGTTACATTATTAAACTAAAATGTTCTATTTCTGATTTTTGTTATTCATAAATATCCTCTATTTTGAAGCCTTCAGTCATCATATTTTGACTTTATTTGGTGAAAAATGTGTTTTGAAAATCTCAAATCTACAATAGAAAGGATCGTCTGACTACCCGACTGCTAAAATAATTAGTTAGTTGGAGCCCTATGTTCTTATGTTAGTACCATTACCTTTGTGTTTTAGAAGTTCCTCCAGGTATTTTTTATCGTCATAAAACTCTCCCAAAAACTGCTTGTCTTTTTTATCATTTTTTATTTTTTTTGCTGTCGCTTGCGGTTTCTTTTCTACCATCATTTGTTGTATAGCTGTGGCTGGGTACTTTCTCCTCACCTGTGGAAAAAAATAAGACAATAACAATGATGTTAAATTTGATAAATTTGTAGTAATCAAAGTTTAAAGGGCCCGTATTGCGCAAAATTGACTCTTTTGAGCTTTAAGCCATGTTATAATGTTCTAAAAAACAGACCTGGAGTTGTCTTTTGTTTCATTCACACGTTTGAGTACTGTATTATTAATATGTCTACATCTCCAAAACTCAAAATGTTTCACCTTGTCATGTCATGAAGTGGTAGTTTTCAAGTTAACGGCTCCTTTTACCTTTAGTTTAGAAGACATTGGAAATTCCAGACCAGAAATAATCCAAATGATTCTAGTGAAGGTGCATGGAGTTTAAAAACACAGTGGAGCTTTTCCTGTATTACCACATGACATCACAAGGTGGGACAGGGTGCTTTCCTGTTTGAGAGAAGAACTAAGCCTAAATATGCAGGGTTTGTGTGTTAAACATGTGTGAATGAAACAAAACACAATTCCAGATATGTTTGTGATGTGGAAACAACATTATAACACAGATCAGAAAATAGTGTAATATGGGCCCTTTAATTATAATTGGTTTGATTGCACTAGTATCCATGGCAACCGCACTTCAGTCACATTCACACATTGGCAGTGAAGTAGTGATAAGCACCAATTACCTCCCACTCCCATTAGCAATCCCATTACCATTCACAAAAGCAAGGTGAGTTCTTTTCCTTGCCACACACAAGAGTATAAAAGGTGCTGTCAGTAGGGATAAAACTGTCATACCTTCTGGAAAATGGGCGTACTTGGCTGTTCACCCTAAGCTTCTGAACTGATCAATACTCTAAATGCTATCTATGAGCTAACATTCTGCATTACTACTGACACTTTGCAGTGAGATCACGTTGGGGTGTTCTATATGCATATCTGTAGTGGAATGCTCAGTCGTTACCATGATGACATACTGCACACATCAGCAAACAGAGCCTGATACGTTTTTAGATTGTTTGAAAACTCAAGAAAAAACACAAAATAGATTAAATCACATTTTCAGGAGCCATGAGTATGAGCCTTCACAGTCCTTTTTAGGTGTTTGATTTTCAACACATAGGTCACAGTGACAAACTGAAATACTGTTGGGTAATGCTAACTATCTTGTGCCTGTAATTTTATGTGTAGGAGACCATTTCCAAATCCGATCTGATAGTTGCAACCAAGTCAAGTCTTTCTGGTAAGATTATGTTAAATTAAACCTCAGATTAAAATCTAATTTGAGTAACAGAGCTTCAAACAGAGTAGAGATTCCAGTTAGCATCACAGCTCCAGCAGCTTTTTGACTGAGCTATAATTATTCACCTCTCCGCTACTAGTAATTGGGTAATAAGTCTCTTTATAAACCAATATTTAAGAATTTGGAGACTTAATACAATTGACAGTATTAACCTATAATCATGGGTTTCAAAGTGATGAAAAGTTAACACCATCGCCATAACAAATAGCAATTTAAATACAATATACAATATTGTAATTTATGAATTGTCAAAAATTCCCAAAATGTTGCCTATAAACAGGAAGTTGAAACCCATGAGTGCACACTAATAATGTCTGACTAGCACTATTCTGCAAGGCCCACAGTGTCTCTACAAGAAAAAAAATAAACATCAGATAACATTACCTCGTCATCTTTTTGGAAAAAGCTGAGATCTCCTTTGCTTTCAAGTTTCACTGAAGATGGAGCTGGACAGTAATACAATAAAGGATTTAAGGATATGTCATTAAGATTTGAAGGTGAACATTACTCATGCGTTTGTTTATTTATTTATTTTTCATTTTTTATTGAAAATAGACTTACATCCTGCTGTGTTTTCTATGGCCTCCTGAGCTTTCTGGATGCCTACTCTGAACTCCTGTATCTCAGGTCGAATCTTGAGCCCTCTGTGATTACACACTTTGGCAAATTCAAATTCTCCCATGTAATACAGCGCTTCTGCTTTCTGATGCAATCCCTGCAAAACACACCAGCACACACACACTTTAGTCTTGGTTTAGAGTGTAGTTGTCCAAAGTGGGGGTCACGGGCCAAACTCGAACCTCCAGGTGATTTACTTTGACCAGCAAAATGAGCTCTGAGATTTTAATTAAACGGTTTTATCATAAAGACTCTTGTGAGATGGGAAGGAGTCCAATCCTGTACTAATATTTAGAGTCAATTTAATTGATTTTAATTTTTTTTTTTTTTTGCAGAAGAACATATTTATGTGCAAACTGCCCTTAGATTTGGCTAATGTGCAGTAATTTTGGCCCAAAGAGGAAAAAAACTTGGACATCCCTGGTTTATAGACAAATGGCCATTATGCTCTAGAAATGTTTATTTTAATGTTTATCTCATAGTCAGAGGTGAGTAGAGTGGTCAAAAAGTACCGTGAGCCCACATGCAAGAATATTACTCAAACCGAAGTACAAAATAATTACTCAAGTAATTGTAAAAATAATATTTGAAGAAACTACCACTTGGAACACTTTGAATTCAATACATTTAAATCTAATAGCAATTAACAGGCTAACAATAATACAGTACCTCAAAATATGTCTTGTCTGCCTTGAGTGAATTCTCTGCTTCCTTCAGAGCCAATTCAGGGTTACCCATCGACAAATGGCATTTAGAAATACCAACATGGCAACTTTTGTCCTCTGGTCTAATTGACAGTATCTAAAAATAATAATAATAGATAATTAGCATATTACATTAAATAAGCACGATGTTTATTAGTTGCTCATTTACCTTCATGTAGCTTTCTATGGCTTTCTTGTACTCGCCTTTGTGATACATCCAGTCTCCATCAGATACAAAAGTGTATAAAACGCTTTTTGAGTTGGCATCCTCGTTGCCTAAATCCGTATCCGACATTCTACTATCCTATTTATACAGTTTTTCAATAAACTGAGTTTTATCACGAGAAATTAACAATAAAAAGTCATTGATGAAAACACGAAAGTAGCTAAGTGGTCTCCTAGCAACGGAACAAAAACAAAGACGAAGAAAGGAACTCGAAGAAAGGGGAAGTAGCGCCTTCGTGTGGCGAACTGGTGTAACTGCTGTAGCTCGTTTAACTTGGAAGATTGAAGATGAAAGAGCATACAACATACATATAATATGAACATTAAGACTAAATGTATTTGTAGTACTAATTGCTTATCTTTCAAATAAAAAAATACATACATTTATTTGGAAACCCTGCTAGGTCTAACCATCATTATTGCTTATTGCTTATAACATACCATTCACAACCCTCAAACACCAAAAATATGCCATGTGGAAAATGAAAAGTAGCCTTATTATGCTATCTAATGTTTAATTACATTTTTAGATTATGGGCTTATAATTGGTAGGCTAACAATTCTACAGTGACTACTGCATTTGAATGGTATAAAATCAAGACTATTGCATTCATTTCCCCCAAAATCTTTTTTTTACTCCAGACTGAGAACCACTGACTTACACAACAAAAAATGGTAAACATGCAAACCTAGGTGCCACTTCAGACCTTGTGGTATAAAGGCAAGCCCAAGAAATACCATCATTAATTTTTACTGCACTGCTCTGTCTGTCCGTATTTATTTTACTAGTTAGTTTGACTACTATCAACTAAACTACCATTTATACGGTCTACTAAAAATGTTTATCTTAAAAAATCCAAAGAAGCATTTTTGGGGAAAATCCAGAAGAGGCCAACTTTATTAACATGGCTGGTACTTTTAAAGGTCAGAGAGAACATGATTTTCACTATAAGAGTGAAAACTGTGAGCTAAAGATGACTACAGCGTCCTTGTTTTTAACCAAAAATCACCACATTTCTCTGGAGGTAACTGCTGTGTCTGCCATGTTTTTTTTTTTTTTTTTTCCTAAATCCATTTTAGTTTCTCCTTAAATTCCGCTTTCAGTTTCAGAGCCACATGACAAAACCAGTTACCAACCAAATACTTAACAGGTGATTCTGACAAAAAACATCAAGTGTCATCATACATTGCAAATTTACAATAAATATACAAAATAAAAAAGGAAAACATAACTATCACAAATCAACACTTTACATTCCAGTAAAATGTACATTGCAGCAATTTGTGAATGGCAACATCAAACATAAAACGAGTGACAAGGAGATGGCGGCCATCTTAGCCCTCTCCTTCTTTGTAGTGTGCTTAAATGGACTCCCCTGCACTAAAAAAAATGAAAAGTTGTTCGTTCACATTTCCATTTTGTTAATTGAAAGTATAAAAACTAAAAATAACATGGAAAAATATGTTATATAACTATTTAAAGCTACCATCTGTAATGTTTTTTTTTCACCAGTAGATGGAAGATGTGAAACCTGTTCCCCTTCTCCTCTTCTTCTGTGAGGCCAAAGCTGACACATTATCACGCAGCAGTAACATAGGTAGCATCCTACTGATGATATTTGAGAATACAGCAGGGGCCAGTAGTTACAGTTACAAATGGTAGCTTTAAAAGGTGCATTGTGTAATGTTTCTGGTGGAGGGTCCGTCAGATGCTTTTCTTCAGGGAGATGCTATTGCTTTGTCTGGAATATTTCACAGTATGGTATTAAACCTTTCTATCTTTATGGAGACCAAACCAGACCAAATTACATGTCAGATCTGTGGAGAGGCATCCCTGCTCACAGTCAGAACGCCTGTTTTTTTAGGTTTTTGAACAAACATGTGATAGAGCTGTTTAATGTCATTTAGTGGAACATTTCAGGCAGATCAATGACATCCATATCCATAGAAATAAGTAGATGACAGACCTCCAACCAAAAATTTACATAGTGCACTGTTAATAAAGTCAACATTTCTTTTTTTAAGTATAGGGTTCAGCTTTGTCAATTTCAAATTACGTCCAAATATTCCAATTGGTTTTGAGAAGGAGGCACTGTCATGATGTCTTTGAAAATAGGTGGTGTTTTTTGCCCACTGCCAATTTTAAAACAAAATCATGAAGTAAGCCAGTAACTTTCATGCATACCCCCAGCATAAGTAGAGACAAGCCAGTCAATAGCTTTCCTATTTGTTAAGTTTCAAAAATAATACATTGAATTCAGCATTGTTTTTGAAAATTTAGCTGCCCAAAATTCTTCCTTTCATTTGTAATAAAGTTTGTATAATTTTAAAGAGAATATTGCCTAATCAAAATTGTAATACAGCCTGAGATGTGATATTTGCCAGTTGTTCCTATAGGGCGAGCCAAATTTGCTGCAGGTGGTAGTCATAGGGTTGCATTCATTCAGTCCATGGCATAGACAGGAACTGACTTGTAAACAGCCAGATTTTAAATACAAATAGTGGGTTTTTGGGGGAGTTTTGCTGAGTGTCCTTAAATGTTGGTGAAAACCTCTGGTCCCTTTAACCAAACTGGAAAAAGAAATTACCAGGTCCAGATGCTGAAGAAAAGAAATATATGTTAGTAAGGTGAATATTATGTGATTTTTAGGTAATTATTTACTCTTATTAAAGTTGTACACAGAACTACCTTCAAAACTAAATCCACCGGGTCCACCGAAGAACGCCTTGAAGATGTTGTTGGCATCGAAATCTAGCAAAAAAAAAAAAGCAAAGAAAATGATGAAGAGAGACCATTAACCGTTGCCAGTTTTGTATGTAAGAAACTATTTGTGGTGTTCTAATTATTCTCTTGATGTGAAATATGCCGTTTACAGCAATTACAACCATGTTTTTACAAAGCCCTAATTGCGGTATGTAACTGGAATCTTTGGAGATTTTGAATTTAGGGTAAAAATGCACCGTTTTCTAAAAAGTTAGAAATATGTAAAATATTTTGAAAGTGGTATGTTGAATTGTTTTAAGGGCCCATATTACGCTATTTTCTGAACTATTTTAGGTTTCCTCATTAAAAACATACCTGTTGCGTTTTATTATATTTACAAATGTTTAACACACAAAAAATATGTAGACAGAGCTCTTTCCCAAACGGAAAACACTCTGTTGCACCTTGTGATGTCATGCGGCTATACAGGACTGCTATGCTGTGTTTTTAAACTCCACACACCTTCACTACAATCATTTGGATAATTTCAACCCTGAAATCGCCAATATCTACTGAACTAAAGGTAAAACATAGCTGTTAACTTGAAAAACACTGTGGCATGACATCAATGGAACAGAGCATTTTGAGCTTTTGAGATGTAGATAGACAAATTTAAAAAATACTCCAACGTGTGGATGAAACAAAACACAAATCCAGACATGTTTTTGAGGAGATAACACCATTCTAACATGGCTTAAAGCTCACAAGATTCAGTTTTGTGTATTATGGGACCTTTAACAACCCTGAGAGAGCAACACAAACTCTGCCTCTGCAGCATTTATTTTAAAAGTTAATAAAATTGCTTTTTAAGTGATGCTGTCAAGAACAATACTAATTATGTGAGGAATATTGTCATGAGGTCAGAAAGCTTTCATTTCACAATTTGCACTTAAAGATAAACACTGATACTCTTTCTTAGCTATTACTTTCTACTGATCTATTTGTAACTCTGTGTTGATGACTCACCTCCCATGTTCATGCCATCGTCCTCCAGGTCCTGCCCGGTGTCATAGCGAGATTTCTTCTTTGGGTCTGAGAGGACGCTGAACGCTTCGCCCACCTCCTTGAACTTCTTCTCCTCCTCCTTCTGTACCTCAGGGGTTGCGCTGCTGTGACGGTCTACAGGGAACAGAGGATAAGTTACGTATATGTATTAAAAGGTCCTACATTACAAGCTTTAAGTCATCCTCAGAAAATTCAGAAAAATAGCTGGAGTTATGTTTCGTTTCATTCACACATGTTTGAGTAACCTTTTATTATTAGTTTGTTATATCTCCTAAGCTCAAAATGCTCTGTTCCACCTTGTGAAGTAGTAGTTTTCAAGTTAACGGTTACCTTTTACCTTTAGTTCAGTAGAGAGCGGCAATTCCATTTCATTCAAAAGGATTCTAGTGAAGATGTATAGGGTTTACAAACACAGTAGAGCACTTATCACACAGCATCACTAGGTGCAACAGAGTGTTTTCAGTTTCAGAAAAAGTCAGTTTAAATATGCAGGGTTTGAGTGTTAAACATCTGTGACTGAAACAAAACGCAACTCCAACATTGTAACAGATGATAAAACATCGTAATAAGAGCCCTTAAATACATGCGTTAAGAAATTCTTCCTTCACTCCTGGTTTCTGGGAGCTTTGTTGTTTTTATCTCAAACTGCTCTTTCCTTCCTACTCAAAGAAGCAGTGGTCATGTTTGCACGCGCACAAAACATCTGATCATTATCCGATTTCTGGAGCCAAATTATTGCAATGGCATGTAAACAGTCTCTGATGGGAGTAATCTGATTTCTTTAATAGTTTACAGCAGTGCAGGCTTTGACAAAAATGACAGACAAATATGAAATACACCCCAAAACTCAGCTCTGATTATTGGGTTATCAGATTATTCCTGTAATCTGATTTTAACTGGACATGTAATTGTCCATGCAACTATCCACTGACTAGTATAGTATAATATTTATTGAAGCAAAACTTGTTCTCGGTTTCCATTTGAAATTAGTTGCTGTCAATCCAAATGGTTTCTAAATAAAACCAGTGAAGGACGTACCAGAAATGCTTTTAGTATGTTACACATGGACAAATTAACCAGTTTATAAGCTTGATCTGAAGTATAGCCACAATCAAATAGTCAATTGATACTTTGCATTGACAATATGCTTGTATGTCTATATAGTGGAATGTCCATCAAACATCGTGGAGACACAATGCATTGCACACATTTGCAAACACTGCCAAAAAGGATGTGATCAATACAAGCGTTCGTGATCCTGTTTCCTGCAAAGAAGGTGAGTGTGACTAACTGAAAAACTTCTACAGGCCAATAATAATTAATACTGATGGGGGCACCTAAAATAAATATAGTTAAAATGCTGATTTTTAATTACATAGCAAGTTAATGGGTTTAGTCACAGATAAAAATGAGGAAGTTCAACATTTTGGATTTGGCAAAGTACAACATTATCAGTAGAATAATGACATAATCACATTGCTAGAATCTGAAAACCATCAATACTTTTTGATTTCATATTTTCTGTTTCTGTTCTACTACTACGTGATCCTTTTTAGTCCAATCCAAATATAAACGCATGGAAAAAAATCTCACAAGATAATTTTTCTCATGTGTGCACGATCTTGTAGCAGTTTTGTCTCATAAGATCTTTTGGCACGAGATCTTGTACTGTCCCTAATATAATGTGACTGTGTATACCTGGATGATGTAAAAGTGCTCGTTTGCGATAGGCCTTTTTGATTTCATCTTCTGTGGCGTTCTTTTCCACTCCCAGGATCTTGTAGTAATCTTTCCGTTTACTTTTCTTCAACTCCAACTGAGCATTTTTTAGAAGGTGCTTGTGTTCTGAAACAATAAGAAAATTATAATAAAACAATACTTGATTATATATTGCATTACCATATTTTTGTCAAGAAAATTGCACACAGTACATGGTCCCCTACACAACACAATATGTGTTCAATAAAGCAGTCAGTAACAGTCATCTAGTAATTACACATAATCTACAATGAACACCACAAGGCAAAGTCAAGTGTAATGATTAAAACTGGTTTGCAAAATTTGAAATTAATTACAAAGCATTAAGAACATTATACATTAAAGGTGCACTGTCTAACTGGAATGTTCATGGTATGAGATTAAACAACTCAACCTTATGTTTATTCAATTACAGATGGATTTATAGCTCAAAAATACCTAGAAAAACTGTCCTGACTCTCCACAGATCTGACCAGTAACTGGTCTGGTTTGTTTACCATGGCGATAGAAAGGTTTAATACCATACTATGAAATATTCCAGAGAAAGGAATAACATCTCCATGGAGAAAACCATTTGATAGACCCTCCACCAGTAAAGTTACAGACTGCACCTTTAAATTATAAGTATTAATCAATCAAATAATGAAAAGATATTTAATTTTTTACCTTTTGTCTTCTCTGTCTGGTAAACCTTTTCATAGTCCCGAACTGCTTCTTCATACTGTTCTGTGTCCATATAGCTAAAAATTACAACAGAATACAAATTAGGGTTACAGGCAATAAAATCAAATTATTACAACCACAGAACCATAAAATTTTATTATTTGAGTTATTAAACTTGTAAAGAAACAGTGGCAAAAATCACTATAATATAGTTCTTGGTATCACTGTAGTTACAATAATACTTCAATTAAAACACATTACCATATTACCAAAATAAAAGGTATAAATGACACACCTAACCTTATAAATACCATGTACTCTCATTTTATTGACATGTAATAGTACTATCTTGCATTAAGCACTTACCACTGCGCTCTCCTTAAATAGGCCTTGATGTAGGTGTCATCCAGTTTGATGGCCTTGGAGCAGTCTTCTATAGCCTGGTCTAGTTTCTTCAGCTATAAAAGAAATCATGACAAGTTAACCATTTACAACAGATCAAGATCTTGTCAATGATAAATAACTGAAATGATCAGCCATACTAAAAGCTAGCTCCCTGATTTCAAAACAGTGAAAGAAGGAAGGAGGTTTTTAAATCTATGTAACTTTCTCTAGCTCCCAGTCAAACTCAATTTTCAGGGTAATTTTGGAATAGCTTTTTTATACAGCAATCTGCTTTCATTCAAAGGAAATATTGTTATAAATATAGCAAGATAAACTCTTCTTTCTGTTAGATTTTCATTAAAATGTTTTATAATTAGGTTCAGATAACATGCAGGAGTTTTAACAATATAGTCTATTGGGGAAAAAGACAAAACTGGCAAATTACAAAACAGAAATTGGGCACTGCAGCTTTAGAAATCTTTAAGAATTTAGAAGATGAACTTAACATTATGACACAATTTTTAACTAGTTAATGACGATTACACAGTATTTTTAATATTAATATACATTCTATTTATTTATTTATTTGAACAAAAGAGAGAGACTGTGTAATAATGAGCAAATAACTAGAGCTATACATTTGGTGGAATAAGGTAAGAGTTAGTTTCCATTCACAGCCCCATTATTAAGAAAGGGCCTCTGTTTGTTGCATATGATAATCCCTGTGCTGATAGACTCACCTTGGACCCCACAGTGGCTCTGTTACAGTACAGTTTGGCATTAGTTTTGATGTTGTTGGGGTCTATTGTGAGGGCCTCTGAGTAGAGGTCGTAGGCTGCTTCATAATTTCCTTCCTTAAAAGCCTTGTTTCCTTCTTCCTTCTTTGCTTTTAGTGCTTTGGCATTCTGCAATAAAAAACATGTATTAGTTTAAGTGGGAGAGTACGGATTAATTAAACACATTTTTAACAATACTCAGAGGCAAATAATAACATATAAATAAACCAACAATTAAAAATGAACAGCTCTAATAAAAATAAATACATTTAATGATTTGTGAGATAACATAGTTACTTAGTTTTCCCATAGATTTCTGATTTTGGTGGCAATGGCTATCCTTATCTGAATTCATTAATGCAAAACCACAGTATTATTATAGTAAAATATGACTTATTGACACAATTTAAACTTCAACAGTTTTTACCTTTTTAACTAAATAAAAATAAATACATTTTTAAAAACACAGGCAGTCAAAACTTTAATTTCGCGTACATGTTCTAGTACTATGGAGAGCCACCAAGGGAAGGTTCGGGAAGGACGTTGGAATATTTATAATTCTGATCATGGAACATTTGATCAAAATATAGAACAGCTAATTAGCAAATAGTACCATTTACTCAATGGCTTACACTCAGTTGCCACTTTGTGTTATGTAAAGATACAACAAAATGATGTGCAAAAAAATATTAAACACCAACTTGGCTCATTATGAATAATTTCATGCTTAATTAAATATATAGTCATATGTGCTGGAAAATATAGCCTTAATATAAATGCTCTTTAACTACACACAGTGCACTCACTCTGCAGGCGAGTCGAGCCTTGTCATGGTCTGGAGCCATACGCAGCGCCTGGACGAAGAACTGAACCGCTTTGTCGATGCAATCCTCATAATACAAACACAACCCCCGCACGTACAGAGCGTCTGCATTTGTGGAGTCCATACGCAAGATGTCACTGGATGAGAGACACATGTTAAAGACTTTAGCACAAACCAAAATTGTTGATTAAGTCAAGTCTCTAACAATAAAATGATAGAGTTCAACATGTGGAATTGGTCATGGTCAACGGTGACACAGATATTTAACATCTACTTGCTAGTATTAGTCTCATTTTAACTGAACAGCAAAATGGTAGTATTTTCCAACAATTTTCTAAATAACAATAAAGCTTAGTGCCTCACCTTGCTACAGACTGGGCCTCTGGATACCGTCCCAATAAAGCTAAGCACTCGGCCTTCAGGATCTTGAACCTGTGGCAGGCGATAGCTGTGACCAAGGCACGGTCCATGCAAAACACAACCTATAAACCAATAATAACAAATGCGGTCAATCTATAGTACACACAAAAACAGAGACAGATATAAAAATGTGGCTTACCATTCTGAAATCTCTCTTGTCAAATCCAATCTCCGCCATTCTCTCATATTCAAGAATGGATTCTGCATTTTTGATCTGAAAAAATTCACAACATTTATTTAAACAAAAAAACAAACAAAACAATAATAAATAAAACAATTTACACTTTAGGCCATCCTCTGAAGAACTTTTATATTGTAAATCCAGTTCATTTGGATTTCAGTCAAAGAGAAGCCTCTGTCTTTACTGTGGGCTTAGAATGAGGTCAGTCCAGCAGTGTCACCCAAAACTCGGTGTCACAGCGCACTCTAGTTAATCTCTTCTTAAACCGCTGGGTCACACTTTGTCACTGTATTCTGTTGTGTCTGGTGATGTTAAAGCTACAGTAGAGTGACAGTAGACAGAAGTCATTCTGGTAATAATACATCATGTTTTTCCAGCTCACCTCCTGTGGCGCCTGGCTGTTTTCTGGCTCCAGCTCCAAAACACGCTGGAAACAACGAATCGCCGCCATCGCGTTTCCCAGAGACAGGTGACACTTGCCCTCTCGCAGATGACCCTGTGGGAAGAAATAATTAAACTTGATTTGAATTGACATAGAGGAAAATAGTTTAAAAGAAAGAAAAGTATTATTTAAAAAATTTAACACAGTAACTTGAAGCATTACAAAATAATTTTGAGAACATTGCATTATTACTTGAAAGAATGCTTTAAAACTGTGTCTTTCCAACCTTTCCAACCAAGTACCACCTACAATAAGAGCTGGTCTTTCTAGTACTGTACCACCAGATCTAAACTAGTCCTATAAAGTATTAGGCCTATTCCAGGTCTAAATTAAGACCAATCAGGTCCAAAATCAAACTTTTTAATCTTCTTATGATTTCATAACTTAATCAAAAGCAAACAAAACAACCAAAATGATAGAGGTATGTGATACATAACTTATGAAACCAATAAAATCAAGCACTAAATGATAATTGATGTATATCACGTATCATGTCTGGTACATATAAAATATACCCAAATCATAATCATCAATCCAGAGGTCTGCAAACACTGTTGTAGTATAACAGTATCATAAATATATTAGAATGTCAATATTTTGTACCACCAAGTCCTTGCTGGCTTTAATTTATTTGCATGATTAAAGGTACATTGTGTAACTTTTCTAGTGGAGGCTCAATCAAATGCTTTTTCTTCATGGAAATGTTATTATTTTGTCTGGAATGTTTCACAGTATAGTATTAAACCTTTCTATCTTCATGAAGACCAAACCAGACCAAGTTACACATCAGATCTGTGGAGAGGCAAAACTGCTCACAGTCAGAATGTCTGTTTTTCTAGGTATTATTGAGCTATAAAACCACCTATGTATTGTAAGGCAGAACCTATTAATGACATACTCAGGAAACATTCATGGCAGAGCAAAGACATTTCCAAAGAAACAAGCAGGTCACGGTTCCTCCACCAGAAGAATTAAACAATACACCTTTAAGTGAACTGTTAATTAGGTCAGTTTTAAGTTATATTTATGATCATTCTTGCACTATGACGTGAAACAGCAAGAAATGCTACATACTTTTGTGAAGTTTTGGTCTAGTCGAACGGCCTGTTGTGCATCTTCCAGAGCCTCTCTGTATCGACATAACATCATCAATGTAGCGGCACGGTTTCCATAGTAACTCGCATTTTTGGGGCACATGTCTGTAAAAAAAAATTGGGTCAACAAGTTATACAACACTATCAATGCCAATCATTTAAGTAATTAGATGATAATTATACAAAGGAAACTTACAACTCTTAATACAAATTATGCCCTTGTGTGTAATTTGGTTAGGTTAGACTAACATTGAAATGGGTGTGAAATGCCATGTAGAAAAAGTACCCACAAACTGAATTAAGATTAAATGCATATATTTTAATCTTATGAGCCAAATAATGCAAATAAGTAATAGCCAATAATATTTGATTTATGTGACTGACACGTGCATTTCACTGCCTTGTATTTAATCACTGTATTATGCAAACTTCCAGATAGTTCTTGTAATGATTGCTGATATACCATTCATTCATTCTGTCCTAATTAAGAAAACATAATTACCAATTGCCTTAGTGTAGAAGTTGAAAGCTTCTGCATAATCCTTCTTGACATAAAATGCATTTCCTTGCTCTTTGAAGCCCTCTGCTTCCCTGTAAAAATAAACATATGAGGTTATATATACAGTACAGGTGAGAGATCCAGAGCTAGTGTTATAATTAATCCTTATTCCCTGTGTTGACTAATACTGAATATTTTCCAAATGTCACCTTCCCTAAATCGAAACAGAAGTCAGTGCCTATGAATAACAACTCAACAATCATAACCACGTGTCTGTACGTGAGTGACAGTGCATCAGAGGTGAACTATACATAGAAAGAGCCAGAGCAGCAGAGCAAATGGGCCGATCAAACATGTTACTATTTTGTGAAGCTGACAGGGGAGCAGGGCCAGGAATATATGACACCAACTGCTATGACTTTTTTTGGAAACCATCTACCTTTTACATCACCAATAGTATACCCAAGAAATAGAAACAGAAAGCTAAACGTAAAATTATAATCTGGACAAATGATCAGATGACGTTCGTAAGGATAAACTAAATGTAGAAAGTTATTTCAGTGGTAAAAGAGTGGGAACACGAGCTAGTAAAGCAAGACTACCAGAGCAATAGTTACGAATAGTCTGAGGCCAGATTTAGCCTAGCAGCTCTCTCTTGGTTGCGTGTTCACAATGCGGCAAAACTGACAATGTCGCGGCTTGCAGTGTCACGGATCACTAGCGTAAATAATCGTGCGTAGATGCCCGCTGCTGACACAAGAGCAGAAATAAGTCGTACCTTTCTAGTTCTTCGTCACTGATGATTTCCAGGTCTGGGTCCATGTTCACAGCATCACACTGCTCCGCCGCCATTTTGCCGTGAACGACGAGGGGCGTGGCCTGACACTGCAGTGGTTACGTACATACGTAGACTGTAAACAGGAAGTGTCAGTCAAAAGGTAAGCACGGTGAATTTTTGCTAATTTTATTGCAATATTAAGGCATGCACGCGGTTTTATTTGATTTTCAGGTATGTAATATTTGACCCCATAAGAATACATAGTTTGAGATCGATATATATAAGAAAATAAAAAAAAAAAATGGCTTTGTAATGTTCTAATGCTAACTACTTCCCTTGCTAAGACAAGTTAGCATGGTTCTTATTTTTTCTCAGTTTAAACAGTAGAAACGTCTTTTAGAGATTATTTCGGTATGATTCTAAATTGACAAAATATCTCAATAACCCCATAAATAGACAAATCAGCCTTGTAAGTGATAACAGTAACGTGGTTTACCGTATGGTCACTCTTGGCATAACGCCTGTGTTTCTCTTCTCTCCAGGTTTACTTATTTGAGAGAAGCTCACATCATGGGCAAGAGCTGTAAAGTGGTAGTTTGCGGACAGTCTGCAGTGGGTAAAACTGCTGTATTGGAACAGTTACTATACAACAACCATGTAGCAGGTATGACATTTTGATAGCTTCTCTATGTAGCCTATTTTTTTTATTGTCTTTTGCAGTGCACAGTAATAGAATGCAAATTATTCACTGCAAAGTTTTATTACATACATCATAAAATAAGTATTAGACCTGGACAGTTAAGGTGCTAAACTAAATTGTGTTCAGTAGCTCTATGCCCATTGTACATCCCTAACCCTGACCCTAACCCTTACTCAGACATTGCTATCACTACTGTTACATCTAACCTTTAATATCATTCCAAACCTCATGAACAGCCAGTTCTATTCTTATTAGTCTCTTTACCAAATGTCCAATGTGACTAGGCTCAGAGCCCATGGAGACCCTAGAAGACATCTACATCGGCTCCATAGAAACAGACAGAGGAACCCGGGAGCAGGTTCGTTTCTATGACACCCGGGGGCTGCGCGATGGGATGGAGTTTCCTCGTCATTACTACACTTTTGCAGATGGCTTCGTACTGGTTTACAGCATTGATAGCAAAGAGTCCTTCAAGAGAATGGAGGCCCTTAAAAAGGACATTGACCGCCACAGAGACAAGAAAGAGGTAACTTCTTTAGGGCTATGATTTATGATTGAATTAAATTAATTACAGTATGATACACCATGCTGAATAATATTGAGATGATAATTTTTTTGCTCAATTTGATATACAATGGATAAGTCTGTATTCCTTATAATACACCTAAAAGATGGAAAAAAAGAGAAAGATGGCAATCTATCAGACTGTTCTTGGCAAAGAAAAAAGACTGAAACCTGTCAAATGGAAGTCAAATCCTTTTTATGTTTTGAGCAACCACAACTACATAGATTTGAATGGGATATATATACAAAAATTACACTATAATCATTATGAAGAGACATTGTAATTAATGTACATGATATTGATTCAATATTTGCAATTTTGCTGTATAATAATATAATAAGTGTACTGATTGTTATGTTGCTTCCCAGGTTACTATTATTGTGCTGGGAAACAAGCTGGACAGACAGGAGGAGCGGAGAGTGGACTCGAACCTGGCACAAAACTGGGCCAAGAATGAAAAGGTCCGTCTGTGGGAGGTTTCTGTGGTCGACCGCCGCACTTTAATTGAACCATTTGTGTTTTTGGCCAGTAAAATGACACAGCCTCAGAGCAAGTCCACTTTCCCTCTGAGTCGGAATAAGAACAAAGGGAGTGGCTCTACCGACAGTTGAATTATCAGGGAAAAGCATACACTCAAAAAGGCAAGGGAAGGAGTAATAGTAATTTTAAAGGGATCTCTGTTCTGTTAAAGGTGCACTATGTAACTTTTTGGTTGAGGGTCTGTCACCTGCTTGTTTCTATAGATATGTCATTGCTTTGCCTGGAATATTCCACAATATGACATTAAACTGTTCTACCTTACATTTATTCAATTACAGGTGGTTTTCTAGCTCAAAAATACCTAGCAAACAGGCTTTCCGACTGAACGGATTGCCTCTCCACAGATCTGACCTGTAACTTGAACTTGTTTGGTGTCAGTGATAATAGACAAGTTTAACACCGTGCTGTGAAACATTCCATACGAAGCAATAACATCTCCATGAAGACGAGCATTTGATGGACTTGAAAAGTTGCACTTGAAAAGTTACACAATGTACCTTTAATTTAAGAACACTATAATTATGAAGGACCACAATGCTGTTGCTGTTAAATTATCTTTACATTTCAGGAAATATTTAATATTTTATTGTGTCTGGTGCACATATTATTTCAAAACTAATAAGGGCATTTGAGTGAAGTTTGCTCATCTATATATGTGTGTAACCTCTTTACACCTTCATAATTTCAAAGCAAGATTTTGTCGTTTGCGTTTTAAACTTTTAACTGATAATTCACAGATTTTCAAAGGAGTCAATTATTAGTTTAGTAGTGTTTAGTAGTGGTGTAACGATATCCAAGTCTCACGATACAATATCGTCATATTTATTGCGATATCATGGGAAAGCGCATGATATGATGGGGAGGCTCACCATATTGTGATATTATACATGATAACAAGAATACTGACATTATAAAATGCTTTAACCAGTCATTTGGTACAACATTTATTATCATTTTGAACAGCCTGAAAAGCCTTTGAAGGTGAAGTGCAAAATTCAAGTAACAAATAAACAATTGGAATAAAACTATGGGTCACTCTTGAAGTCCTCCAGGGTTAAGTGAGATGCTCTCTGACTGCTCTCTGTAGTTCAGGTAACAGCGATAAAGACACAAGAGAACTCACCATAGTGCGCAGCCCCTCAGGGCTGGGCTGGGGTCCGGTCTTAAGACTTGTGCAGTCCTCCGAGCGCGTTGGTCAGATAGGTCCGGAGGCTCTGTCCTCCATGTGCTGGTTCCAGACAGGGACGAGTAAGACCACTGCACTGCACATTCCGAAAGCGAGAATACGCTGTGCACTACAGGTCCGAGTGGGCTGCTCCTGTCCTCCGCACTCAAGGACTGCGGCTGGTTCCAAGGTGGTGCAAAGCATCCAGATAGAAGCGTGAATCTGGTTTGGTTCATTATATATTGTTCTATCCTCCACACACTTGGTTCTTCCCAGGGAAAGCGCTTCTCAGTCCAAGGCACCTAACATCACTCCCTGTTCCAGCTCTCCTGAGTCCGGCTGGTATTGCCATAAAATTATTTGGTTAATTAATAGCCTAATAACAAATGCTGGTTGCTATGTGAACACGGCGAACACTGGGAACTCTCTGTAGGCCAATGACATGTAGTTTACTGTGCTATGTCAAAGGAGCGGACTGAAAATTCTTATTTTTGCCTGAAGACATACAGTTTTAATACCGTGATGAGACCACTATGCTGTTGTTTCAATTTTGCAATGACGATATCGTGATATTGCCAATATCGTTACACCCCTAGTATTTAGTCTTTTCTGAAGACTCTAATTGGCCATTTTTTTATTACCCCATGGCTGGATCTGTGTAACAACTCATTAAGTTTGTTACCTCACATAAGTGCTGTAACTGTAAATTAGATATGCACTACATTGACTACACTGGCCACAAAATCTGCTGTACATGCTTGTGATAACCTCATAGGCCAAATATGACAAATCCAATTATTTGTACTAAACTATTATGTGCATCAGTGAAATTGGGATTTAAACGGCCTATATGTTACGCTATTTTCTAATCTGTGTTATGTTTTTTTTCCTGATCAAACATACCCGGAGTTGTTTTTTGTTTCATTCACGTATGTTTAACACACAAACCCTGTATATTAAGGTTATGTTCATCTTTCAGACAAAGAGCTGCTGCTTTGCTCCACCTTGTGATATCATGTGGTAATACAGGAAGTGCTCCACTGTATTTACTTTATAAACTTCATATACCTTCACTGGAATCATTTGAATAACTTCAGCCATAGAATTGCCAATCCTTACTGAGTAAAACATAACTGTTAAATTGAAAATTACCACTACATGACATCACAAGGTGCAGCAGAGTATTTTGAGTTTTGGAGACTAAAAATAAAGGATTACTCAAACATGTGTGAATGAAACAAAACACAACTCCAGATAAGTTTTTTATGAGGTAACAGCATTCCAACATGGCTTAAAGCTGCATTTTGAATGATATAGGAACTTTAAAATTAATCAAAATAATGGAATCAATGCCCTGATCATGAATATTGGAAAAAAAAAAGTCACTTCTTTGCACACTGATTAATTTGAATATTTATGTAATAAATTGAAAGTGCCATAGTAACCCTATAATTTGAACAATAAACCAAATCCATTTTCAGATGATAGTAGAATATAGTTGTGTATTTGTCTCTGGGACAAATAGTTTAAAACAAAATGTTACTGGGTCATGATAAATTGTTTTTATATTACATTCCAGGTCACTAACATGCACACTGTGAGAGACTTGTTCTCAATTGCTGTAAAGCACACTACAAGTACAATCAAACTGAGAAAGATGCTGCCTTTTCTGTATCATCAAAACATATGACTTTTATTGTTTCTGCTGGAGAATTGTTACCTGTAAATGTACTGAATTACTGTTCAAGTAAATGAATGACATTCCTGAACTTGGCCTGGCTTATATTATTTGACACACACCTTCCACATATCAGTCACTTAAAGGTTGTATGGAGGATTTTTTTTGTTTCAAATTGTCAATGATAGCATATAAAAGGTGCAGTAGCCTTGTAATTATGATGACCAAAAAAAAGAGAATAAAAATTCATCAACTCTGGACGTGGTGGGGCCAGCTAAACATTTGCCAATAGATAACGACACTGCCTCGTTATCTGTTAGTTGACAGGCTGTCAATCAAACTCCCTACGTTTCTAGCGTAACTGACTTGCCTGCGCGCTGCCGTTACGTGGTTTGCGTACGCCTGTCACGCAGTCCACAGACGCAAGACGCACAGACGCTGTTTACTCCACCAACGCAACAGTTCTTAGCGCTTTTTTGACCTATATCTTTCTCGCAGTTAGCACAAAGTTTGTTGCAATGGCAGACAAGAATCTAGGAGCAGTTAGCCGCAAAAGAAAGTCCGTTTTTGAGATTGCTGAAAGAAGAAGACAAGGGGAAAAGCAGCGAAGCCAAACTAAGGTGATTCTTGTAGATTCATTCCAGCGATGGCGCGACTGAAGCAGACGCAGGGTCTAAAGACTGACGCATTGGTCGCCAAATTACTCCTGGACAGGTAACTTCTGCTTATTATGAAAACTTACTTTATTTCCAAGAGCTAGACAAACGTTTTTCAGGACACGAAAGCGATATCCTATGTCTGAAAACGTAATTTTCAAGGCAAAGAAAGAGTCCGCTTGCTGCTGCGTGTTGTAGCTAGTTCATTCGCACGGAATCTCCGCGCAACCTTCTCTGCACCCCTTTTACTGCTCCTGTCCCCGCTGCCCGTTCCGCTCTTCCCGCTGCTCCTCACTTCTCCGGGCACGGAATCTCCGCGCACCGCTCCCTCTCCCCTCTCCTCTCCTCTCTCCCTGCTCCGCTCTTCTCCCTGCTCCTCACTTCTCGTCCGCGCACGAAATGTCCGCGCCCCCCCTCCCCCCGCTCCTCACTTCTCCACCTTGCCTAACCAACACTGTAGTTAGTTGTTTACAAGTCATGTGCAGCGCACCGGCTGTAAACAAACCTGTTTCTGGCGTAAGGAGGAGGCGGGAGGAGGCGTTTTTACGTAGGGAGCTGTAGCATGCGCAACATTTGAAAATTTCCATCAAGAAAGCATGAAACATCTGTCTTATTCCCAAAAACAGGATGCAAAAAGAGAATAGATTGAATTTTTGCTCTATACGTATCATATTATACCAAAAAATATATCATATGTCAAAGTATACCATATCTAAGTTGCAACTCAAGTGCATACCAAATCAAAAGCATGGCTCATTTTCATTTATACATATATTTCTATAATAAGTCACCATGATGACTCAGTCTAGACCTTACATCAGATACGGTCTACACTAAACTGAGTAGTGTATGGATATGTCTCCCATATCCATAAAAAGAAGTAGTTGACGTAACTACAATAAAAAAAAAAAAAGTTGCATAATGCACCTTGAAAGATGCAAGTCCGAGTTTGTTTGGCATAGTTTCCAGACAGTTTTGAAAATTTGGTCAAATTTGAGCCGAAACGACAGGGCCGGTCCTGACGAAAAATGTCATTTTTGGCCATGTCAGGTTTTGGCCCATAACTGCCTTCAAATGACAAAAGATGCTCCAATATGGACATCTGGGTTAGGGTTAGGTTTAGGGATGGGCATTTTATGAAATTTTTTTAATCGATCATCAGAAGATTTAATGCTCGATTTTCGATTAATCATTAATGTTTTTTATACAATAAGTATCATCATTATTATTACTATTACTAATCTGCATAAATAAATTCAACTTTACAACACATAAACCATCACCACTATAGAGCCATATCAGCCTTTTTAACATTATAATGTCTTTAATGTAGCTTTGCGCAAGTCTCACAGAAACAAAACTGAAAACTACATGTCTAATTTGCATAAACTAAGCAAAAAAAAAAAAGCTCTTGTGCAGTGATGCGGTTCAGCTTCTGTCAGGATAAAAGACACTTCTCAGTGGAATATATGTGATCTCTCTGTGACAGAGGGATGTTGATGCTGAAGGTGAGTCTGTTCTGTGTGTGTTGCGATGTTTTCATAGATCATACATGTGCAGGTTTATTGCAGATGCGGGCGGGAACAGGAATGTAAATGACAATTCTTTGCGGGAGCAAGCGGAGCAGGACAAAATGACGAAAATGCCTTCAAATGACAAAAGATGCTCCAATATGGACATCTGGGGTGGTATGAGTTTGTTTGGGGACGTTTCCAGCCAGTTTTGAGCATTTTGAAAATGTGGTCAAATTTGAACCGAAACGACAGGGTCAGGCCAGACGAAAAATGTCATTGTTGGCCATGTCAGGTTTTGGCCCCAAACTGCCTTCAATTGAGAAAAGATGCTCTAATATGGACATCTGAGTCATGATAACATCTCTTTGTTGTTTAACTCCATTCCTTCATTCCTTCACATCACACTGATGGACATTTACATGATTCTGCTCTCCACTGACATGAGATAAGCCTGGGCCTCCTCACACTGGCCTCAGATCAGACCAAATGGATCAATAACATGGAGCAAACTGGTCTGTCACTTCAGTAGACTACAAGGTCACACTGCACTTCTATCACTCAAGTGGGTTTAACAACAACTGGGCTCTGATTGACACTACAGGGGATACAGCTGGGAGATTTGATGGCTGTAATTTTTTTTTCCCCCCACACATATTTTGTAAATGAAATGTTTCATTCTGTTTTCTATTCAGGTAAGATCTATGAAATAATCATCTTAAGTCAAATTCATTAATAGTGTGATTGACAGTTGTATTGTGAGTGGTTACACATAATTTAATCAAGGAGAGGAAGTGTTATTTGTTTGAATTGGAATAAATATTCACACATGTTTAACACACAAACTCTGTATGTATGTACATATGTATGCATGTATGTAGGTTGTGTTCATCTCTCAAACAAAAAACATTCTTCCAACTTGTGATGTCATGTGGCAATACATTAAATGCTGCACTGTGTTTGTAAACTCCATACATCTTCACTATTATCATATGAATAATTTCAGCCCTGGAATTGTCAATCTCTACTGAACAAAAGGTAAAAGGAGTTTGATTTGAAAACGAACACTAAATGACATCACTACAGATCAGAAAATAGTGTTACATGGGCCCTTTAAGGAAAATATCCCTTTTAGCTTGGCATTTATGGTGAACTGGGGAAATGTTAAATTTGGATATTGTATTGTTTTTTGTATTTTATTTTTGTTATACCAGACAGAACAAGAACAAGAGCCAATTCTTATTTGCAAAGCCGACCAATCAAGATAAAGATTCTAGCTGAAAGAATATGGAGAGCATGAGGTGTGGTCCTTTTTCTGGTCCCTTACTTGTTTTAAGTGGATGATCACTTTGCCTGGAATGTTCCACAGTAAGGCATTAAACATATATGTCTCTATGAAGACCAGGTGATACTATCAGATCTTTCGAGAAGCAACCTAGCTCTCACAAAGTTTAAAAAAAAATCTTTCTGCTTTATTGTTTTGATTCACCTGTAATTGTACAAATGGAAGACAGACTAAGTTTAATTCCGTACTGTGGAACACACCAGGCAAAGCAGCGACATCTTCTTTTACACAAGCAGGTGACGGATGAGCCTCCAGGAAAGTCACACAGTGCAGCTTTAACATAGAGTCTTTTAAATGAACAATTTAATCAATCCATCCTGGCTAATCTCACCACGCCACATCCACTTTAGCAGCTTACAAAGGACTTTAGCCACAGCTGTCATATTATTCTGATGATTCATTGTCAACACAAACCTGGAGCTGAGCCAAACCAGCATGTTCTGTGAGAGAAGAAAAACAAGATATTCACTTTTAAATACACCTCCATCAGTACATTTTTGAGTTTCTATTTCATCTTTTGAGTCCTGGTCGTGTTGTGGCAGGGCTTGAATTAGTGTAAAATGAACAGTCTGAACCGATGTGGCGTTCAAGGGACAAGTTCATGCTCATACAAAATCCCACTTCAAATTACACCAAAGAGCTGTTTAGTGTCTAACGAAACAGATCGATGTCCAGAGTTTTATTTTCTGTTTTGAAATGGAAAATAATAACAAAAAAGGAGGTTTAATTTGTGTTCAGATGACCTTTCACACAACAGGGAGCAAATAACAAACAGCACTAGAGGAAATTCTGACTTTTTAAATATTAATAAAAACAAATATTATGGCAAAACCCTGCAGGTAAATGGAAATAAATGTTAAATTTAGAAATATTTGAGTAAGCTAGATCTGACTGAAAATGTGCCTTCAATTTTTTTGGAGTTAAAACTTCAATAAATCAGACTTGGAATTAAACAAAAAACCCTTCTGTTCTTGTGTCAAAAGACTGGAAAATGTAGTGTATGTAGATGCTGCTTTAAGGGATGATCCTTATTTTTGGGAAAATGTATTTTGAGAAAATGGCCCTTGAAGTTATGACTACAGGTGGAGGTGCAGAGTGAACCATTTTGTTGTTTCCACATGAAAGCTTCTTTGCTCAGAGACCAAACTGACCGAAATGAAAATTGCCTGTGGTGTGTCGTCTTAAAAGAATATTCATGCAAACAGAAAATGCTTTCACAGTTTTGCTGGAATTTGGACTTAAAGAAAACAAAAATATTGCTTTGCACTCTCACCTAACACAGTGTTGAAGATTTGATTCAGTTAGGACAACCGTGAAGGATGGGTCAAAAGCAAAAAACAAGTACAAGGACAAAATAATTTGAAACTCTAAAATACTTTAGTGGGACTGTGTTACTGGAATGCTCCTCAAATGTTTTTTGAAGTCAACACAAACACAAGTTTGTTTTCCATGTTTTCTGGGAACAGTACATTTGCTTATTTATTGGGGACAGATCCTACTATAAACACTAACAAAGCTGTTTTATGCTTATGTTTTTACACTATGCTGTCCAACAAAGGCAAAAGACCTTAACTCTCCA